CAGCATTTGAATGTGGCTGTTGCCGAAGCAACCTCAGTTCGGAAGGCAGAAATTACGTGGCAGCCACAAGGCAATTTGTGGGCTGGAGGAACGAGGGGCGAGGGGCGAGGGGTCGAGGGGTCGAGATGGGCAGAGACTGATGTCCATCAGCGTGAAATGGCCAAATGACATTTGAAAAACTAAAAACAGCAGCAGGAACAGCAGCTGCCAACGACCGCACTCGACAACTAAGGGCTGTTGACATGCCTGCTGCGCACTCTCCGGGGTCCTTTAGATCCGGATTCGTACCCGGACCCGGACCCGGACTCGAACTCGGGCCCGGACTACTCCATCGCATCCGCCGTACAATGGGGGCGAATTGATAAAGTTGACCGCAAATTCTTTGTACATTGCTTTCTCTTTACGGTCGAATCAATCATAATCATTCGATAAATTGATATGGTGAAGTTTATTGCATTGTCTGCGAAAGTTATTATGCTCCACGAAAGTTGTCTTATGCCAGATGCACGAAATCAGCAAACATCTTAGCATGATGGAAACAACTGAATCGAATAACCATAAAGATGAATTAACTTTTTGTAACTGCCAGTTCATCTTATAGTAGTTAAATTAATTGTTCAGCACAATCAATTTGTAAAACAATTTTTGACTTATTATATTTTATAGAAATGATAGAACTAGATTTTCAAATTATTAGGAGCTATTTAAGACCACTCACTTATTAGCTACATTTTCTATTGAGAAACGGGCAAAACATGTTGAGTTTTTCTATAAGAAGACTAAGATCTCCGAGTCGACTAACAATTTTCCCAATTTAAGTTTTCTTCTAAAATCCCATATACACAAGCACCATTTGCTAAGCACATTGTTAATTTGAAAAATACCCGTATTAACATGTTAACCCGTTTAAAAGACAAACGATTTTCGCAAAATCAAAGCTAACCGAAGGAAAGAGATTAGTTTTACACTTCCAATTTACCTTTTTTTTCTATAACTCGAGTATGTGAGAATATTTTGGCACTAGCTAACATCTCCATACCTCTCTCCTCTGAAATTCTGGTGGAATTATTTATGGAATGGATTTGCTTTGCTTTGTTTCCCACGAGTGCCGCGTATAAAATGATATATGTCCGTGGCGGGGATGAGATACAGCATGACAAATACTTTTCAGCATACAGCAAAGAGCATTTCCTGTCCACCGCCCATTGCGAGACCCTTTGGCTGTTGCACATGCGGCACAGATTTTAGTTGTTTTTAGTCTCGGACTAAATTCTCGTAGCCAGGGTGTTGCTGGCAAAAAAAAAACACATAAAATATATGTAGAGGTTCTACTAAAAACTGCAGCTGCAAAAGGGAAAATAATGGCGGAAACTATAAAGCATTCCGTAACAGTTTTTTCTTGCTCCCGTTTCTATTTTTTCCCGTTGCCGTTTTCATTGTTATTGTCCTTGTTGACGTTGGTCCTGTTGCCGCCTCCTTTCGCCTTTTGTGTGAGCTGAATGACTCTGATGTTGCTGTTGCTGTTGCTGCTGATGTTGCTTCTAGTGCTGATGTTGCCGCTGTTGCTGCTGCTGACGTGCTGCAGGTTGTTGCTGTTGCTGAGGGGAAAACGGAGTTGCTGTTGCCATTGTTGTTGCCGCATCGTCTGCTCACTTTTATTTAAAACTCAATTGGACGAATTTCTGCCCCGCGTCGGAGATCAGGCAACAGGCAACAACAATGAAGCCAATTTGTACTCCGTCCGCCTGACGCACAAACGCCATCATCATCCGTTTCTATCGCACTCAGTTTAAAGGTAAAACTCATCTTTATGTGGGTGAAAATAGAGTGCTAAGTGAGCTTTGTTAGATCTTCTTAAAGAAATATATAATAATTCTTTACTGTATACCAAACTCTTGTCGATTATTAAAGACTTCAGCATAAAATTTAATGGATGGAGTGCATTATTTGCCGATTGCATACAGATTATTAAAGCATCTTAATCAATGGTAGCACATACGCTTATATATAAAATGTTAAACCCGATAAAGTGGCTATTTCGATTTACAAGCTGACTGCAGTTTAAACAATTTATGAAAAATTTTAATTCTAATAAAATTCACTTACCGTCATGTATTTCTGACCAAAAATCTGTGTACTGGAATTTATTTACTTTATCCTTATTTACTTAGTTTTTATTTTGGTTCAGTAGACTTCTTAAGAAATAACGATTATTACTTTTTTCTAGTATATAATCTTAAAAATAGTTTTGCAATTTTGGCTACTTCGATGAACTTAATTTTTCTGGCACTTGGCGTTTGATTGGTTTTAAAGTGCGAAACGACTGTTAGTTAGAAGGTAATTAGCTGCCCCATCAACGGCGAACTTGTTCCCGCCATAAATGCAGTTGTTTTTGTTGCTCCTGGTGGCAAGTCAACGGAGGGCATGACCCGGTCCAAACTAATTATAAACTTGGCGAAACTAAAGCAAACCTGTGGGCCTGCTCCTGCGGCTGCTGGTGCTCATGGTCATGCATTTTTCGGTCGGCTGCAGAGCCTGCCAAAATGCGAGCAAAGTCTGGGGAAATGTGGCCAAATCTGGGGCCCGGATTACAGCTTTAGCTCCCGCATTGCCGCCGACGATGACGATGATGCGACCTCCGTTGGCAAACAAACTTTCAGCGTCACACCAAGCTGTCCCGGAAAAATCCCGCCTTGTCCTTCGAAAAACCGGAAAAGCGCAGTGCACTGAAGAATGAAGCGCCTTTTAAGCAACGAACGGTGGCAACAAAACTTTTAGCGTGCAGTTTTTTTCAAACACGAAAATCTAGGGAAAAAATTATGCTACTTTGTAGAAAATGCAATGCGAGGGTGCCAGCGATAGCGGAAGCACGTAAAATATTTGCATTTTTATTAAAAATTGAATAAATTGAGATGAATATTTCTTTCGCTGCCAAAAGTTCTCCCCTCAGTCATCTGGTTATCGTTTTATTACTTTCGCGGAGCAGCGCAAAAGTTTGCAGCTTTTTATGAAAGTTAATTTCGCTGTTGCCTGCTTCATGATGTTTGAAATTCATAATTACACGAATAGTTGAAAATGTAGCGGGCTATCAATGCCCTCTTTGTCCTTTACTGGGCATATTTAATTTAATTAACATTTTTTCTTCCATTAAAGCCCAAAAAAAAATATAGCTGTATTTTTCATTACGCTCGTTGCTCATACGCCGTGTGGTGCCGATTTTTCGGCTAATTAGCCATCGTCTGGGTGCTCTAAAAAAAACACTTTGAAAACTCTGTGAGTCACTGTCTCTCACAAAAGGCTGCCCACTGAATAGCTTTTCTTTTGGCCAAAAATGTAGCATTGCTTTAATGAAAGAATTTTATATTATTTAAAATGCTATCAACTAGAAATAAAATTACTTCATTAAAATGTATCTTGGTTATTGTGCAAAGTAAAGTTGAAAACAAATAAAAATACAAATTTATTATACACATTTATAACGAGCTTGTTTAGTGTTTGGTGTTAAATTATGTATTATTAATTCACGTGACATGTGACGCGTTTTGTTGAAAATTACCTGCTCAAAGCCTAAATATTTAACTAGTTTTCCAACTCAATTTGAAATGCATTGAAAAAAAGCTTTTAAATGTAATCGATTGACTAATCCCAGGCTTAAGTAAAAATCGAAAATTAGTATTTATTTATTTTTTTTTTTTTTGCTTTAACTGAGCAAAAATGTATTAACTTTTACGTCCGACAGAATCTTTTTGTCATGCATAAATTCCATTTATTTAACAACCCATCCAAGTGAGTAGTTGGCTCTTTCTCTGGGCAATGTTTCAAGTTTGTTTTCAATTTCATTTTATGCTCTAAAATGTCTACATCTTGGAATTCCCAGGGTTGTGCTGAACATTGTGCGCACTTAGATTTGATTTGCACAGTTTGGCATAATTCCTCAGGCAGTCGCAATATAAACAAATCATTGCCTGCCCTCGACAAACTTTATGTCACAACTTTCACACGACAAAGTTTCGCTTTTGTCCTTACTATGTACGTATGCGAGGGTGTATGCCACGCCCCCATCCGTCCCACGAGGGAACGAGTAGGATCGGAGGAGAAGTTAGCTCTTCGGACCTGGGGACACATGTGGCCCAAGTCCATGAATTATGACTGAGGCTTAATTATGTCGGGCCAAGATTAGCCCGACGGCCATGATTCCGTCACTGGGATTGGGCAAAAGGTACGGCAAATAGGGTGGATGGAACCTGGTGGCCGGGCCATTATATTGATTCTGATATGGTTATTCGGTTCATTAAAAAGTTTCCCTGCGCCTCGTGTTGATGTTTCATGCAAGTTATGAATATAGCCGTGCTCTGGAAGTTTGCTTCTTCTGCTGCAGTTTTAATTAGGGCACAAAATCAACGAAGAAACTTTGACGCACTTTTAATGAAGCAACTTTTCGACGAACGGTTGTATCACCCAGCAGTCAACGCCTCACCACCCCTTCCAAAGTTAACCATTGTGTTGGCCGGGTTTGAGAGCCGGCTTGCTACCATACCAAGACGACAAAGAAAACGCGAACAGAACCGCCATGTATAACATTAAAATTGTAGGTCGAAAGTAGTAAAGTAAAAAATAGTAAAGTAAAGTAGTAAAAATAGGAAAACATTATAGCTGAGGGTACCTTTAAAAATTTCAAAAAGTATGCCTAAAAAAAATGTAGTCTTTAAGTATATGGTTGCATACTTTTATATATTTATCTAATTTCAAAACCATAGTGATTTTTGGAACTGGGGATGTTATAAATGGCTTAAAACTCATAACAAAAATAAGACTTTAAGGCTTTAATAAAATTTGAATAATTACCACCAGTTTTAAAAAAATATATTTAATGCCATCTTCAAAATGTGGTTAAATGTTTTATAAAAACAACTCTGTAGATAACAAATATTTTTTCCATAGGATAGGGATAACAGTGTATAATAATATTAATACGTTTTTTAAACACTTTCCCATTCCAGACGACTGGGTTCGGGGGATTGCCTGATGTCACCGAGCACTCGAACATCCGCCGCACACTGTCCCGCCAGAACTCGATCTCGAACAGCGATTCCGGCGGCGAGATAGCCAGCATCCAGAAGTCCAAGGTAAACTTTGGCAATCCTTTGGCCGGGGGCGTGGTTGTGGGCGGCGACATAGTGGGTCTGGACGCCAAATCGCCCACTTCGCTCAGTTCGGCGGCGGGAGCCGGTGCCTCCGGGAAGGCGAAGGGAAAGGCCGCAAGAAAAGCGAACGCCGGAGCGGATGGCGGGCAAAAGGGGCGGAGAGGCTCCTGGCTGGTGGCCCTCACCCTGGTCAGCGCCATCTGCCTGCTGGCCATCGCCGCCACCCTGGCCTACCAACACTTCCTCATGGCGCCCAGCCGCAATTCGCACGCCCAAAGACTGAGAATCGTCCGCCGCATCCTGCGCGAGGTGCCGCTGGTCGACGGGCACAACAACTATGCCTGGAATGTGCGCAAGTACGCCCACAGCAGCCTGGAGCTCCACCTCAGCCACGACGTCGACCACAAGTCGCTGTGGGCGCGGCCGGCGTGGGCGCAAACGGACATGGAGCGACTGAAGCAGGGACTGGTCAGCGTTCAAGTGTGGTTAGTCCTTGGAAGATCCTACAATTTTAATCTTTTTTAAATTTCAATCACATTTTTATATTATTTCTGTTTTTAACCTAACCAGTAGAGAAAATTTTCCGACCCCATTATGTATGGGGTACTTAGCACATACATATGTATTAAGTCTTTAGCAGCAGTCCAACCTATTTCCTTGTACTTTTTGGAATACTGGTCATTTATTTTGAAAATAGTTCGATTTTAGTTAGTTTTCATAATACATTTTCCATACAAAAGAAAGGATATCTGGTTTAACTTTTTGTCAGAAGGCCGCATAAACTACAGAACAAAAGTCTATAGTATCTTTTCAAAAATAAGGCAGAGTTTTTACTTGAATGCTTAATTTTTTTATATTTGTTTTCAACATTTCCGTTTAAAAACTCTTAAAAAGCTTTAGTTTTGATTTTAAGAATTTAAATTATATGTAAAGCCTATTTGTTTTGCAATCGTTGCCATGATTTAAATCCAATTGAGCATATTTTGATGCTTAACTGGAATTACAATGTTCAATGGGGCGAATACGCAATGAAAATTCCCCCACCAGCGGCCAGGCCAAGTCATGAAAATTGAAAAGTCACATAAAACTGCAATCAGGCCGATGCGACATCTACCCGGGTCAGAGATTTGACCCATCTACCATGCATTCGAGTGCTGGCCAAAACAAGGCAACAAACATACAACAGCTGCCACGCCCACCAAAGAGGCATCCAAACATACGCCCACTCCTGAACTGCGCCGTTTCCCCCCCGCGCGGCAATAAAAAGCTGCCAACAATTTGACTGCAAAATAAAATTTGGCAACCGTCTGGAAGCCCCAGAGCTAGCAGCCAACCTGTCTGCTGTTGGTCCTTCTCAGCCTTTCCCTACACAATGCCGACACTCAGAGAAAATAATGTGCAAATCGTATAAATTATGTTTTTATTTTGTAAGAGATGCTTCAGATGCTTGAATTACCAAAACTGTTTTATTTGGTCAAAACTAAACTTAGAATATATAATTAGATTGCTTATTTCTATGTTTACTTGTTTAGACCTCTTTGGTCCGATTTCCCAAATTCATGTTAAGGTTCTAGTTTGTGTACTGCAAAGAAAGTTAACCTACAGTCAAATTGTTCAACAGCACTTATTCCCTTACTCAATGTGGTGATAATTTAACGAACGACAAATCTTCACAGAGTTTGTTGACAAATCTATTCTTTATTGTTATTTTTATTTTGATCAATTTAAACCAGAATATTTCCTCTAGCTAAGAGCTTTCAGTTAGAAAATCTTTAACATGATATTGATATAGTAAATGTTTCCAAAACAGCAATTGAACGCATTGTTAGACCTTAACATACATTGAGAAATAATAATAATTTATTTAAATGTGACATATAAAGTGACGTGTAATTGTTCTTTAATTATTATATGTTTGTTTAATTATTATGTTTTTGTTCGCAAGCTAGCCTACACCTTTGAGGTAGGCAACATATTTTGAAAAAAATCATTAAGTTGTTTTAGACCGTTTTACCATTTTCTGTGTAAGCTGAACACACCCACTCAACACCCTTTTTTTGAATTTGGTTCGAGAAAAATGGGAGGAGAACAATCTGACAGGCGGCAGACAGCGGCAGTTTGGGAAAAACGCTGATGGGCATTCGACTTGACTTCATTTTGGAAGGAAACTACTCCACCCACCACTCACCACCCACCGCCCATTGCTGTGACCGCCAGATGGCGCAAGTGTAACTTTTCGCCAATTTCGCATTTCAATTCGCTGGATGGCCTTGCCGAACTTCGTTTGGAGTTTGGGCCAAACCAGCAGGATCTCTGCTTTTTCCGCTCTCTGCGAAGTTTTCGATGCCCCCTGGCTCGGTTATTGCCATATCAAATGGCAACTATGGGGCAAAACGAAACGGCGCTGCTAACTAACCACTTTGGAAGTTTCAATTTGCATTTCCCAATTAAACGGCATTCGCGGTGTGCTTCAAATTGTAGTTGTCGCTGCTCCATGGACTAGAACTTTGTTAATGAGCTATAGTTAAATAGTTTAATATAAATAGTTTAGTATAAATTCAAAATTTGAAAAATTTACTCATTATTACGATTTTTGGAAAATAAAATCATTTTTAAAGCGGCATAAATTTTAATAATTTAAAGGCAAAACATATTTCTTATTATCAAAAAAAATTAATTGCTTATCAAATTTTTAAGTTGTTAGTAGCGTTTGTAATAGAATGCTTACCCAACACAGCACTAAACATATTGAAAGTATAAAACTTTAAAATACAAATTCAAAGAATCTAAAAATATCTTAATATGCTGTGCTGAGCCCTTTAGATATTTATTTACAAACAGTATACAATATGCAATACATGACTAAACGTATTAAAAAGTATAGGAAACATATAAAATTCAATTTTAAAATATAAATTTAAAAAAAGTGAATCAAAATACATATATCTTTCCTGATATTTTTAATTTACTAATAGGATGCAATATATATAGGGCACAAAATAATTTAATACCAAGGTATAGAAATGAAACTAAAAAGTATACTGGTTATATTAATTTGGATTAATATACTGAACTAAACGTTCAGTTTTTTTTTTCGGTGTATAAGAAACGCTTGTATACCAATTTTTAAGCGCTTAGGAAATATTGCAGAATATTTCAGAGAATTTAAAGTTTTGGCAACTTGTTTCTTTGTGCATTGGCATGGCCCTAACCCTTACACCTTCGTTGTCCTTTTGCAGGTCAGCATATGTGCCGTGCGAGGCGCAGGGCTTGGACGCGGTCCAGCTGGCGCTGGAGCAGATCGACATAGTGCGGCGCCTGTCGGACATGTATGCCCGGGAGACGGTGTTGGCCACCTCCTCGCAGGACATTGTGCAGGCGCACCGCCGGGGCCTGCTAGCCTCGCTGATTGGGGTGGAGGGGGGCCACACCATTGGGTCCTCCCTGGGGGTCCTTCGCTCCTTCTACTCCCTGGGGGCCCGCTATCTCAGCCTGACCCATCGCTGCGACGTGTCGTGGGCGGGATCGAGTGCCTCGTCGGCGGAGCAGGGACTCACGCCCTTCGGCAAGGCCATTGTGCGTGAGATGAACCGGTTGGGCATGATGATCGACCTGTCGCACAGCTCGGATGCCACCGCCAGGGATGTGCTCCAGGTGACCCGGGCGCCGGTCATCTTCTCCCATTCCGCCGCCCGCCAGCTGTGCAACTCGACGCGGAACGTGCCGGACGACATCCTGCGCCTAGTGGCCGAGAACGGCGGCCTGATCATGCTGAGCTTCGATTCCGAGGACGTGGCCTGCGGACGACAGGCGCGCCTCCAGGACGTGATCGAGCACATTAAGTATGTGCGGGCCATTGCCGGCATCCAACACATTGGCCTGGGCGCCGGATACGATGGCATCGAACTGCCGCCCCTGGGACTCGAGGATGTGTCCAAATACCCGGAGCTGCTGGCCGCCCTGCTGGAGGATCACAACTGGAGCGAGGAGGATGTGGCCATGTTGGCGGGCAGGAATTTCCTGCGCATCATGGAGACGGTGGAGACGGTGCGGGACTACTGGAAGCGGGCGGCCATCCAGCCCATCGAGCAAACGGAGCCGCAGCCCAAGACGCAGTGCACCTACATGTCCTCGTGACCGCAGGCGCAGGCGGTGAGGCAGCGGCGGGATGAGCCGCCCACGGAGCGGGCCAATCGCACCACCGCATCGCTGGCGGGGGCGGACTTCTGGAACCGCAGTCCCGAATCGAAGGACTCCGTCTCCAACCACTCGAATCCTGCGGTCATCGCGGCCACGGCCACCAGTTTTACGGTCAGCGAACTGCTCCAATGAAATGCTTTGGATGGCAATTCAAAGTAAGGGATTTTTGGTTGGCTGGCGGTTCGGTTTGCAGGGATTTTGGGGATAGAGAGCGAGTAATAAATCAATGATCATTAATCAAAATATCGATCAAGTGCAGGGCAACAATTAAAGCTGAAGTATTTACAAATCCAAATGTCATTTAAATTACACAAATATTTTAATTTGTTTAATTTTGTCAAACAGACAAAATTATTATATATTTGTATTCTTTATTCCCAATAACTTTAGTTTATGTACTCCAATGTCTTCCTCGATGAAATGTTTTTTATAAAAAATAATAAAGTTAAAAGCAAAATTATATTATTTTCTTTACAAATGTTGGTTTTTTACCATCAATAAATAACTAAACATGTATATACATTCTTGTATTGTTTTGAGCAACTGTAGAGTAAGATGTATTTAGCTAAGAAGTTAGTCTGCCTGAACTTCTTGTCGCCATTACTCGCTCTCAGCTGAAAAGTAAACAACTGTCGTGTCGACCCTCGTGAATAATTAGTGTATACTCGTAAATTACTTCCAAAGGATGCATTGATAGGCGTATGAATAAATAATAATAATAATAAATGTACTAGTATTTAGACCATAATTGTTTGCAGCTATACTTATTGGTGTTGTGGCTATGCATTATTTATGCACAGTGCGGATACTTATTGATGTTGCTGTACCACAGGGCGTATACGCGACGCAGCTAACTCCCAACTGCGAACCGAACCGCAAACCGAAATATTTCTTGGCTTGTCTGTGACTGTATTATACATTAATATGTAGGGCACACTCATCAATGATTCACGCTAATTGTCGCAATTAAGCGCAATATATTTAATTACAAACATCACAAAGACACTCGAGTATAAAACATCAAAATTAATTAACTGCAACAGATTCCCCACAGTTGGCATTAACGTGAGGCTCAAAAGTCAAACAAAATGCACTACATAATCGGTCGTAAGCACAGTCTCCAGGCGAATGCAATTAAAAATAGATTTTCACCCTGGTTGCATGTGAATCCATCTTAATTTCTGTACTAGGTTAGTTAAAAAGAAAAAACAAAAATACAAAAAAAAAAACAAAACACGAATTGTTGTTCGTATATGCATAGCTACATATATACCACACAAAAAAAGAAATAAAAGTAAAATTCAAGCAAAAGCAATGCGTGTAATCGAATAGAGAGAAACGCATTTCCATAAAAATAAATCGAAAGTAAAAAAATCGTGCTGTGTGTTTTTCTTTCCTATTCTGGGGCTTATGTGTTTTTTCCATTCTGGGAACAGAATATATTAAAATAGATTTAACTGTGTATAGAAACTCAATATTACTTTTAAAGAGAATCTAAATTTGCCATTGAAAATTAAAGTTAAACATATGTATTTAAATAGCAGTATTTTCTGCTCCTATTTTCTTTAATTTCTTTAATTAATTTTTTATTTCATTGGCATCAAGTAAGCATTAAAACTATTTTGTAAGACTTGATACTAATAGTACATTAAAACTTAACTATTTTTAACAGTTTTGTCCTGTAATATTATTATAGTTTTGCAGACTCAACTACTTATTTTTATGCCTAATCAATCAATGGCATTGTATACTATAGTTTTAATATGTACAATGGAAAGTACCTATGTGCCGGAATGTGGACTTTAGCTTAGCTATTAGGAAAATCTGACATGCACACGCGAATTCCTATACCATCGCCGAGTCTGGGACCATAAAAAACGTTAAGTGGTCGTAAATCAAAATTGTGCAAGAACGGGAAAGTTCGCAAAGTTCTTCCTTTACTACTTTGCGACGACACCGAGTCCCTTCGCCTATTCGGTCTTATTGTCCTCTCCCCGGTATTTATTTCCAGATACTCTTGGGCGAACAGAAAGGAACTCCCAAAAGATCCGGAAATTGGCGGCGGGAGCAGTTGGAGCGGAGCATCACCATCCTCATCCTCATCCTCATCCTCGCTGTGGGCCAATCCAATTTCGGGCATTTGCAGTCCATTGAGTTTAGCTTAAATTTTAATGAAACTAAGCGGTTGCCTTCCATCCGAAAAAACCTATCCCAATCATTTTCGGGGGCCAGACAGCACCCCACATCTTCGTTTGTCGACTGCGACGCCATCAACTTTTAATATCAGCGTTTTTTCTCTTAATTTTTTTGTTGTTTACAAGTTTATGTTTTGATTGCTTTTGCTTGGCTTCGGACCCCCTCGCCGAGCATTCCGCTGGGCTTTGTTCAATTTTGTTGATTTTGCGACGACTTAATAGAGTTACTAATTATTGTGTACAGACAAGGGGACTGCTGGATAAAGCTTTCTAGCAATCTCACGAAAATCAGCGAAAATTGTCTAGTCTGGGGGAAATGTTTACAGATTCGTTGTAGGAGCTCAATACTCTTCACACTTTATTGTAAATTATTATTATTTGTTATTTTAACATAATATTTAAAAAATACTATCTTAAAAAAAAAATAAAAAACATTTTTAAAATCTTCAAAATCAAATTGTATGGTGAAAATAATGATTTATTAATTCTCAAGTTATTATTTTGAAAACTCTTTTTAAAATCTAACAATTTTTTTTGGACATATTGATAGTTTCACATAATTCAGATAGTTCGGACATTACTCTACAAATTATAAATATTTCAGAAACCATAGGTATCTTTATTTTTTGGGAACACAAAGGATCACCGATTTTTATACGGCCCAATTGAGCGTGAAGTTAAGAACTCGGAACTTGAGGACATCGTCATAACTTCGTTTACGGTTACACTGGCCATTAAAAGTAATTACCCAATTTCACGGACACCTCAACGTAAACAGACACGACAATCCACTAAAAGTTGGCGACCGTTAAAGGACACAATGAGCGTCCCCAGGCGAGAATTAAGAACTGGGGCGTTAACGAGACGAGCGGCATGGAATCGCATTCTCATTAACACGCCAGTCCGGTTTTAATTTCCTGTTTAATTTTTCTTTTCATTAAAAATGGCTGTCTGCATGGCCCGAAAAGCCGGTGCCAGCAGATTCTGCTACCAACTCCGACTTTTTGCCCCACAAGGCAAAAAGCCATAAACAATGCGCTCCGACAACTGCGACGAGTTGATGGACAAAATAATGCCTGATGACATTTATAATGAGCAAAATGTTGTTGCTTTTCGCCCATGTTGTAACGCTGTAGCTGTTGATAAGTGGAAATTCGCTTCATGTGGCCAAAATTTGCGCTTCATAGCATCATAAATCTGTGCACTCCACTTGCCCCACTGCCACTAACATCTTTTTTCTCCCCCAAAAGCTTTATTATTATTTAAAGACATTATTACAGAAGCTGGGATGGCAGTTTAAACACTGGCAACAATTGACTTTAAATTAAATTATTTTCTAAAGAAAAGAGGAGAAGGAACTATAGAAACCGACTATTTTATTTTGCTTTAGGTCTTATCGAAAAATAACTTTACTTCTTGAATAATACTGTTGCCAAATATGAAGGCTTAACTTTATTACGGAAATATGTTTAATATATTTAATGAAATTGTACACTGTCATTAGCATATTTAAGGAAAACATTTAAATGAAACTGATTCTGGAACGTAACTCTTAATTATCAAATGTTTTTCATACATTTTTGTGAAACCTTTTGCTCAGAAATGATTCAATACTGTCGCTTCGAAAGACATTTTGAAACTGGATTAACGTGTTAAGAATAGACTTTCGTATTTTTCTTTGTAGCTTAACAAAACAGACCTGCCAACTACTTCGTAAAAATCTTTCTTAGTCATATTATTGAACTTGACGTAGCTCAACAATGTTTTTATATATTTATGGCGAATGTTTTTCATCTTGCCATCATTTCGCTCATTTGGACGAAGACTACCCATTTGGCCAACAGCTCCCTTCTCATCGTTTCTTTTGCAAGTCGCCGTAGAAGTATCAGGCTTATCATCAGATTCTGAGGACTCTGCATAGCTGTCTTCGGATGAAGGATTTGCTTTTACCATATCACCAACGCCACTATCACCTCCTTCTTTAGAATCGTCATCCACATCCTCGACCGTCTCATCACTGATCAATCCATTGACGGTAACGTAACTCTCGATCATCTTGAACCTCTCTACCTCCGGCAAGTAGCCCTCTGACATAATGACGTACTTTTCGAAGACATCTGAAGTCAGGACCAAGACGTCGTAGCAGTTCATGGTTGTTCCAAAACGTCTTCTTAGGGGCTAAAAAATTACAATATGAAATTAGTAAATAGTAATTCAGGAGATTTCAATACTACAGCGAACGTAAAGCTGAAATTAGCTTAACTATATTGAAATCCATGTTTTTTTGTTTAAGATGTTGTAATGCTGAACTCATGGTATAGAACAAATTTCTCTGTAATGTTGAAATATACGTTTAATTTGTTGTAACTTTTTCAATATTGATCACAGGCAGAAAAATTGAATATTCTATTACATTTGTGTGCAACAGATATTCATAAATACTCATAAAATAAGTATTTTCGCAGATGATTTTGTACAATAAATCATACCTAACCCACCTGCACAGAAATATCGATGAGCCCACTATGGTCTAGGTTATGGGCATGCTGGAAGAGCTCGACAAGATCACCGATCACCATATTGGGCGCCCGTGCCTGGAGGATGGCCACACAGTCGGCGACGATCGATTTTACCAGCCAGATGGATCCGCAGCTGAGAAGCTCTATTATCATCGAGTTGGTACTCTCCTCCAGTTTCTTCTTGTTGTAGGTGTACACATATTGGAGGAACATGGCAAACGTTTCCGGCTTCACTTGGCTCAAATGGAATTTCCCCGATTTGGACTCCTTGAACTCACTCAAAAACATGCGCTCGAAGAAATCCGATGCACTGGCCAAAATTACCTTGTGGCACTCAAAAGATTCGTTCTGCACCAAAATATGGCAGTCGCAAAACTTTTTGTTCTCTATTAGATTGGCAAAAACAGGTTCAAGCCTGAAACATAAGATGGAATTCGTAAGAATTCTTAAAGTTTTGAGATTCTTACATGCACTTTTTCACTCTTACCATTTCTCCATTTTAAATTGATTTTAGGAAGTTCACTGAAAACTGCAAAAGTAAACTTAGATAATTAATACCTCAAGTTGAAAATTTATTTATTTATAAATATATACATTTATGTTTGCAAGTACATATGTACAGACATGGACAGATTATTAACACAAAGGATGCCACAGTTTTATGCGAACCTAGCACTTTTTGTGCGTCCATATCTGTACATATGTATGTACATATTTATGCATGTATGTATGTATGAATTCGAAGAATGATAAGCTTATTTTCGCCTTTAACAACTATCTTGCTTCCTCGATTTCAATGAAATTTATTTCAGGGTCCCTTTTTCGAATGGTCAAAGCAGCACCTGAATATTTAAATAGTATTCCATACCTTTTTTTATGCGATCTTGATCTCGACTTTCCGATTCACTGGAATATTCCCAACTAAAACCACGCGGAACTTTTAAGCTAGAGAAGAAAGCAACATCGACACTTGAATCGATTCATCGATATTTCTTGTTTTAAAGGTCGATATCTTTGAGAGTCGATTTACACGTTGGGTATTTTCCATGGTTAGGGTATTACAACCCTTTAGTATACTAGTATCGCAGAATGTTATATAAAGTTAAACAAAAATTTATTAATTAAATTAATAAACAGAAAGGAAAATAAATCATGTTTTTATATCAAAAAAATTTTAAAATAAATCAGTTATGGTATTATAATTATTTACGAGTAACCAAGAACAATTTTGGTTGGTTTCAATAAATAAATTAAACTAAAAATTTGAGTTTTCAAACAGCTGACAACCAAACTACTTCAAATATTAATTGACATACTTACTTTAAATGGTGAAAATTTGAATAGTTTGGGAAATACAGTCATTTTTAACCAATAAATCACTGATAAGTAAGCTATGGAAAATTTTTTTATTTTCAAATTTTCTATCTAAAAATTGAAGCGCTTCCACATTTTTAGTAAAAAAAATTCGATAGTTCTAGTTTTCATGGATTTTTTAAAGGATACTTAAATTTTAGATTTGGTGGTTGTTTTAAACTTGGAGTCTATATTAATTTACATATGTACATACATACATATAAAGCTGACCCGAATTTCAAGCCAAAGAGAAATCTGTGCCACCCCCGAATAGGTTTATGCTTGCGCATCAATATACAACCATAAATAGTTTGTTTATTTGGATGTCGGTCAGTATTAGCTTTCAACAGTGCGGAGTACTCCAGCCCTTTATTGAATGCTTATGCAGAAATTGCATTCATAGCATCTTTTCAAAACGCAGCTTTTTATTGTGAAAGATATATTTTTACTGGAATAAAAGATCTTTCTGCTTGACTTTTACGTAAGTTTATGTACCAGTTTTAGTATGTAATCCCATTTTCATGTAAATATTCAACATACTAAATACATTATTTTATGATAGAAAATTCAAAATATAACCCTATTGTTCTACAAACCATTTTTATCCATGCAATTTTAAATTTTAATGTATTTTCAAATTCTTTAAGTGGGCTCAAATATTCAAACAGATTCCACCCCGCAAGAGACATACATATGTGAAATCCGCAACGAGTGTTGGCTATTTGGTCAACTTAAATATAAATTATCCAAAATCTGTTTGCTTCAATAGACCACTTGGTGGTCCACACTGCCCACTCCATGGTATGTCAAAGACATCAATTCCTACTGTGTCCTGGGATATCCGATAGTAAATTTTGTGGTCCTGCCCCGGTCCTAGACAATTGACCAACTCCATTGTTGGACGGTCACTGCCCACCCAGCTGTAAGTAATTAGGAAATTTGCAAAATGTTCCATTTGCCGGACATGAATCTGCAAATCTGACGTTGTCGTTGTCGTTGTCCTTGCTGCCAATCCTCGCATCCCGACGTTGGAAACCGAAACCGCATTATGCACACAGACGATTCTCATTTCCCATCGAACACTTCGCCAAGGACTGTGTTTGCAAGACAAATAGCAGTTAATTATCACACAACTCGTCCTTTATCCGTTTATAATAATTCATCTTGGTCAGCCATTACACACTTGATATTGATATTTGACCATGGTCTTCGATGTTTACCGATAGCATTTGGGTGTAGTATTACAAATTATTCATTTGCTAAGTTGGGCGCTATGTATGCTGCATATAATTTGGGGATTTACCATTAGCACCAGCTAACAGTAGAAATATTTTTATTAAGACCAAACAAATTTGACGCCATTTTTTTTTAAGTAACTAAAGATTTGAAATCTTTAAATTGTTGAGTAAGTAAGAGAAGGCTTAGACTTTACGAATTAGAAATTAACACGTATCGTATCAGGGTGCGTAAATGGAAACCGAATGCCTCATAGCCTCATAGATTTGAGACCGCCAATAAGTTATTGGCCCAATATTTTGGGCATGTGTGTGCGTACTACTTGAAATTGATTTACTTTTGCTGCAGGCCAATTTGGCACGCTCATTTGGCCAGCCAATGACTTGGCTTGTAAGAGTTGGCCCACAGAACACGCTCGTAATTAAGCGTCCCCGGAGTGTAGTTAATGCTGTGGTGCCATAAATTTGACTTTTGTCTGTGTTCCAATGTCTGTGAATTGGGTTATTTACGGGTGGAAGCTGCATTTGTCAGGTGAAAAGGAAAATTGTGGGTTGAGAGCAGCTAGCTTAAGGCGTTTTCATATTCAATTAGGCACGGACTTGGCCAAAGGTTCTTTGAATCTAGCTTAAAGGAATATATATTTTGCCATTTTGGTCAAGACATGTGAATTTAATTTTATTTAATGGTTTTTGATGAGCAAAGTTTGGGATATGGATTGTTGTTTTGAAAACAATAAGAAATTTAAATAAATTTAATTTTTGAGTAAGCTATTCCTTGCTGCAAAAATCAACAGATCCAGTTGCCTACTTTTGTGTTGGCACATCGTTTTTATTTCTCCGAGGTTTAACATCCATGCTGTACATTTTGGAACTATCAAACTGGAGGACATATCAGTTCTGACAATTTCCCCATTAAAATCACCACAACACGGTGGTAATTTTTGTTACGACTAAGAACTTTAAGACAACACTCTTACACACTTTTCTTTCGAGAAAAGGAATGATATTGTGTTGAGAAGAAGATGGGCTGATTTTTGTTGGGGGGGGGGAAACTGCACCATCAACAAGTTTTTGTTGTTTTTCCGCCTCCAAAGTGCATTCGCCAAGGAAAAGATTCTACAGGAGCCGCCCATTATCACCATGTAAGCAATGGTGTAGGTGCAGAGAGAAAAAATATCCCCAAATTGTCACAAAATTGGTAATACCAAAGCATTTCTCTCCTATTTTAATACATTTAATACATACAATTGATGTTCCGTTAAAGGTGGTGTACACTATATATTCCTTTTTAAATATTATTGAAAAACGTATTTGAGCAACAAATCAATAAAAATTCAATAATATAAAATTAATTAATATTAAAAAAAAGGTTTAAATTTAATGTTAAAATATAGCCTATGGTAAATTATTTTCAAATACATATGTACTTCTTAATAAGTGGTAATAAAGGAAAAATAGAAAAACTCAAATTTTTAATAGATAAAGAATTACCGTTCTGTTTTTTCCCTGTACACATATAGCTGTCTAGCTGTCGACTTGTCCATCTTCTTGGTCGTTACATCGAGAAATATGACAATCTGCGACGAAGTTAAAATGTGGGTGGAAGGAAGCCGGGCTGAAGGAATCCGGCACTCAGGTGCGCACGTCTGTGGACAACATAATGGCGGAATCGAGTTGGGCAAAATAGAGTATAACACCCACGAGGGAGAAAAAGGATTGAGGCTTAGGTGCGAGACAAGCTCATGCAAGAATTCATAAGGAAAATATTAAAAATGAATTACCAACTCTGACATACGCAAACAAGCGCAAACTCCCAGTGACACATCGCGAGGTTGGAAGCAACCCAATCCCACCCACTCAACTCCAATGAGAAATTCTACATAGTAGGTAAAGTGTGTATGATTATGTAGCACTCAAAAGTGCTTGTGTGTAATCCGAACCCAACGTTGTTTGCCAGTCAACTCTTCGTCGTGTTTATCTTTAAAGGGGTTAAATACTGTTTTCAAATTTAAAGGCGAAACTTTTAAACTTAACTTATTTGTCGATTTTTATTCCCTTGCAGAGGGTATTATAATTTCAGTCAGAAGTTTGCAACGCATGCAAGGCTACATTTCCGACCCTATAAAGTATATATATTCTTGATCAGAATCACTAGGAGAGTCGATCATCCGCATGTCCGGACAACTATAGCATAATATATATATAACTTGGCTGTTTTTTAATATTCTTTTTAGGTCTTCGAACAATATTAGTTGTTAAATATTCCAGAATTATCATATCATATCAGTCAAAATTTAAAACAAAGTAAACTTAAAAAATGTAACTGCTCAATTTTTTAATTTTTATAACATTTTTTTTGACGTAGCAATAATTAGATAGTTCAGAACTGCGATTTTAATTTTATTCAAATCGGATAACTGTATCATATATATGCCATAGGAACGATCGAATAAATAAGCTAAAAATCATCATAGCTTCAATGCCTTGAAACCTATATGCATATCAATCGAATTTTATATGTTTTAAAGAGTATTTCATTTTTGCAATAACTGCAAGGGTATATAAACTTTGCAGATGTTTGCTTCCTTTCTTGTTGTTACTCTTTTAAACACGCCAAATGCAAATTTCACGACGAAACATATTTTCGTTTGAATTTACATAAGTACAAAAAATTTGAATGCAAAAAACATGGCGACATTACAAAAAAAATAATATTTTTACATATTTATTTGAATTTTTGTTTATATCTACCTGTAGTGCGAAAAATAGTTTTTCATCTCATATTTTAACAATATGGTAGAGGCCAAGGCATAAAATTGAAAACATTTAAGACAATTTAAGGTATTGAACTGATCAAGAATTATTTTATGATAAGCAAGTCTTTGTGATAAGTGTTTATTAACGAATTAAGAAGAAAGTGATACTAACATCGAAACCTCACTAAACACATGATTATTATTTATATTTTGTTACGACATTTTCAAAACTTCTGCAAGTGAGGAAGACACAAATATGTGACTTTAAGAATGATGCCAAATCAAATTTAATGTTTTGGATTTCCTTTTTGTCAGTCAAAAGCTTTGCATTTTCAATTAGGCGAACATCAATGATTTTCCACAAAGCAGAAGAAACAGTAAAAGAAATAGGGAGGCACGAATACAAAAACTCATCCCCGTGAAGACGGTTAATTTGCTCATCTTCTTCTGGCCGCGTTCGTGCACTCGCTGTGCATCCGGCGGAATCGTATACGGCCGTAGTCCTTTGCCGTTCATGCATGACCACGCCAATGTTTTCGCTTCCCATTCGGTTATATAGCTGCCATTGCACAATGGGCCAGGAAGTTAATTTTTGGCCAAAAAACTGATATTTCATACTTTAGACTAAACAAAAAGGACTAAAATTTATGAATTTATTTTTTCCTTAATGTGTTATTATCTACCTTTAAATAATTTATACAGTACATTTGTTTTGAATATTGTTTTAATGTTTGATCTGTTCAGCATTATCAAGTGTACATTTTAATATTCTTGTTTGTTATTCAACAAAATGTAAATTTATAAAGTCGTTAAAAAAATTCCCTCTAAATATATTTTAGGCCCAGTGTGCGTCGCTTACATATCCGCTTCCTTCTTTGGCAACTCGATGACGCTTTGGGGGGCCCTTGGAGTCCGGAAAAAGGCAACATTTTCGATTCGATTTTTTGCCAATTGCCCGAGACTGTGTCCCGTCGGCGTATGACGAATACGTTGTGTACGTGCCGCCGACGTTACTCATACGCACCGTAGGACTCGCCCGGCATCCCAGCTTACACGTCCGCGAAATATTTTGAACTTGAAGAGCACAAGCCTTCCAGCTCCCAGGGCGATATTTGTTTTTCGCTTTTGCATATTTTGCGGGCAATTTGGGTAAAAGGATTTCCACACCCTGCAACGCCGTCTCCAACTTTGTTTTCCCATAGAGCGGCTCCCTTTTTCCACAGCGCCTCAGCAAATCGCTCACGTAAAATATGCATGCGTTTCCTCGGCGGTTTTCGCTCTCAAGTGCCTGCAATTCAATTACATTTCGATTGATTTTCGTGTTTGGCCCCGAATCGAGGCGAAACCTCTTGGTCTGGTTATGCATGGGGCGTGTTTTTGGGCGATTTACGAGCGTGAACCGCCATTTTATGTATGTGTGGTTTGCCTTCAAAATACGATTTTTTACACTTCAGAAAAACCGATTAAGAAAATATACCCACAGATTATTTTTAACATGCTCTCGACTATAAATCATATCTTTAAACAATCTTGTATGGATTTAAACTATTTTAAGATCTTTCTAATTACCATTACTAAATTTAATTTTCTTAAAAAAATATTGTTTAAATATCTATTAAACCAAAAAATTGGTTTAATATATCCATAACATTTAGTACTGTTTTTTTTTGTATTTTCTTTGCTTGTGCAATGGCATTGTCTAATGAAATTCTTGCCCTGAAATTCACTTCTATCAACGTTTTTATTGCAGATGGCGAGACAGTTGAAATGAAAAGCTGAAATCAGTGATACACAAAGCAGAAAAAACCATTGAAATTGTAAGGATACACAGATGCAGATACGCCAATAAATGTACCAGCATATATGTATATACGGTTTAATGTCGAACTCGCAGATTGTTCCCTTTAAACAAATAAAAAAACAGGCAGCACGCCGAAAACCAATAAAATTAAATGGGAAAAACGAAAATCCAAGTTGCTGTGAGAGTGGGTCAATTGGCGAAGGCGAAGGCAAATCAATAAATATCTTGGGAAAAATAAGAGATATTGGTTGGATTTTTGTTACAGCAACCCCTCATTTTAAATTATCAGGTTTTTCTATGATAATGATTTAAATCCAGTGCTTATCCCCATAATCAACCACTAAACCCTTAAGAACACCAAACAATTTAATCTGAGAATCCCAGAATGCCTTTTCATTTAAATGAATTCATGTATTTAAATACATTTTCCTTGCTGTGCCAGTAAAACACCGAACATTTGTCCAAATGAATTGATGCCTCAATTATCTAAATGACTATGGCACACGTTTAATGGTTCTTTGTGAAACAAATAGTCCTTCCCATGCTGACTCTTTATGGGCTAGGCAAAGTGTGAATCAATGTACAGGGAATCAATTAAAATTTGAGAAATTGTATCGCTAGCACGCCCAAGGCTATGTCAGCACGTTGAGAATCCTCCAAAATACGCCCACGGGACCCATTCACTCTCAGAACGAGCCAAAGTCAAACCCAATCGCATAGATACATATGTACATTGCAAACTTGGTTTGTGTTTTCCAAAGTACGTAATGTTCTTGGTTGGCAAACTGGGATTCGCCGCCATCATCCATACCTGTGCACATACAAAGTAAAACATTTGATGGAGAAATGGGGGAGGCAGCTTGCATCCCGTACATATATAGATATAGACTGACAATGTTAGTGCACGCAATAAACTGTACACTCACTTCAACGATACCAATAAAACAAGGGGAGTTTTGAAGCATTTTTGTTTTTGTTTCCCCATTTGTGCTCAATATTTTTCCCATTGCGAAAGAAGTTTTCAAGTAAACTGTATTGGTTTCCGGTGTGTTAAAATTATTTTTCCAAGTATTTATTTGAGCGTTTAAATTCCGGAATCAAAGACACATATGGAGTAGTGTGATTATATAACAAATCTTACACACTGTTCAAAAGAATAGGGCTTTTAAATTATTTAAAAAAAGCATAGAATGAAAATAGGAACGTTATAAATCTATCGGAGTTCCAAAATACAAAATAATATTGTATTTTGCATACCCCTAATATCTACCGCTAGTTTTTTAAAGCCTACTACATAAAAATAAAGTGTATATAAAAGTGTTTTACTGTTATGTTATCATGATTAATGTAAATGAACTAAAAAAAAATTGTTCCGTTTATCCCCATTTTATTTAACCACCAATTCAAAACTTTCTTTATAATTACATGTTTTTTATCCAATATTATGATTTAGGCGTCTCTTTAAAGAAATGAAAAAAAGGGAGGTGGGAGAGATTTAAATCGAATTTCGCGCTAAAAGGACTGTGCAGATGGCAGGCCAAAGGACTCGGAAGGGCAGATAAGCGGTCATAAGATTATTTTTACTGGTGATCCGATGACCGTAAAAATGAGCGCCCGCAGCAGCGACTCTGTGGTGGAGTATATTCGCTCAAGCGGATATCCTTCATCGGAGCTGAAGTTCCATGTCCTGGCTGGCCATGTCCACCAATTTGCTTTGTTGTCGCGGCAGCCCGTCTGCCCTTTTATGAACTGCGAACTTGTCATCCGCCTTCGCCCTTTTTCAGCACTTGCCTTTATTTTGGCAGCGACATCGGCGGAGGTTTAGCTTCCCTTCGATGATAAAAACGACGCTGCGCCCATAAAATTTTACGGGCTCCTTAGGACTGCGAAGCGGTATCGGAATCGCCATCGAGTTCCATATATTGTTGAACACTTGAAACTAATGCCTGATTGACACCATCAAAGCGCAGCGAGGACACGGCGGAAATTACAAAATTTAACACTTTATGTGGTTCTTGTGGATACTTCAAGGTATATATTTTAAGCGCAACACTCCATTTATGACATAATGCCAAAACATAAAGCTTATATTGTGTACTTGATTCTATTTTAATAGTACCGATCGAATCGAGTGGCCACATTCATTTACGGTGACTTAAAACTTTTAGAGATTATTAAATTTTTTTATTAAAAGAAATACATTTTTGTTTAATTATTAAAACCTTTTATTGATGTATACAAAAAGGTGGAAAAATAAAAAATGTTAAAGCCGCATGTGTATTTAAAATACAAAAGGGTATTTTTGAATTTTTAATCTCTTGGAAAAGCAATATATTTGTCCAAACCATATAATCGAAAGTAAATTTTAAAATTTACAAGAAGGTTAATTGTGCAATTTCCCAAATGTTTTTTTAGATGATATTTTTGCGGTAATAAAATTTTATAAACATGGAGGCATTTCATCTTATTTATTAGATATACCACTTTTTAATAGATATACCATTTCTCTTGACTTCACTTGTTACTTTCTGCAGTGAACAAACTTGACCATATGATAAGATATGACATTTAAAAATATAAAAAAAAATATAAAAAAATGCTGGCTTGTTTCCAAAATCTATGTTCTCTTTTTACAAGCCCCCAACTGACCAACCAGATGATCGCCCTTGACCTGGTGCCATTAATTTAGATCTCATGCGTTCCATGCTGGTGCCCTGCAAACGGACATCCATCGAGATTGGCATATCCTGCACCTCTTCTTTCTTTTCCGGATTCGATGGAGCTTTGAATTTCATGTCGATGGTTTCGCCACTCAGTGGATCATCGGTGGACTTGGCAATGGAACGCAACACCTCACTCACATTGCGTATACGTGCGGGTGGTTTCTCTCTGGGTGGATCCGGATCGGGAAGTGCTGGCTCCTCTGCGATTTGATCAGACATCTTGGAGAACCTGGCGTATATCTTGTACTGATTGAAATCGAAGATCTTCCCTTGATTGGTGTACTGTTTAACGGTCTTCCTTCGTTGCTTTTTACGTTCGCCAAAGTCTCGGGTAGTCGCACCCACAGCCACCAGGGCGATGTTGCTCTGGCTGTGCTCCAAGTGGAAGCCACCGCTCTGGCAACTGCTGATCACAGCCCGCACCACCTCGGAACAATCCACTCTGGTCCCAAGCAGATTAGTCAGCGCAGAGGCAATCTTCTGAATATTCGGGGGATCAAACACGACTCTGGCCAGCGGAGTCAGCAGAATTTTGTGGCGCGGATCATGGTAAACTGGCAACATAGCACAAATCTTCCTAACCGCCAGCAAACCGGCCTGCTTTAGAGTCAAATACAGCTTGCCCCCACCCAATCGAGGCTGTCCGCTGATCGGTTTCTGGAAAGTGTACGTGTAGATATAGACACTTCCGCCGCCGTTGAAGACCAGGCGCCACATCTGATCCCTGCCGCTCTGCTTTAGTTGTCGCATCCTGGGACCCAGTTCAAAAATCACCCGGTTGGCAAAGTCCAGACTCTCCGTCATATCCGTTCCCGGGCCATCTCGAAAGTCGGGGCAAATCTCGGCAAAGGTCTCGCACAGTAAATCAAAGTCAAATTCTTTTGTACTTCTTCGGGAACCGCTAGCCATTATTATCTAAAAACGAACGAGTCAGATATTAATAAGAATCGGTCTTGTATTTATTGTACACAAAAAATTAAGAGGAGAAGTCCATTAAATATGCTTTCACAGATAGAACTTCTCATAAAATATATCAATATATTTTTGAAACTTAAATTTAATTGTTTATTAAAGATTCAAAGTAAAGAAGTTTCAACGTAAAACGTATAATAAATGTTGTATATAAAATTTGATGTTTTATAAAGAAAATCACGGAAAAAAATCAAATCGGTTATCTGCCATCAACTTTTTAAATGCAGATATAAAATAAAATGATTTGTTAAACAAATTGCAGCTAATTATTTTATACACTACACTATAAATCAATTTAAAAATTGAATCTTCAAACGATTTTAAACAGATCTTATTCTGGGTACTGCTGAGCTCGCAGAAATCCTTGTTTGTAAATATGAATATAAGTTGAAATTCTGTTTATAAAGAGACTTGGTTTCTGATTTCAGTAAACACTTCTGGTACCGTGCTTTATACAAGCAAGAAATTAAATATTGCGCAGCTCCAAGTTTTTATTAGCTCCTCCAAAACGTTTGGCTCTCGGATAAAAACTGATTGCAACTGTTGGGTTGCTTACTCAACCGAACTTGATATTTGAATGGAAACTGATCGGGAACGTTATCGAAAACTATTTTTATTAATCGATTAATGTGTGAACAAAAAAGTTAAATTAAAAATTTTATGTCCCTTTGTTTTATTCACACAGATTACATAAAAATTAAAAATTGCGGAGGGTGCAATAATTTCAGTGAAAAGTTTGCAACGCAGTGAGAAATACATTTTCGACATTATATTCTTGATCAGCATCACCAAGAGAAACAATGAAAAATTCAGCGAAAATCGACACACACTGGTCAAAAAAACATAGTAAATCTAAATATTTTTTACTTAATTTAATTATTTTTGCGCTTTGATTGCGGATCTTGGTTATGTTGATTTTATTTGGAATTTATTATAATAGCTAAGCATTTAATTTACATTTCAAACATATTTAACTTAAATAAAATGCATTTAAATCAAATAAGAACTATTTTAAATCTAATATTTTACACATAAGTTTAATATTTAATTTTAATAAGCATTATAAAATTTGTAATTCAATAGTTAGATGTTTATTTTTACTATTCGTTTTATAGAATATTTTATATTTGTAATATCTGCAAGGGTATATAATCGTCGAACTGCCAAATTATGCACCTTCTCTTCATTTTATTGATTTGGATCTACATTGTTGTTTGACATTTACAGTTTAATAACTATAGCAATTTTTCTGATTTCCATTTATTATGTATGAACAGCCTCAGTGTAGTAAAAATTCTTTAAAAAAAATAAATAAAGTTTAATGGTGAAATGTGTTCGTTGCCACACTGGGTATTAAGAAAAGTAACAATGTAATCGAGCTTCACAGCTTTTACTTACCTGCCTGGGGATATATTTATGTGGCCATGTGTGCAATAACTTGGCGACAGGCGACGGGCGACGGGTGACAGGACGAGGCTGCTTTTCACCTTCGAATTTAATGAGCTTCCACGGCACGTGATTATTAGGCGAACGGGCGTACGTGTAGGATTCTTTACCGAAATTTCCTTTCCGGCTGGCTACAGCTGCTGACAATTCCCCGAACACTCGCCAGGAAAAGTGCTCTCCTTCGCCGACTTAACCACATCGCATCCGCATTCACAATGGCGCACCGTACCATGGCCACATGGGTGCGATTCCGTAGTTTGCCAGCCGTCTACCGCACATCTTCACATATTCAAAATTTTTACTCAGCTTCTTTTAAGGCGAAACATAAACAATTTTTCGCGACGCTGAAAAACTTTTAACTCGTTCGGTCCGTACATTTTCCACACGTGTTTCTGCTTCGGTTACCTCCACCTACATAAATAAACGCCATCAAGGTAGAAAAAAATATGAACAGTATCTTCTTTTGAGCTGAAACACAGATATTCCTTTAAGAAGTAATAGGTGAAGCTTAAAGTTAAGGCTTTATAGCTGAAATATAATAATATTTGAAAACTAATATTGAGATTGAAAATAATTTATAATTTCGATCACAATTCTAAAATTTCAGAAAAAAAATTGTGCTTGCTTTGCCAAGTTATAAATGATGCGTGACAAACATGAGAAGAAAATAATATTTTGCTGAAATACTATACTTAGCTGAGCGTAGGAAATAATTTTTGGAAATTTCCTTTAATTTTTTCAATTCTCAATTGAAATTATTTTAATGAAAAAACAACTTGGCAAAATATTTAGCTAACAATTAGCATCTAATCTTTTTGTTCATAACTAAAAACAAATTGAAGATAATAAATAAAATTAACTGAAAGCTGCTTCATGTATAGCTGTTCAAATTTTTAATGGAAAATTTATTTCATTTTAATTCACTGGATGTCCAATTAGAAAATGTAGCTTCTCTTAGTGGCCCCTTCTAGAATCAATCATCTTGTGGCCTAGATTTTCCGAAACACCAGCGAAATCAGTTTGAGAGTTGATCAAGTCCATCAGTGAGTCAACGATCTCGTCCAGGGTGAGTGGATGTCCATTGGCCACCATTATGGCCATGATTAGGGGTGCTAAAATGTCGTTGTAGCACCCGTCCATTGTACTTCCACCGCCTGCAGCTGGGTATTGGAAATTTAAGAAAATAAAACACTAGTGCTCAATTTGGAATGCTCGATCTCTGTTGTACTCATGTGAATTTATGACATCTCGGCTGACAAGCCCTGCAGGGCTACTTCTCAATATCTTGTCGGGTTTCCACATCACCACCGAGTGGGTTGGTTTGGTTGGGGGAAATTCAATTTGAAAAAGTGTCACTTGTCAGTTGGTCACAGTCCATTGTGTTGCTCTTGCTGTTTTCCACCCATGCTGTGCATTTTTTGGTTTCGATATATCAATACCACGGAATAGGGCAGGCGATGCGGGGATGTGCAGATACATTTCGTATGCAAATTGCTCGCAAGTCTGAGACTGGCAAGTCAATAATAAAAAAAGACGACCACCCATGTCGCAATCCACATATACATACATATATGTACATATACATACATATATGTACATATACATATACATATGCAAATAACGACACGCCCACACCGCCCACATCCAGCAGAGGTACAATCTTCAGCTTATTCCATTTCATCTAGGTATTAAAAAAAAAGGTTGTTTAACAACCAAGATTTATGCACCTTTAAATCTATAGTGCCAACACTATTTTAAGTCAAACAATGTTCTAATCCATCTATGGAGCAACCAAATTAGTCATACTTTCAAATATCTTTGAAAAAGAGTTTCTTTTACTGGTATGAGTTATTTCGTTATATAAACTTAAATTTGTATTTTTGGTTACCAAAAATATTCTTAAAACAAGTGAATTTTTATTTTATCTTTATTTATAACATTTTATTAACATATTAATAAGTTTTTTAATGTATTCCCTTTCTATAAATTTAACTAAAATTAAGATATTTTAATGATATTATTCTTATTTAAAGTACCTACATACATATTTATTTAATTTTATAATATCAATTTCTATAAAATTCCAATAAGATTTTAAATAAAATTAACATTAACTTTAAAGAGCTTAATTGATTTTTTCCTGGAAATAATGTAACTTATTTAGACTCTTAAGTAAGAAACAAAAAAAAAAAAAAAATTTGACAGAATTTTTTTAAGAAAATTTTAATTTGTTGATCTAAAAAAATGTTCACATAGTACACTCTATTTTAATTGTATTTTAAGACTTAGTATTGGTAAAAGTATTTATTTGAAATGGAGCTACAGCTGATGTTCCAAATTAAAAAACCCAAAACAAACGTTAAAGTAATGATAAATTTTAAAATTAATCGAACCCAAAGGAAAAATCAATTCTATAATAGAATCTAGCTGTTCTGTACGATAGTAACACGATAGTACATCTAAATTGAGAAATCAGACCTTAACTCCAGCTTAGAACTCTAAATGACGGTGGTTCCCACACTCAGAGATTTTGATTTCTAGAATATATATGTATAAATTGTATATTTATTTAGCTATTTTTCCAGCCCTGAAGTATCGGATACATTCATGTGTGGTTGCATTTGGTTGTGGGTGTGATTCTGGGGTTGGGGTTGGGGTTGTGAGATTGCATACGGCTTTGTTCACTGCCCCCCGATCAGCACTCAGTCAGTTTCTGAGTCTTTGGCGGATCGCGAGCTTTGCAAAATCGACATAGCGCTGAGTTGTGGCTTTTGTTATTCCATAATATATCTGTAAGATTAATATATACACAGTGCTGCGTTCACACAAATAAAAGTGCGCTTTTAAAGTATTATATCTTACGCCCTCGCTATATTTATTTAGTAGATTAATATCATTAAAGTGATGAATATAAATTTAGAGTAAGATTATTAATTTAAATAAATCGTTCAAGTAGTGTCCCATTACAATTATATTATTTGGTGTATATGCTCGAAGACTTCATGTGCGAGTCTTTGTTGTTATTCATTGAATTCTGTAAACACAGTGCTATATGCAAGCAAAATTAAAGTTGATAAGCGTTTCGGCACGCAATAATAATTCGATACGCCTGAAAGAGAAAACCGGCAAGTAAACAATTTGAGGCAAAACGCTGACTTATGTGCACGGGTATATATGTACAATGTACATATATTTAGCAGTCGGAATGTCTCTATCTCTCGGGCGTAGAAAAGCGCACACACGCACAATATTGGACAAAAAAATATTACTAAGTTAAATAATATCGAAACAAGAGCTAAATCACGTTTTCCCAAAAGCAAAAGATTACGAAATAATACAAAAATTCAATATTGTTTGGCTTAAGAATGTATATATACTGATTTTCCTCCTTTTTTTGTGGATATTTAATTATTCGCACAAAACTAAAATAATATTTCTGTAATAATATTCCAATTAAATGCGATCTAAATTAATTTTGAAATAACGTTGTTGGAACAAAAGGAAATTTGTGTGTAGAAAAGAAACTTGAGCACTGCCTTTTATAAACTGAACGTGACTATTTTTCACTATTGTATTTAAAATTACCGAACGTGCTGCAAAAGATAACAAAATCTTAGTACAATATTAAAATATGTATATGTATTTCCATCATTTAATTTGTTAAAAAAAATTATACAAAGCCTTCTGCATAGATCAATTCTAGTAGATTAAGCTCAAATACTAATGTGCAATAATATTTCGAACTCTTTTGATAATTCAGTCGAATATCTACAGTTCGAAGTTTTCTTATTTATGGACAACAGTATACAGTATATAAATACTTACCCTTAAACAATATATTGTACTTCCTTGCAGAACTATGTCAGAGCCGAACATAAAATTCGTCTTCGACTTCGAGAAGTTGAAGCAGACGTTCGGCGAGCTCTGTCCGGATTTCAAGGAGGAGCCCGATTACGAGAGGGCCACTGTTAGTCGTCGCTTTGCCCAGGAGGTGATTTTCACCTACAGCAAGGAGGCCGCTGCAGCCAAATCCAAAAAGAAGGACGTGTCCTGGTCGATGCGGTTGGATGTGGAAAATGAAAACGGCACAACCATTCACAGCGAGGTAAAGATCCAGACGCACTGGGTCCGCGAACCGCCGCAAAACCAGCCGTTTGTGATGCGGGGTCTCCTGCTGTTGTCCTTCAAGCAGGCCAGTCTGCTGGCGGTGGAGAAGTATTGCCAATTGGTTCCCCACCAGGTGAAGCGGGGCGAGCTGGTGCTCACTCCTCTGGCTGGAGCCGTGTTCTCCAAATTCGAGATGCCCCAGCTGGCCGAGGCTCTGGGTGAACCACTTGACGATGTCGTGGTGGCCGTCATCAGCAGCTGCCAAACGGATGGCTATTATCTGGAGCACAGTCGCTGCCACATCGCTTTGGTGGCCCTCATCAAGACCGTTTCGGATCTAAAGATGCGGGCCTCCATCGTCAAAAAGACCATCAAAATGTACAAGCTGCATGGCAAGGATTTCGACATGGAGAAGTTCAAGGTTTGGAGCACTTTCCTAAGGAAGTCTGCTCCTGCAAAGCGACGGTGCGACAGCGATGGTGATGATTACGACAAGCTGGCCGAACAGGTTCTGGCCTTTAACATCAACAGCAAGGAGGAGAGTCGCAAGCAAAAAGTTTCGATGAAGTGTGCAGCTAATTTTCAGGTACAGAAATCAGGAACCGGAAAAATTTGAGGTATCCAAAGATTTTATATTTACAATGAATACGGACTTAAAACCCTACTTGAGACTGGCCAAGCCATTCTTCTTTACATTGAACCAATCAACTGTAGCGATCCCCAACGAGAATAGTTCACAAGTCGCAGTACAATATTCATTAGATATTATCTGTCTTTTGTACAAACATTTTAAAATTATATCAATAAAAATCAGTTTCTTTCGGTTCAATGTAAGTCTAGTTCTTTCATTTCCCAGCTTACACTTTTAAATATTTTTATCAGGGGTTGAAACTTAACAAAACACAAATTAGGCTTACAAGCAAAAAAAAAAATAAAAAGTTAAATGGGGTTATGCCTTTTTTGTAATATATTGTGCAAACCCACTTCATTATCTGAACATATCTTATTAAATTTTTAAAATTCAATGGCCAAAGTAACTAAAAATATAATTTTATAATTCTCGAATATTATTGGAAGTTTGTAAGATGGCACATGAGTTATCAGCGATTGATTAACCCTAATTGTTCTACAAGGTTTATTCGTTTTACCCTGTGATTTCGTCACATTAGCTTTATAATCTTCTTATAATAATTTTTGGAAACAAAACAAAAGAGGCGTTTTCATTTTAAGTGATGGCGGAAACTATTTAGTTTTCTCAGTTGGCTTCGGCTTACGTTTCTGGTGCAAAACCATCGATAACTTCTTCCGTTCATGCTCTAAATGCGTACACAGACCTACGGATTGCATAAAGAAATCCTTGGAATGTTGAGGATGTTCATCTTCTTGGTTCTTCTCTGCTGGCTTGGTATTGGAACGAGCCCGTTTGAGAGCTGCTTGCAGGTTGAGACGACTTTTCTTCACCTCCGGATTGGTGTTTGAAGGGCGCGGTGGTTTCGGAGGTTCAACAGCGGGGGTTTGAACTTCAACGCCGGGTTCTATACCGTCTATTATGAAATACTTCTTAAGCAGCTGGCTCTCAGTGGGTCGCTCCATTACGAAATGCGGTCTTATGGAAAGTTCCGGGCCAATGATGAGCGGCACAATGGCTTCACTTACGATTTCCCTAACCACCAGTTCGTTGGGCTTAAGGTCCTGCTCCGTGAAGGCCAAGCAAAAACGATCTATGTCGTCCTGGAGGCGAAGTACCAAGTAGTGACATTCCGCATTCATTTCGTACAGCATCTCCTCCAGTTCGTTGATGTAGTTGTTTTTGATCACTGGATCCTGTGAGATGGGATAATTCTATTACAAAACTTTAACTTTTATATATCATTGCGGAAAGGACTACAATATTATAGCCTATGAATCAGAGGAATATACAGTTATTTCTATATGCAATCGCATAGTTATATTGGTTTAAAAAGTGTATCTTTCATACACTTTTCTTCTCACAGGAAACAAACAATTACTTACTGCATCCGCCTGTGTGCCGAAAACACTAACGATTGTCTGCAAGAATCGAAAATATTTATTTAAAAGAAGGATGTTATGGTGCATAAATATATGATTCACATACCTGATGGATCGCCAGATGGGTTTTCATGGCCCTTTGGCAGTAGGCAATATCATTAACCAACTTTTTTGGCAGTTTGTAGAATTTTCGCAAATAGTGGTCGAAGAATCGTTGCACATGTAAGTCCTTGCTTGGCATTGAATCGGCACTACGCATTTTCACCAGAAAGTCTTTGATTATCTCATAGCGCTCCTTGGGCGTGAAATCGTTGAAATTAATAGCCTCCATCACATGTGAATAATATATTTTTCGTTTTTTATTATTTGTTTGTTATGATGCCAGAAATTGCGGCTTCTTGATTATTAGTGTTACCAGAGTATATAAAGTCGGGAAAAATATTTAGTGGCAATACTGTGATATCGATAGAAACTTATCGATCATTAGTCTTCTATTTATTTATCGAATTCAAATTGAGCTCTAGAGTATTGTTTTTGCTAAGATGTAATCCTATTAATTTGAGATAACAATAAATAATTAACTCGTCACTTTAATCAATTTCAATTAGCAACATTTAGTACAAATTAATCACAATTAACACCTGCTTTCTACTAAGATCAGTGAATTTATTTAATGTTTTCTTGTGTTTAACGCTTGATACTACCATGTTGTGACCTCTAATGACCGGTAATTAATGGGAAATCCCAATTTACGACCTGAGCAGGCACAGCTGTCAACCCAGGCTCAATGCTGTGTTTTGGCAGTAAATATGATTGATAGTGTTCGGCTGCGGCTGAGTTCTGTTCAACCATGTGCGTAAATAAATTAATTACTATTTAATTATTCACATATTGATCACTCACAAACGTGCCAAATTTATGCGAAACTGCGTCCATTTCAATTAAGCATCGCAGCAAGTAAATGAAGAAATCGGAAATTATCGAGTGGTTTAAATGTTAATTATCTTCAGTTGTTTCGAAACATTACAATATGCCTATTGATTTCATTTAAAACCTAAATACATACATACATTTTAAGTAAGTACATATGTATGTATGTAGACAAAGTTAGTCCTTACGTTTCATAGATCTGTTCTGCACAGCTTTTGAGGCTCCTCAACTGCCAACTTTTGTTTTCCTCCTGTTTTGCAATATCCTCCGGCAACTTTAAAGCTCTTTGGCCTGGCAAGAAAACTTTTGACCACAAAAGGGTCTGCCGAAGGAGCCCCATAATCCTCAAAAGGCTTTGGCATTGCCAAAGCAACCAGAATACGCAACAAATCTTGGACGGCAATGGGAAACGGCCAAAACAGATGCAGCTAAAATCTCATCATAAGCTCTTTCTTGGCCAAATCTTAAGTTGGCTTTCAGCACAAGCATATTTAGAGGCTATGCCTTGCGTTTCCCTGTTTTTCGGTTTTACTTTAACATTTAGTCAGGGAAATTTAATTCTGGTCTGATTAAAGAAAAGTTCTAATTGAGTCAACAATTTTATATCGGGTAGTTATTCATTGTTTAATTAACAGCGGTACAGTTGATAGAAATATAAAAAAAAAGAGACAAGAAATTATTTTTTAAAAAAATCTGTTAATAAAATTAATAATAAGAATTTAATAAATTTATTCAAAATACATAAAACTAAATTATATAGCACCAGTTAAAATATTGTTTAATTAAAAAAATTTAATATTTCCAATTATGACGAATTATGGCAAAAATTTCAGTAGAGAAGTACTGTGCGTTAGGAATTTATGAAATAAATAGTAATATCATTAATAATTAATAAACTCAGTAAGCATTAAATATTTTGAAATTTTATTTAATATTTAAATGTAAAATCTCATATAAATAAAATTTCTGACAATTTTTTGGGTCAGAACTCGAATTTAAATAAAAGTTAAATATTGCTATGGGTAGTTTCCGGTTAACGTTCAAAACATTTTTAAAATTTTTTTATATTGCTTAAATTTATTAAATCCAAAATTAAGTTTTACTTATTTTGTTTTCTGTTTAAGGTTTTACTTCTTATGAGGATAGCCTATTTTGCACTACAGGTAAACGTTTTATTAGTTTTACATTTGTTGTTAAACTTGATTAAATTAACTTACGTAAACAGTTTCATTAAATGTGTTTAATTTAATCAATTGTGTTCGTTTCGATCAACTTTCCCTGCAACTTTCCCTGCAAATTGTTTGCATGTTTTATTGTCCACTTCAAGGGTCGTCTTAAATATCGCAAAGCTAATAATAAAAGTCGTGAGCGAAGCACTCCACGTACTTCAGTTGTAATAGGAGTCTATATAACTGATGTCTCCTGGATGCCAAGCAATATTCATCTTGCGACTTCAAAGGACGGCCGTGGCAACAATAGATGGGCAAGGACAAAACAATAGTCGCTGTTATCCTGGCGATGCCATGGTTAAGGAGGCACTTTTTGGGGCCGCAAAAAAAGGACGCACAAAAAAGGACACTGGTAGCACCTAATGGTCCATTGTGGTGTCGGGTGTCGATGGTGTCGGTGGTGTTCGTGGTGTACTAGACCTGGACCTGGACCTGGACCTGGGCTGGTGTTGCCAGTTATTCCGGCCGGAACAGTTGCACGCGGAGCCACCGACAGTGGCCCTCATTTATCATTTACACACCAACGCACGGGAAAACAGTCTGAAATGATGGGTTGTTTTGTTGTGGGGGGTGGATGGGATTGGGATTCTAGAGCCGAGCCCCCCCGGTAGAAATTCCATTAACGCTTTATGTCGGCGCATGGGCACATCGCTCCCGTCATTTGCATTGATTAAATCACTTTGCGGTCGGTTCGGCAAATGGTTTTAAAATCCCCAACCAACTTTCCGCTCAATTGTTGCTCGCCCCTCTGCTTTTATGCACTTCGCTGGCGTCCTTCTCTTTTGGGTCTCTCACAAATTGCCTTTGTTTTTCATTCGACTTTTTTTTTCTACCCGAATTTCTATTCATTTTTGGTGGCACGTTGTGTACCCATATTTCCAATAAATTTCCTCTGATGGCAATGTGGATTTTGGGTCGTAAATTTTTCAGTGCTCAGAGAGGAAGGTGAAAATGTAATTGGTTCCCAAGGGAAAGTGACGAAATTGCAGCGTTTGTTCCATCAATGTTGCTTCTACGTTTACAATTTTTGTACTTAAAAAGCTTTTTTATATTTTAAGAGGTAAATTACGTTAAAGTTTTAAATCAAATCCACAAATATTAAATAAAACAATTTTGCGGACGCATGCATTATGTTAAGGATGTAGAATAGCCGGATTAATTTGAATTCCTTTCCGGTGCATCCTTGAATGGGTAACAACTGTCGAAAATGAAAATTATTCCAACAAACCCACTGGATTCACCCACTCCATTTCCGTGCTGTCGGCAACAGGCTTTCGAACAATTGTGAAACTGTACGAATACGCGTTGAAAAAGCTTAAAAACAAAAGCAAAAGAATGGTTGATGGTTTTATTACACAATTTCTACAAAGGTGTGTATGTGTGTGCAGGCCACTGTTAAAAGCAAAAGAAAATAAAAAATTCAAAAGCGCCTATGGCGCAGCGCATGTAAAAAAGCATATATTTATTTAGCCAAAGGAGTGGAAAAATATCTAGAAACAAGATCAAATTAAATGACAATTAAAAGTAATTGCATTGCTGAGTGGCAGAATATTTTATTGCACAAGGCAATTTTTGAAATTAACGGCCGATAACTGATAACAGATATCGGTGACAGCTAATGACAATCGACGGGGTGGCAACGCCTGGCCATTATCAAACAGCTGTTTGTCGGAATTTTTTGCAATTGCACGTAACTTTCAAAACATTAAATTTACCTGAGAAATGATAATCCTGAGTAAATGCTCGCCTATAAGACAGATTTTGAGACGTTGTCATCGACAGGGTATGTAGAAATAATAAAAACTTGATTAAATGGCAAATAAAGGATTTATTCTTTGTAAATCACTTTTAGCGGTTGAAAACAGCAGCAAACAGGCAAATTTAACCGCATATTTGGGGAAATGGCCCGAAAAAGAGCAGCAGGAATTCCGGCAGCACATGCGCATCATCACGGACTTCATCAGTGAAACGGAGGAGCAGCAGCTTCATGAGGAAATCGAACCCTATATAAGCCGACTGCGCTACGAATTCGATCACTGGGACGATGTGGGTAGAGATCATATACTGATGTATATATATAGTGTTCAAGATGGGATTTACTTACTTGCAGGCCATTCACGGATTCCGGGAGACGGAGCGCAAGAAGTGGTTCCCCCAAAATCGAGAAATACTGGAACGCGTGCGCCAAGTCGCCTTCGATGGTGCCATTATGCCCTACGTCCACATCCTGGATTTGGCGCCTGATGGCGTTATAAAGCCCCACGTGGATAGCACCCGTGTAAGTTGAGAAACATAATTTTCATGTATCATAAACATTTTTTATTAAATTAATCTACAAATAAGATTATCTAGATATTCGCTTTTTGAGAGATATATGGCATATTAGACTTACATGTCTTTCTTGGTCTTTAAGATATTCCATGCAAGAATACATGTCATTTGAATAAGCAGCTATATTAAAATTGAATAAGTTGATAAACTAAATGTACACCATCCCCAATTTCTTGGTAAAGCTGAAAAAAATATTAATTATTTGTTAAACCCTTATTTGTAAAAAAGAACTTGAACTTTGGTGTTTTCTATTTAAAGTCATGTTTTGTTATTTAATTATATTGTTAATTTATTATTATGTGCTAGCATTAAATGAATTGTCTTTGTCCCTTAAATTTTCTTCCGCAAGCAACCTTTTCCTAGCATTTACGAACAACTGAAAAAAATATAAGGCCAATCAGCCTAAAATTTGTAGATAGCACACTCCTATTTTCTAACTTCTGTCAGCCTTTTAGCAACAAAGAAAACCATTGAATAATTTATGTCACAAACTAATATGCAATGCAATCTTTTTCCCTTGTTAGTACTGTGGCAACACAATCTCTGGGATAAGCTTGCTAAGTGACAGTGTCATGCGACTTGTGCGCACGGATGCCCAGCGTTACCAGCAGAAATCATCGGGCACTGCTGCAGCAGAGCCGGAATCGGAATCCAAGGGGTCAGAGCCCGATGCAGCTTATCGCCATCAGCCGAAGGCGTCGCTGGAGAACAACTTCTACGCAGATCTGCTGCTGCCACGTCGCTCCTTGTACATAATGAGCCACACGGCTCGCTACAATTTCACGCACGAGATCCTGGCCAAGGAACAATCCGAGTTCCAGGGCACGCCGGTGCCGAAGACACGTCGCATTTCCATCATTTGTCGCAACGAACCCTAAGACTACCATCTATTGTTGTCGGAGAATGTATTTCGGTGCAGCTGGTCTGATATTATATTTATTTTTTTAATACATTTGAACTTATCCAAAGGTTATTTTCGCAGACTATATTTATATAAATTGTTCATATGAATTGCATATTATACTTAAAATACGATAAATGAATCCAAAGCGTGTACAGTAATTTTAGTTGCTATCCTAAAGTTAAATTACATTAATTCCTTATTTATTTTCATTAAATTTCTGTCCAAGTTTATTTAATGTTTCAAATATTTTACAAGTTTAGACTTCTTTTTTGCTTTTAATAACTAAGGTTTAAAATTATGAAATATTTTTGATTTAAAAAGTCATTATTAAATACCTATAAATTAGCTTGGAAACTAAAATAAATTTTGAATTCTTACCGTGAAGCCTTTTAGGCAGTCAAAGCAACTTATATTTGTTAATAAGCTCACTAAAGTCTCGTTAAAAAGTTTTAAAGTTTGGCAGTAATTGTTGTTCTTTAATTACAGTCAAATAAGTAGTTTCCGCCAGTCACGACAAGAAGAATTTAATACCCCTTCAAAAACGCTAACATTGCATTTGTTTGCCAACTAGTTTAAGTTTCGAAAGCATCAAGTAGTTAAATGGAATTGTATACAAAAAGCGAAACTTTCGATTCGCCTGCCTGAGATTTTCTCAATACGAATAGAAATAGAATACTAACCGAGAAGTGGAAATGAGGAGATAGAAAGGTGTATCTTTGATTAAAAGTTAAGAGCTCGAAAAACAACCAATCAGCGCTAGTGGGATTCGTTTGCACAACGCTTGACGCCTTTTAGCCTATATTTGTTTGTTTGTTAGAGGTCTTTCAGCCTTGGCTTATTTGCGCAGGAGATTGAAGACATCCCAGCAAATCCCTGCGCAAATATAAATCTAAGGGCGTTATTTTTAGAGCCCCGATAAGAAAACATGACGATTTGCAAATGATGTCATAAATTTACAAGCAACACGGCAGTTGGGTGGTGTACGCATACGTATTGTTTATGATGAATGCGTGGTGACGAACGGATATCATTCGGCGATAAAACATCTTCGCAATTTGGCGCTATTTGGCGTGGTTTTAAATTATGAGGGGGAGTAATGTTGGCCCAAAAGCTCGCTGTTAGTTTCTCTTACGCTGTTAGAACGCCATCCACACGGCTGTTAATGTGTTTAAGTCGTCGAAATTTTGACAATTTAGTTCCACCGAGCGTTAATCGGCACTACTAACTTGAGCATTACAAGGATGTTTAAATGGGGCTCAATAATACGAGGGCTTTCTAAAAATATGGTACCTTGCTTTCTGGTATTACAAACCAGTTAAAAGACTAACTACCACTTTTAAATTCAAAAATATAGATAACGAGCCTAAACTTAATGGTGTCTTGTTACATTTCTTTTCACAGTATAAAATTATTATTATATTATACAGTATTAAAAAAATATAAACAAAACACAATTTATTGAATTAAAAAGTTAAAAAAAATTAAAGCTCAAATACAAATAGAAAACAAAAAAAAATTGATTCCTTAAAACCTACTTTACCAAACATTTTATTTTAGTTAATACTAAGTTATTTTCCTCAATTGCTTAGCACAAAAATAAGTTTCCTAACAAAATATCAAGGGGTCACCCTGGAACCAATTAATATGTGTGTAAATTCACAATTTAAAAAATTTCTTTCACTTTGAAGCATCTGCTTCCAATAAGTAAAAGAGCAATCAAATCAATTGAAAATATGTACATATGTACCTTTCAATTAAAATGTTTAACAAAGTAGCAGCACCGAATAAATAGTCCAAGAATGCAGTTCGTTTATGGTCAGAAGTAACTCTAAGCCCACCTGCTCCTCGTTCAGGTGTTCAGTTCATCAACGGTTTAAGGACTTTTGAACAACCTTCAGGACTCAAGTGGAGAAATGGCTAGAAAGCAAAAGGACTGTGAAGGATAAGAAAATGGAAAAGCAGGACTCGAGTGGCTCGAAATGAAAGCCAGATGAAGAAATACGGCTTCTGCAGGTGAGTTGATAAAGAAAAGGCATCAACATTTTGTTTTGCCCCAGAAACAAAATGGACCCAAGCTCAAATCTGCAGGATGGCAAGAGTAAAAGGGAATTTCCCTTGCTGCCATTTTCGTTCTGGCCAACAAAGTGGCAACTCGAACTTCTGAACAAATTATCAACTGTATGCAACAGAAACATCACAAATAACAACAATAATCTCGGCGACAATTTCAAGAGGCAGCCCGCAAAAAAAGGGCCAACAAAACCCTAAGCAACTTTTATTCGAAGCTTTATTTTGGTTATTGCTATTATTATTATTATTATTATTATTTGCCTGCCATCTACTCGTAACAATTTCACCCTTTCTGCGGCGGTCCCCCCCCTAAAAAGTTGGGCGAAACTTTGGGTTTTTCATTTCGCTGAAACAGTTCTCGAACTCCACTCCACAGGATTTTGACCCCGTTTGTAATTGGACTACCGGAAAATGGGTCCAAAATAGGACACCATTCTATTCTCTGCCTTTGATTGCTTTATGTAAATATCTCCCATGTAGGTATTAATTTGACTAATAAAGATATTTGAACATTTTTAATCATTTTTTTTTGCCTGCGTAACATATGAAAATATTCAAATAAATTATTAAATATATATAACTTTAAGCAGTGTAACTAGCTATCTTTCTTTTTCTCTGAACTTTAATATTTCTATTAAAAAGTTAATGAAATAGTTTGGTTTATTCTTAAATTTTCACACCATTTTTTAAACAAATACTAAAAAAAAAGTGCCTTTATTTCACCATTTTTAGACTGGGGTCTTTCTAGCTTTGCTTGTTGTAATCCCAGAGATTCGGGAAATTCAACTGCATTGCTTTAAGAAATTCCTAGCTCAACTTAAAAGCCGATGTGGGGAAAAGCAGAAAATGCGCTTCGGGCGGTGCTTTTGTCCTGCGTCGCCTGTCGAAGGACTCGAAGGGACACGCTCTCACTCCGCGGACTTTTCACTGCCAAATATTTTCTTTTGAGCAGCGTTGGGCAGGACAACTGATGCTTCTGGCCGTTGATACGCTCTGCAAGTCCTTGGCAGCAGAGCCAAAATAAAAAATCCAATTAAATGAAGTTCTTTTTTGTTGTTCCATGCGCTTTTGCAGCGTTTTCTTTGCGCTTTTACTGGAGGGGAAAGTGCATCAGCGATGGACAAGGAGCTTAATGCTCAAATTCGCACTCTGACAATTCCATAATCCAAAGGATTCAGTCAAGTACAGTGGCAGAGGAAATTAATACTAAGTAAATAACTTGACACCTGCAAAGCTACCCACTTAATGTCATTGGTGGATTAGTCAGCGAAAGCTGGGATCAAAGGATGACATATGTAAGTGCACACGGAGGGAAAATATTCAATATTTCTAATTACTCAAGTTTGTAAGTTTGAAATGTAGTATGTAACAAAACAATTTATCTTTGGATATTCAAAAAACATAATTTTAATTTATTGTCAAGTTATTATCGCAAGGCTTTTAAAATTAAAGTTACCTTTCCAAGTCGTTTTTTTTTTTACTATTTTCGGAATTTATTTAGATTTAAAACACATGGGAACTATTAAAACCTAATATTTTCAACATTACCAAAAGTATACAATAATAACGAAAGTAGTTAAGTACGCATTGTATATAAAATTATTATTTTAAATTTAACTTAAATATTAAGTATATTATTTAGAATTCAATAGTCGATTATTTTTTTTACTATTCCATTTTTTTATCACTTTACTAAAATGTATGTTAATATGAATTCTTAGCTTTCCTGAATAAACTTTAGTTATTGCAAACTAGTTATAGATGGAATTGAATATGATTTTCAAAACTAATAAATTGGGCAATTCGGACTGAAGTATAACCATTAACAATTTCTGTTTAGAATCATCAACGTTTTGATACCCTCATTTACAGTTTGGCTTTTCCTATCCCAAATCCGGGTGTCGAATTTTCCGGTCTTAATGTAATTACAACCCATCAAATGTCGCTAATTTTGCAGAGATTTCCGTCGAACAGGGTCCACTGCTTGGTGGGGCATAGCATTGAATTAAAATTGTCCGGGGAATAGATGATCGATAATTTGCCCCTTCCCCAAAATTCAGCTTGCCGAGATTAATTGAGCATAAATTTTTATTGCGCTTCGCTGGAGTTGCGTGAATTGTGAAAAATATATGGCAACAGGAGGGGCAAAGCCAACCAGAGTGTCCTTGGGAAATGTTTAATAGACTTTTAAGTCATTTTCCGTTGCCCTGCGAGACGCCCCCCATCCGCAGGACCCTTGAAGGACCCAGTCCGCTAACTGCTGTCACCTGCCGGCAATCACGGCCATTAATCACGATTATTTCGAACTGAAATCGCAAAAACCGACCCACAGCCTGTTCGTAGTGTTCCCCACGGTTCGGCGCTATTACTCACATTAATAAGTAATTATTTTAACTTGGCTGGCACACAGCACACAGTTTCATCGGTTTGAATTGGTCTTCGAGCGAGAGTGATGGGATTTGCGATGGTTTATGGCCACATTTTCACACTTCGACACGCACTGAGCACGGTTCACTGAGTCCAGATATATTAGCATACACGTAGTGAATTTTAATAAGTGTATGGAAAAACCAGATAAGCGATTTACAATCGCCAATCTTGACAGGCAGATTGGCGATACATTTAATAGTTTTATCTCGTCCAGTTGATTTATAATAATCTACAATTTTTTTAATTTAATTTAAGTTAAATATACTAAACCAATACCAAATCAAATTCAAATTTTTAAAGATCTTTTGGTGCTTTGACCAATTGCTAGTTAACAATCATTTTTAAACAATTTAATTTATTTTTTATATTAATACCTACATAAATGTAGTTTAATTATCTTTACTTTTTATATGAAGAACATTATTTGATTGGTCAAAAAACAATTTGGTTTGATAATTAAATTGTGTATGTACTTAGAACTTTATCCAAATTTGCAATATCAATGTTTTTGACCCTGTTAAGAGAGTATTAAAGTCTTGTAACAAAGTACTAGATCAAAAAAAGTATTCAAACGATTTTATTTATTTTTGTTAAAATAAAAATAAATACTACAAGATACAAAAGATGTTTAAAAATGTCTAAGTTTTGCCAGTGACTCAAATAATCAGATACAACAATCTCGAATTTACACTGATACATTGCACTTACATAGCAAGCTAATTCTAAATAGTAAAATTAAAGAGGTAAGAGTTCAAGTTGTTTTTCAAAATCAACCAACTAGCATGGAAGTTTACTTGCAATGCGTAGTTGCCAAAGTGGTTTTCCTGACAAATAGAAACACTTTAATCCCCATTAGATGGTCCCCAATCCGGAGTCTGGATTGAACCCCCTGGTGGCCATGGTCTGCCCGGCGATTAAAACTTTCTGCGGCTGCCCCATGTTTAAGTTTCATTTTCAGTTTCTGGCCGTGACTTCTACAATCCCAGAAACGGTTGGCCGAGTCAAAAGTTTCTGCTCTGCGGTTAATTCGTTTTTATTTTAGCTGGATGCGATTGTTTAACCGAAAGCCGCAAAACCAACTGGCGCCAGTCTGTCCTTCTGTCGAATTTCCCATCCTGGCCACAACAAGTGAGATGTCAATCAATAGTTCTGTAGCAAATTGAGCTGGCAACTTTTCCCGCCGGAATAAATGTGCCCCCCCCCCAAAAAAAGAGAATGTCTGATGTGTCTGCTGTCCCACTTACCCGTAAATGCTCACATTTAAGTCCCAAAATTTCTTGTAGTCAGACAGAAAGAACTTAAATCGGTGATTTAATGGTTTTGGCCGACGAACAAGTATTTAAAAATTTGTATAACTCATTAAAGCCATAAAAAAGAGACTTTTTTAATGTTTGCAATCAAAACGATAATTTGTCTTTGGTGACTGTTTTATGTATTTTTCAACATTTATAATTAATATTAGCTTATATTAACAAAATCTATTAAAAGCATTTCGTTCTTTTTTTTTTGATAAAAAACAACACAGTTTAAATTGAATAAAAACGTACTTAAATTGAATAATAAACGTACTTAAACGTACTTATATAGATGCACATTTTTTTATTGATTTTCATTTTAACATAATAAAAACAATATTGATGCATGTGTATATGATTATTTAATTAAATTTTCATAATATTTCGTAAAAGTAATTTAAATTATTAAGTGTGCGTGCTGTTTTATTGCATATTTGTTGTTGATACACAATTTACTAGGGGTCATTTAATCTAAAAACCTTAACACTTTATAAAAGTTTATTGTAACTAATCAATGTTGTTTATTTATATTCCCCTTTAATATATAAAATGATATTGGGCGAATAAATTCATGGAAAATGTACCAAAAAAGAAACGATTTGCAATTATAATTTTATTATTTATCTTTAGAATTTGTTTGTGGGGTGAAAAGAATCAATTTTCTGGAGCAGCTGAATCGCCTTAAGACACTAAGTGAAAGGTGTATGAGATTTTGCATTGTCCTGCACAAGACATCTTGCAACTGCCGCCCCGGAAACTAACATTGTTGCATCAGAAAACTACTGAAATGCGAAAACAATGAGCGTAATGGACATCCATGTGTGAGTAAGGCAAAAAATCCCTACAAATAATGGAAAACAGCTCACGTATCCGCAGTCTTGGCCAACATTCCATGCGTTTTGCACAACCGCTTCTCGCAAGCAGAGTCAACACAAATGCAAACCGACCTCCAGGGTCTTGAAGTCCAGGTAGAAGGACAAAGGACTCACAGTCATACATATAAATTGCATTTAGAGCGCGAGCCCTAGCTGCAAGCGATTGTAACTAGTAGAGGGAAAATTATGGTACCTATGTGGTATATAGGCACATTGCTAATGTACCTGGTACCTAACCAGTTAGTCTAAATTTTATACTAAACATATATTCTGAATATTTACGGTTAATCATCAATAATGGTGCAACAGACTAGTCTCAAAAAAATTTGATTTATATTTAAGGTAAATATATAGGTACATAGAAACAATATTAAAATGATTGAACAAATATATAAACTTATTGATAAATGGCGATCAATGCCTATTTTCGGAAGGCTAAATACATAAAACTCAATTGAAACAATTTAGTAAAATGTTCTTCCTAACAGGAAATGAGTCTTTTTAGAAAAACCTTGTATTTTTAATAAAACCACTACATAATACAGTCAATATATCACACTTTCAGTTTGCTGTACAAAATTATTAAAAAGGTACAGTGGTGTAAAATTTTTGGGATATATGAATCTATTTTCTTTGAATGTTATCTAGGTACAAAAATTGTTATGCCTTTCCCATCCCAGATTGCAACTGGGTCAACGAACGGTGATGTCCATCAGCCGCCTGCCGTTTTCCGCTGCAGTCTACGCTCTTGATACCATGACAATGCCAAAACCAGGAGTCCTGCGGCGGGTTGTCCTGTGCGCAAGCTATAAGCATCTGCAGTGCCGGCGAACGAGTGTCCTTTCGAGGCGTTTATGTCCAGAAAAGGCGCTTAAAGAGCATAACCTTTGAAAAATTCGACAATTCAACCCAAGGACAAGTCGAAGATGTCCCTAAATTGCAAAAAATCACCACCGTAATAACACTTTCTATGGGCATTAAATATATAGGATTTAAAGGAAAGGCAAGACACTAGAATTTTAAAATAACTACCCTTGTTAATACTATTTTTTTTGCGTCATAATAAGTCGCATGCCTTAGCAGCTAGAACTAAGAAATTTTAGTACTGAACACTTGATTTAATTTTGTTAAATCACTTAACTGCAACTTCTTCTACTTTCCCATACCTTTTTTAAGGATTCACCTTTTATAGTATGTGCAAGTCCCCGATAAAATTACCAAAAAATTTGGATTTTCAAAAGTCGCAGGCATAGCTTACACAATAAATAAAAAGGTCAAACTTCGGCAAACAGGAGTTTATATACCCTTGAAGATATTGAAATAATTAAATATTCATTAAGACGTCAAAGTTTCTATACGTGTATATATATATATATATATATATATATATATATATATATATTTTTTTTTTTTCCCCGATTGTTTCAATAAAATTAAAACCGTAATTTTTAAATCGCTTTATGATATACTAGGGCGATCCGGCGCCTTCCATCTTATATTACCTGCGAAAAAAAGAAGATTGCAAAGTTTCATCCAAATAGTTTTACAGCTATGGGAATTGTTTGCGTAGAACTTAACGTACGGACAGATGATGGATATAGTCGATTTAAGTTTTAAATATTCCGCCCTGTGTAAGCTATCAACACTGGCACAAGCGATAAGAATCCCTAACGCCTGGACGATCACATTAGCGCACACATCGATAGGCACCGACAATAATCGATAAGTAGATACTGCCATCTCAAAGAGATGCTTTTCAACCGAGATCCCCTCAATAAAATTCTAACAACCCATCATCCTCTACACAACTAAATGGTTAGACATCAACAGCTATCATTTTCATTAGCGTTTGCGAGCATTGTCATTGCAGTTGATAAAGAAGATTTGTTTTTAAAATAGTCCCGAACAATCGAATCTTCTTGCCTCTGTTTGATACCGAATCCTCATAATTTTCATTTAAATTTTACGTTCCTAGAAACAAATAATATTTAAATCTGCGATTCCATTTAAATGTACATACAGTTTATATAAATACAACTTACTTTTCAGAAATTTATCCTACACCATAGAAAAACATTAAATTTGAACACAATATAGTTCAAGTGAAAATATTTTGTATACTTTCAATTTACTTGGTTCTTGCCCGCAGTTGGAGATTGAAAAACATCGATGTTGCCCCAGGACGATGTCCGGTGCATCTCTAGTATTGTCCTCGATCGTAGAGCCGGAATCGGTATCCATAGTTTTGCTCAGTTTTGTTCAAAGTTCGGAATTCAAAATCTTCGATTTTGTAACGGCAATGTTAATTAGTCGTTTTCCTAACATTTTTATGTTAGATCATAAATTTCCTAACATTTTAGATCATAAATTTCCTAACATGATAATGAGTGGACAGTGCTGGGAAAACATCGATGTTGGCCCCCGAACATCGATGATTTTAAAGGCATCGATGACATCGATGACGGCATCGATGTTTCTCCACTTCTAATCGATAAGCTGATATTGCCATCTCCCTCATAAGACGTGTTGACCGGGAAAAAATCAAACGAAGCCAGCAATTGAATTTCAGCCGCGATCCACACAAGTACGGAGCTTAAAAATAGTGAGTAATAGAAGAGTCCGTGCGAGCGTATTTAAAACAAGGAAACAAATTCCAACGCTCCCGTGACGCAAAATGCTGTAGAAATTGAAAGTCAAATGAATTCTGTACAAAACTGTGTGTGTGCGTGTAATTCAAGCGTCAATTTTTTGATGATAAAATTTGCCTTCGCTTATACATGTGTGCGTCGTTGAGCATATGAGCCTGTGATAGTGTGTGTTGGTGTGAGCGCCGAGCATAAGAAAAACAACAACAACAGCGACGCTTAGCGAAAGAGAGGAACAAAGAGAAGACGAGACAAGACTCCATCTTAGCAAACGAAGAAAGGAACAAAAAGGAGCTCACGATGGCCAGTTTCCATATCCATCAAGACGTTAGCAACAAGGAGAATCCGGGCGTTACGATTCCGGCCGGAGTGAAAAACGCCAAGCAACCGCTGGGTGTAATCGCTGCGAAATCGGAGAAAAATGCGCTTGCGCCGCGGTCGAATTTCGCCGTGCTCAATGGCAACAACAAGCCGCGTCCGACCGGGAAAGTGGTAAGTACTGTTCCCGTTTTCCTTTAATTCCAATGCAGCTGCCGTTTTGTTTTATGGTGGTGGGATCTTCACATAAGTGCGCCTTGGTGTGTGTGTGTGCGTGTGTGGTGGTAGTTCGCTCTCCTTTTCCCCCGCTCTCCTCCCCCCACTCTCTTCCTTATTTATCAATTGCTCTTTTGAGATAACCTTTGCTAATTTCCGCGCCTAAACTATAAACTAACCTAGAAAGTAGACCAAAGCATTGCAAATGCGCGCCTTTTTCAAACTGCAACAACAAATCAGGGGAGCAAAGGGGAAAGCAATAGCAAATGCAATTACCCCCGCAATCTCACGCACACATAGGCGCACCATCAGAAGCCAAGGAAAGGCGCGCAACTAAATAACAGGATCTTTCCAACGGGAAAGGGGAATCAAGAAGCCTTGTTCTGGCAGCTCTATAAAAATGCGCAGGTTAAAAAAGTTATTTCAAAATGCTTTCACCATTTTAATATTTGAATAATATTAAGTCGGGATCAATTTTTAACTCGTTCATCTCGCATGACTCAATAAGCTTAGAGCATAGGCCATGTGCCCTGTAGACAAAATTCCGGTTCACATACCAAAGCTGTTTATAAATTTGTAATATTTTTTTTTAGTAATATCAAACACATCTAAAATCTTTAATTTAATCATGTTTTAATCTATTTATCTTACGCTCCTTTTTAGCAAGTCTTCCGTGACGTAAGGAACCTCAATGTCGATGAAAACGTGGAATATGCCGCCAAGAAATCGAATGTGGTGCCCGTGGTGGAGCAGTTCAAGACCTTCTCCGTATACGAGGATAACTGCGACACTCAGGTGGCGCCACCCGGCAAATCATTGGCCTCCATGGCCGATAAAGAAAACCAATACGCCGTAAAGATGTAAGTTTTAATTGGTGTTACTGGTTATATCATACATACTTGACTGCTTTCAAACTTACTACAGTGATGGGGTGGAAAAGGAGCTAGTTGGCTGTGATCTGGATGGCACGCCCATGTCCGTCACGGATTTAATGTCACCCATGTCCGTGGATCGCTCGGTTCTTGGTAGCATACAGTCAACCGACGACATCGCATCGGGAGCCACGCCAGGTGAACAAGTCAAGGAGCTGCCTCCACGCAATGATCGCGAACGGTTCTTCGAAGTGGTCCAGTACCAAATGGACATACTCCAGAATTTCCGGGAGAGCGAGGTAAGTCCGTCAGACTTTTCTTTAAATGCCATTCTGTTAAAGACTCTTGAAAATATTTTGGATATACGGTAGCAATATCAGTGACTTCATAATTTTCATTTTCATCGAAATTAATTCGACTTTAAACATCGTACTTCAACAACCGTACGAATTAATGTTTTTTATTACTTTATAACTTTAAATCAACTTACCTGTCAGCACTATGAAAACTAAGAAATGTGTGTAAAATATGAAGGGAAAGAAATATGTGACAACTTACTATAATATCTTGGAGGTTTAAGCTTCTACCATTTTTAACTTAATGGATTTTTATTGAATCATTGCTTTTGATAAAGAAATGATTTGTTTTACTCTTATATTTATATGTTAATTTCAATTGCAAGTAAATTTGTAACAATAAAATCGAGTCGACCAATATTCGAACACAAGCACCCGATAAAGTTGTCCGATCAAAAAGACTATTGCGAGAGTTTCAATTCCCTAGGCTGTACGTATATTACGTCATCTTTTTAAAGATTAAACATTTGCAAAAATTCACAAGCAATTCATTGGAGAATATATATGAAATTATAGAACATTTCTTAAAGAATACACCACCAGCAATGACTTTTTGCCAGTAAAAACGGACATTTAATTAAAAAGTAATGAAAAACAGGGATATATTTAAAGCTGAGGGGAATAAATAAGAAGTAATACGTTTTGATTTTAATAAGTCCAGTCATTTAACTTAGTTTTTTTTAAATCATTATGCAGGCAAGATTGTTAAGATAGGAAAAAATCTTGATATCACAAGAAAAAAAATGTCGTCTGGTAGGGTTTGTCCCCTTGAGTGCCTTGGTTTTTCGTTGTTTTCTTTTTATTACCCCCTGTCTATTCCTTGGCCATGTGCATTTCATATTTGTGTGCAGACGCAGGCAGACGTAATTTCTCTATTCACCAGGAGGAGGAGGGGGGGTAGGCGAACAGGAAGACGGACCCTGTCGCACCCTAATGTGGCATTGGCATTCCCCTTCACTTCACGCAACGCTGCCTGTGTTTCTGGGTTCGTGGGTCCGTCGGTTCCCGTTCCCTCTTCCCTCTTTTACTCCAAACGCCGTCACATGTTTATCGGGCGGGAAACGCTCGCCAGCGTCTCATCCTTCGTCGGTAATATTGACTCTTCTTGGTTTGCTCGTTTCGACGCTGTGCATTGGCATTGCTTACTATTTCCGAGAGAGACGTGGAACACTCGGAACTAATGGAATTTGACTTGCAGCTAATTGCTGTTGTTTTCTTGTGGCCATGCCATGTTTTTCCTGGTAGCGAAAAGCGAAAATAGTCATAATTATTGTTGACACGTTTTGCTTGGGTTCTTTTGTTGCTGAATTAGCCAAAGTTAAGAATATTTTTTACTTGTTTAGCAACTTGGTTTAAATAGTTTGCATAGCAATAATGAAAGTTTATTAAAATAATAGGGTTTAGTTAAAGAATCCTTTGGCTTTAAAAAATTTAAGAATACATAAATTGTTGTTTAAAACTTAAGTATTAACATAAATTAAGTTTAATTTAAAATTCCCCTTCTGGTCAATTGCTAAGTAACTTAAACTTATCGGTTATTACTACATTTGCATTATATTTACTGGGATTTAACCGAACTAATTTTAAATTAACTTAAGACGTGTTTGGTGAAAAACTGTATGAATATTTTGATGTTTTATTATTAATAATAATTAATAATAATAATAATTGTTCCATTTCTTATATGTTTTCTGTTACACGAAATCAAGTGATATGTGTAAGATAGTTAAGTACGTTTTGATAATTTGTATTTATTTGAAGTCATTTGCTTTGAACATGAACATTAGAATTTTCCTTACAAAATGTATGTGACCTGGACACGTGTGGAAAATTGTCCCACATGCTGCGAGTTGCGAGGCAGCTCTCCAATCGCATCCAGGCCACCGTAATCCGATTCTTGATATGCTTTTTATTGATTGGGGGGAACTCTTTGTCAGAATAATTAACGTGAATTCTTGTTGAACTGATCGTAAAAATCGTCGGAGACGGCATTGCTCAAACCCACAAGGGCTTCCTTGCGCTGTTTATCTTGCTCCACGGCCAACTTGGAATTGGCTCGCATCAGTTCATCGAATTCCGCCTTGCGTCGGCGATCATCCTCGATCTGTTGGAGCACCAGGGTGCGGTCCATGTTGATGGCATACTGCTCCCACTGTTTGTCCATCATCTGGGCCTCCGTTTTGCGCTGCGTGGCCAAGCGGAGCTGCTGCTCCTGGCCCAAGCGGAACACGCGAAGTTCCTCCGGCGTCATGCCGCGATACATGAAGGCAATCTTCTTGTTCGGATCGGTACGCGATTGGGCCACATCCGGATTTTCGGTGAGCATATCGCTGGACAGCATATTGTAGATTTCGGCCATGTCATCCTCGTGTTTCTCGCGTTTCTCTCGCTCGCGATCCAGTTGCTTCTGCTTGGCCATGTTAATGTTGAACTGGCGCACGCGCTGAATCACCTGGTTACGCATCTGGTGATCGGACTTGGCCATCTCCTGGAGATGTCTGTCCCGGCATCCAACGTCCTCCATCTGCAGTGTGTCGGCCTTTTTGCGAGCTTCCTCCGCCCGTTTGCGCTCCTGCACCTGCTGATCCAGCCATGCACGTTGCTGTTCCCGCTGCCGCACCTTTCGCTCAACATTGTAGAGATCCTCGCCCAGAAAAATCTGGGCACTGGACACGCCCAGCGCAATATCATCGTCGGCCACTCGGGTTGGACGTGCCTTCTTCAGGAAGTCCGGGTCATTCAAGTCGAATTCGCGTCGCTGCTCCTTGCGCTGATAGCGGCAGCGATAGTAGTTGAGATCCGAGTCCACCACGCGTTGCCTCTTCTCCAGCTCCTTCTCCTGGGCGGAGATCAGGCGCTTCTGCAGCTGCTCCTGCTCCTCGTACTTCTTGTCGCACTCCATTTGCGCTGTTTGCTGTTTCTTTTTCTCGAGGATTTGGCGATCCAACATTTCAATGTCGAGCTATTGGACGATTTAACTCTTTGGAGGATTTGGTTCATCAAAACTTGTGCGGATTACTACTCACCCCGTAGAGGCGCTGCTTGGCATTGAAGATGCGTCGCTTGCGCTCATCCTCGTACTGTTCCCGCTTCTGCAGCTTCATCGCCTCGTCGAGATCCTGCTTGGTGCATATTCCGATTTTGAGCGTCATCCTGTCGGTATTGTACAAAATATACACAGCTATATATGTATTTAATGGCTATATTGTTCGATCTGTAAGGTCTGAAAAATGTCTGCCTTTACCTAAAAGAAAAAGTGTGTATTTTATTTGAGTTCCGGTTGAGTTTGTTTGCCCGGTTGCCGGGTGCTTTGTTTATTGTTTGCCTCTGTTTAACAGTCAGCCTTTCTGGGTTGGAAACTTTTCGAATATAACATTTCTGGTTATGCTTAATGGATCTTAGCCATTTATTTAACTTTCTTTTCTTGATTTACATAAATTGCCGAATATACAATTTCGGCAATAACTGTACAACTTTAGGATACCTTAAAAACCAACCGTACTCGATTTCATACCAATTACGATTCCATTTCAATTGAAAGCAAAATGGTCTAAACCTTTCCTCCATTTGTTGTACAGAACCGTGGAGCTTGACGTGTCCAATAATCGTTAAAGCGGCCATTAAATAAACACCTAATGTACATATTGCCCACATAGGCGTTTTGGCAAAGATTTTCACGTTTGACCTGGGAATTCGAATGCGACTCACGTACCACGAAATAACCAATAAACAAATAAAAATTTGGTAAATTCGATCCGCTCGCGTATGCTGGCCACTCCTCCCATGGGATTCGCTTGAGTTGACTAAACTGAATTTACTTCTCAGGCAGGACCATAGAATTTGGACATTTATGATACCCCCTAACCCGAAAAATTAAGTTATGTATTTTTAATTCTATAGTATATTGCAAGTAATTGACTTATTTAACAAAATATATGTCTCTTGAACTCAAGTTTTTTACAAAACATTAAAGACATTTTGTTTAAGAGGTATCAATTTGTCGATTCATTGCTGGTAAAGTGTAGACCACAGTTTTTTTTTGCTGCAAACTAAACAATTTTATGGAAATAAATACGTTGTTTGCGCGCGGCGACTCAAGCATTACGAAAAATTTGTGCGAAATATGTTAACGATTAGAATCTTTTAATGCCCAAACGAATGTGTTAGTATCCATGGCTAAGCAAAGTTTGCTTTAGTAATTACAAATTATGGGCTAGTGCTTGCTAATTTGTTGACCCTACTAATCGGCTCCATCTTTTGTTTGAATTTTGCAGAAGAACCATCGCCCGAAGCCACTCTATATGCGCAGGCAGAAAGACATTAGTCACAATATGCGCTCCATCCTGATTGATTGGCTGGTGGAAGTTTCCGAGGAGTACAAACTGGACACTGAGACGCTCTACCTATCCGTCTTCTATCTGGATCGCTTCTTGAGCCTGATGGCGGTGGTTCGCTCAAAATTGCAGCTGGTGGGCACAGCAGCCATGTATATTGCCTCGTAAGTAGTCATTTAGGTACCCAAAGTAGTTAGTTGTTAGTTAATGTTGATATGATTTAATTATTCTATTAACTTTTAATTTATTTTTCTAGTAAATACGAGGAGATCTATCCTCCAGATGTCGGTGAGTTTGTGTTCCTCACTGACGATAGCTACACCAAGGCCCAAGTGCTGCGCATGGAGCAGGTCATCCTGAAGATTCTCTCCTTTGATCTGTGCACACCAACTGCCTATGTCTTTATCAACACGTACGCGGTGCTGTGCGACATGCCCGAGAGACTGAAGTTCCTCACGCTGGTAGGTTTTGTTGGCAAATACAAGTTATCGACCGATTGTCCAACTCATTTTCCATCTGCAGTACATATCCGAATTGTCGCTGATGGAGGGCGAGACGTATTTGCAATATTTGCCCTCACTGATGTCGTCTGCATCACTTGCATTGGCTCGTCACATTCTGGGCATGGAGATGTGGACGCCGCGGCTGGAGGAGATCACTACCTACAAACTGGAGGACATGAAAATTGTGGTCCTGCAGCTTTGTCAAACCCACAAATCGGCGAAGGACCTCAACACGCAGGCCATGCGGGAAAAGTACAATAGAGACAAGTATGCCAGAACAAGCTATAAAAAATGCAGTTTATACAGTTTCTAACAATCACATTTCTTACCAGGTACAATAAGGTAGCTATGATCGAATCAATTGAGCTGACCAAGGAGGACTTTGATCAGCTCAACCAGGCCTACAATGCCAAGCAAAATGAGAAGCAGCAGCAACAACAGCAACAGGAGGTCAATTCCAAATCGAACGTGAATTTGTTTTATAAGTTTTAAGTGTTTAGTGCCGCTGCCATGGTCAAATTTTATTTTAGTTTAGTGTTTCCATGTACCATTTCGTAGTTTTAGATTTAAGTATACACAAAATGGAGGAATCGAATCGAATCGCAGTTCGGTGCCACAAAAACCAGTTGCATCCAAGCTCTGCATTGGTTGGTCGATTGGCAAGCTCCCGTAACAAAACAAACAAGTACTGGACAATTCTATATGCGCGCCATATAGAAGATTAGTTGCCAACAAGTACGCACACTATCCACCATCAAACATTCACGTCTGTCCACGGTGAGAGCTTGCCACGCCAAGCGTGAGCAGAAGGAACTGCGGCAGTCTTGGAAATCCAACCGACCAACAACGAGCCAAACGAAAAAGCAGAAGACCGACCCTCCAGCATTCACATTCTGCTAAGGCTACCGATATTTTATATATTTTACGTTACCGCTTCAACAATCTCTGTTCTCTATGTATTTATAAATTGAATCATGTGAATGTATACAATGTGTCTTTAGCAGAAACAGCTAGCTTGAGGAATTATTTTACACAAACATATTTATATACTAACTATTAGGCCATGAATGTTCTGTGAACCACGAAACAAATACAATCGTAAATTTTACAAAAGACACTTACTTAAGCCGCCTACCAAACGCACTCAAACGCACAAACAACAGAACCGCCAATCGTCCAGATCTGGTTCAAATGGCAGTCCTGAATTGCTGCCTAACCTTGTATTCATATTAATCTAATGACGCTTACTAAATGTTTACTAAACTTAGTCTAATCTTCCTGGTCGGTGGGTGGATTGATGTTGCTGAGAGCATAAACAGAGCGATAGCTTAATGCAAAAACCGAGTTGACGAGGTTCTACGCTAATATAATTTATATGATTGTACTAACTACTCAATGTAATTCGATATAGCATTGCCGAGTGCGTCGTGCTCGCAAGCCGTATATTCCATACACCTATTGTATTTAATAAAATTGTGAAAGACATGCACAACAAAAAAATTGCTGATTTGGTTTAATTGTTATTTGGAGTTATTGAGGGTTTTGTATTTGCTTGCCAGACTATTGAATAAATTGGGTTTCAAACCAAATGAAACAGAAGATTTAGAAAATCATTCAAGAATGTATTAAAAAACCAAATAAATTTAATTCTGGATAGATAGAAATAAACAAGGCTTTAAACTGCAGTATTAAATGACTACCTTTAAAATGTTTTTAAAAAAAATCCTGGAACTTATATTATTGTGCGACTATTTAATCTTAATTTTGAAATTACATATGTAAAGAAAACTGTTAGTATTAAAATGTTTACAATCCTTTTTTATTTCTATTAACAGATTTGTTTTTTTTTTGTATTTTCAATACATTTAACCATACATACAATCTACATGCAATCGTATTTTACATAACACCTTAGCGAATACTCAAACCATTTGATGAAACTAGGTTCAAGTCTTCCCATTAATAAGTCATGGGATAAAGTTGTTAGGAACAAGTCACTACAAAAAAGTATTTTTCAATTTAAATTTTTGATTAAAAAAAATTAACTTAACTTAGATTTTGTTGCCTATTTGGCTGTTTTAATTCAATGTGGCCCAGTCAATGTATATAAGGTTTTAAAATTACGTATACAATGTGAAGTTATTTGTGTATGGCAAATATTCGATTGTTCGCCAGCAATCTTATATTGATACATGTTTAATAACCATTAATTATTTTTTGACAAATGTGCCCAATGAAACCCAATGAGGAACGTATTTGGTGCTGAACCTAGCGAATTACTATAAAATAAGGTGCTATCGTTCTAGTAAACCATAACTCGATAAGGTTTCAAATAACTTAGATCGGTAGTTCCTGAAATATCCGAAAAGGTGCCACAAGACTGTCGTAATATTGACCCACTGGAAGAACTAAGGATTAAGAGGATTATGTTATTACATAATAATAAATAAATAACTGAAACACAAATTTATTATTACTTTACCCATGATGTACCACCGCACAATAGGTTAAAATAAATTTTTACCCACTTTTACTGAATAATTCGCGGGTAATAGAACAGAAATGACATTTTAGTGCTCATTCATGGAGCCAATATAAATAAAAAAAAAGTTTAACATTAAAAACTTGAAATTAATGCCGAGATAAGTAGCTTAGCTTATAGAAATTAACAAACTCATTCAAGTTTGCTGGTCTGTTAAATTATATTTCAAATAATTTAATTTTACTTTATGATTTAATCATCTCATCAATTTTTTCTTTTGTTAACACAGGGCGGAAATTGTTAATTGTTCGCGACAATGTGTATAATGTATAATTAGTAGGATTACCATAAATACCCATTCATCGAATTGAACCAAAATAGCTAATAGCTAAGGGATCAAAAAGGTGAATTCCAGCAAATTGCTCAAGCATAAATGGAATTTCAACCCGCTTGCTTTTCTTGAACACTTATTTATTCAGAAATCATAAAAAAGAATTTCAACAATTAGCATCGATGTTGTTTGCATTCGCTTTGCGTTCACTCACATCGATCTCAGGCCGCAATTTCGTAGGATTTCGTAGGATTCGGATGAGCTGGTATGGTGGGGCAACAGATAAATATGGAAAATGACAAAACCGAAATGCAATTTTTTGATCCGATTCGCAGGAAAACGCCCCGGGCGATCGTATTTTTAGTAGGCAAATCGGGTGTCCGGATGGTAGCCAAGCTTGTCCAGCGCCGGATTGCAGGCAAAGTTGATCATGGGCGGTGGGCCGCAGAGCAACACGATGGTATCGTCCTTGGCGGGAAGCAGGTGGGCGGCGATCATGTCCTCATTGATGAAGCCAACGCTGTACGGCCATCCTAGAAGAAGAGTTTTAAACAAAAATACATATATAATTAGCCTTAATTTTCACGGAATTCATACTCAGAGTGTGAGACCTGCTGCACGCAATCTTTCCCACTGTCTTGGCATTGTGAAATGAAAGCAAAACTCAGGGATAGATTCTAGTTTGCCAGCTCAAGCTGCTAATTCTTAATAGCTGAAACGCTGTTCGGCCCGGTGACCAAGTCGCTCCAGACCCGGAATACACGTGTAGTTGACCATGGGTGGAGGACCACACAGCAGGCACAACGTATCCACATCCGGCGGATACAGATGCTGCTGCATCATGTCGTCGTTAACGTGTCCGGTGTTGTAGGACCAGGCTACAAACCGTGCGTTCCCCGTTCGCGGCATCCGTTTATGAGCAGCATGGACAAAGGGGCAGACACAAGATTCTTAACATAATAGATGCTTGGCACATGGCTTAGTGGATCGCCTAACATTTGGTGTTGGATGCGGATGAAGATGCTGCATGCGAATGATGCTATCTAAGGTGGCTGTGAAACATTACGAGTAAAGGGAAAGATTGGTGCAGTCTACAAGAGAATATTCTTGTCTAAATAGTTAAAAACAATTTTGATTTGGCTTTAGTTTTTGTTGTCGCTTAAAGCAAAGCAATTTCTTTCTTTCTGAACTCATCTTAGATGTGAATTTTGTTGATCATTTCTTTAATAGTACAATTTGACTAGATCAATTTAATATTAATTTTGTTTTCATTTTGTTTAGCTTTTTAAGCATTTCGAATTCTTCATTAACGGTCTTTGCCTTTTATACACTCACTACTATTTGAACTCAATTAATTTCTGAATTTAATATATCTTTACCCTATTTGATTGAACTCATTGATCATTATTCTGATTAATAAGCATTTTCTACACAAAATTGTATAACTTTAAAAGAAACCTTTATGAACAAATGATGCGATCTGATGAGCACGATCATGTGGTTTATGCTACTTTTGCTCCATTAAGACTGCAACTCACCTTCAGCGGCCTTATCGACGGTGTACCAGACCTTGAATTGATCGGGATGCTTCTGGGCCAGTTCGTCAAGCTCAGTGCGCAGCAGAATGTCCTTCTCACTCTGTGAAGAAATAATAAAAATAATATAAATTTCGAAATTAAAAACTTGATTGCCAAGAATGTTGATGAATGACCCACCTGGTTGGCGAACAGCAGCGCCAGTTGGGTCTTGTCCTTATCGCTGCGCTTGAGCACTTCCCTGGCCAGTTGAAGCATGGGAGTAATGCCAGTACCGCCGGCAATCATGTTCACCCGCTTGGCGGACACGTGTTTGGGCGGATCCTTGCGCAGCTTCTTGATGGAGAATGTGCCATTGCCGAGATACTGAAGGCGGCCAGATGGGCCGCGGAACGAGATCTTGTCGCCCAATTCGAGCTGCTCCAGGTGCTGGGTCATCTTGCCGCCGGCGGGGAACTTGGGATGCGAGTCCTTGAAGTACACCTTGACCACCAGGTCCACGTAGCCCACATCTTCGTCCGATGAAATGGGCGTGTACGGCCGTATGACGAGCTCATTATCGATGGTCGCAATCAGGTGGATGTGCTGACCAACGGGCAGACCAAGGACATGCTGCTTGGAGGGCAACCCGAATCGGAGTCGTCTGGTGTCGTGGCTGAGATTCTCCTTTTCGATCAGTGGCAGCAGGTACTTGTCATTGGGGTCCACCAGTGTCCTCAGGCGGGCGGTGCGATTGGGTTCCCTCCGTGGCTTTGTCGACTTCTTGTTCAGCAGATAGTGAACGATGAGGGCGCCGGCAACCACTGCAACCACGCCCACGGCGATGGGAACAAACTGAAAAAGTATAGCAGCAAAGAGATAAGTAAGTGACTTTGATCAACAAATAAATAACAAACTTCTTTTCCAAATCAGATTAAGTGTTTACAATGTTAAATAACTCCAAATATTATAGTAATGAGTATATTGAACCAGGAAGACTTTAAGTTGAAGGTTTACCTTTAACTGATTATAATTTCATTCTAAGCAAATGGCAAATTGATTGTGAAAAGCTTGCTAATCGCTTAATCGTTGATTTTTACTAAAAATAATCATGTATGTTACGCAAGTAAAATAAAAATGCACAGTAGTAGAGTTTTTAAAGGGGCAATAAACAACACTACCGTGAGAAAAAGGTAAATGCACAAATATATTTTTTAAACGTTGTCACGTAAAAGCACTACACTTTTATAATGTTAAGTTAATGACAATAAATATGTTAAGCTTAAGAACAATTTAACTCAATTTAATAATCGGCTAAATGATAACCCACCAATGAACATAAATAAATCGTTACTTATCCTAATGTACTTTTCATAAGCTAACACATTAGCATTTAACTTGGGTGAGATATTTGAGATATTTGTCATTCCAACTACTTTTTTGATTGGTAATAAAAGAGTAAGCACTTGATATTATTGTTTTTTTTTTTTGATGGGCTGATTCCTAATGAAAGGTCACGATGACGAGCGGAAACCTCCACCAGTCAGCTGTGGTGATAAGAAAACAAAAAGAAATAAAAAACCACTCATAATTCGGATAGATTTCAGTTTGGTTTGCGAAGCCCCTTAAAACCGGCAGTTAATTGGGGTTACTAGCTTGAGCCATCAAACTTTGGCCCCATATCACAGTCGACCTTGGCTTTATACATATTTATATATTTTTGCTTTGGCAAACAAATGCGAAACGAATTATACATGACGTCACAACCACTGCTTAGATAAACAGAGAGCCGGCCCATAAAAAACTAGAGAGCAAATTGGGGTGCAGAGAGAAAGCTTTCACCTGAACTTACATCGAATTCCGTCATTTAAATACAAAACACTTGTTGTAAACTGGCTAATTTGCTATTTGAATTGCACACCGAACTTGAAAGCGAGCGAAAACGTGTGACCGCGTGCTGCCGATTCCAATTTCCAATTGAAATGAAGTTAAATCGTCGCGTGGAAGAGCCGCCGATACAAAACCGTCTCCCTTCCAATCTCTTTCTCTCTGAGATTAAAATGCAAAGTCAGCTCGAGTCAGCACAGTGGTTGCAAAAAGTATAGGTTCAGTACTTAGAATGTAGCTGGTAATAAAAGCTAACTTTAACTGTTTAAGAAATTTATGACAAGCAAGCCGTTGGTAAACATATATTTACTCAAAAGATTAGTATTAAAAAAAATCTTCCAGATAAAGCTAAAAATAAATTTAAAGCAACTCAAAAAGTGCTATAATTTTAAGCGCTGCTGTCAGCCAGATAAGCTACAGAGTTAAAAAGAGTGTAGATAAGATAAATAGCTTAAGAGACCCATTGCCAGAGTCAACTACGGTTAAGGGAAATCTACCTGAATGTTTTACTGAGTATTTATTTATTGATTATGAGCTTAAGAGTAATGTGGAATGGCAGAGTTTTTTTTTTAAGAGAGATGGGGTGTACGAGTACGACTAGTTGCAACAGCTGATTCGCTGATTCTTCCTCTCTGCGAACTTGACATTGTATTGTATCTTGGGATAAGATTCACGGGTAGATTGCATCATAGGAAAAACTGACGGCACCGCTTCTTCGGTCTCTTTGGCTGCGGTTTGGTGTGCAGCGCCTGCGCCTCGAACACCTCAAAACCATAATCCCCGACTGAATTGAGACGCAGAATGGCCGCCTTGTTGCCGCAGCGATAGCAATAGTTAGGTGCCGACCAGATGGTAACCAGCTGTTGGCCAAAATGCCAACGAAAGCCTTCAGCTGCCAACTGATGTGCCCTGCATATAAGAGAGATTCCATTCCTCCGGTTAAACTCCTCCACCACATCCCTGCCAAAGAGCTGTCCATGTCCGCGTGGCGATGCCGTCCATCCGAGTGCTTCCTGGGGATCGCTCCAAAGAAGATCCGCTATACAGCCGCTTTCGGGGATCTCGTGAAAGCGATCCAGCTTGTGAAACTCATCCAACTGCTGGATTTGGGGCGACAGTCCGCCATGTACGCAAAAGATTTTCCCATCGATAGTCGCCGCCAGTGGCAAGAGATCGAAGACTCGACAGCACATCCTCCAGACATTTGCCGAACCATATTGGGCCAGGCACTCCTCATAGAATCCGTAGGACCGCGTGGCACTGCGGCACTCGTGGTTTCCCCTTAGCAAACTCACTTGCCCGGGATTTTTGACCTTGAGGGCAGCCAGCAGAAGGAAGGTCTCCACGCTGTTCTTGCCTCGATCCACCAGATCGCCCAGGAACAAGTAGCGATGTTCGCCAACCGATCCGCCCAGATCCAACAGGTGCAGCAGATCTTGGAACTGGCCGTGGATGTCGCCGCACACGATCTGCGGACTCTGTAGGCTCAGCAGATTGGCCTCTCCGGCAAGCAAGTCACTCAGGGAGCGGCACAGCTGGCGAACCTCCAACTCCTTCGGCAGACGGACGGGCACCCGGCGCAGATTGGCCACCAGACGATCCGCATCACTCATCTTCTTAAGTCACCAGGCCGACATCATCTCTATTCTTAAACTGTCGACGTCACTGGCCAACAGTGATGGGAATGGTACAAGTTTTGGCTATAACTAGGCAAGGTACAAATGTTGCTGGTAAAATGTTCGCCACATCTTAACTGTAGAAAGGTATTTGCCATATTCAGAAACTTTTTAAAAAAATTATTGGACCACTTTCCCTCTGTTTTACGAGTTCTAAAATCGTTTTTATGTACATAATAGTACATAAATTAGGTACAACTATTAAACTGAAAGACCTTAATATAAATCTGTGTACAACTTCCTAATACTGACAGAAAGTAACACCTAATACTTAGAACATTTTTTATCTATGAAAATGTACCAATTTAGACCAAACAGAAATAAAATGTTTCTCACATAAATACCTAAGAACAAGTCTAAATAGTATCCATCACTGTTGACCAACGAAGAACGGCAATGCAAACCCATTGAGGCATTTGGCCAAGAGAATAGCGAAAGATCTTCCTCTGACAATTATGAAATGGCAGAAGGCAAGAAGAACAAGAAGAAAGTGGAGAAAGATGGGGGCGGGGCAGCAGCAGATGCGAAACAGGAGTTATGTAAAAACAGCAGTGAAGCGAATAGATTGCAAGTAACTTACATTGCTCTCGACGAGACGCGCCATTTGTTAATGGAAAATCAATGCAGCCGCGGCTCAAACGCCTTATATAATCCGTCAATTGCAACGGCAGCACGCACTTATTTAATATCTACCAGAAACGCCGACTAAACTAATATGCAGACTAAATCGCGGAGATAGTGAAAGCAATGTTTTTATTTCCACGCACTCTCAGTTGATGAGAGCGTAAAATTGAGCTCTCTGTCCTCGCAGATACTCTCTTTGGGACTCTTTACCCTCTCTTTGCTGAAAGAATATACGTTAATTTCACGAGCTACTTAATAATACAGATCAAGATATTTACCCACCGATTATGCAGCCCCAGTCGTTGTGCTTTCACAGGCACGTGAGCCGTAAGTAGAGCATTTTTTAATAATAATATTTATTAACAATTTTCTCAGCTCCAAACAAAGCCGCAATTCCAGGGCTGCTAAACTTAATGATATAAATACAAGTTGGCAGCACAGAAAACATAGCAACAAATCTAACAGCTGTTAGATTTAGTAGGGGAAGTCAAAACTTCGTTTATTTTAGTTGGTCAATTTATTTGAAACCTTTTATATTTTCTTGTATTCATTTGTATACTTCTTCAAAAACATTTCCTATTTTCAATGTACATTGTACATAGATAATAAATTATAATATTTTTTCTATTAACATAGTTTAAGATCTCAAACTAATAATTTTATATAAGTAATAACAATTTATACTAATATATTTCTACCTAACTTGTTCTGTTGGGTTTTAAAATGGTTTGATTTTGAAAAAACTAACATAAACAAATATTATTTAGTAAAAAATTCATTGCAAAAAGTTTTTGCATTGAAAATTTCACTCGTCATTCTAGCTTGTTGAAAAGTTTAAACTTAAACTCTGTATTGCTTTAAAGTTTAAACTGAGAGATTAATAATATTCTAAGCTTATTAAAATTCTTCCGTTAAAACTGCTGTCAGCCAGTTGTGGGTTTCTTTCCAAGTTTAATAGCGAACGAAATTTTAATTTCTATGTAACAGCTTACTACTTAATTTCAACAATTTAGAGATACCGTCGTTTAGGAAACACACAAATGTCTAAAATTAAATTAAGGATCCCCTTATTATTTTCAAGAATACCTCTACCTCTGCTATCGAAAGTACCTCAATACTGAGGTACATCACTAGCATATCGGTAATATCGTGACAGGCGTGTCATCCCTATAACCCCCGTTCCTCTTCCTCTTCTTTCTTTCTTTCTAAAATTGCACGTTGAACAGTTGAGATGGCGTAAGTGTTAATCCTCGAAATTACTGGGCATCTCAAAAGTTTTATTTTATTTTGTAATTTAATTCAAAGCCTTAATTGTTCATTAAGTTAGCTCTTATTATTTGCAATCAGAAACCAGCTTTTTAGACCTTTCCATGTCCATATCAGTTTGGAAATGATTGCAAAAGAAAACGTGATTCTTGTGCTAAATATGCAACTAATATGTGGGCTGTCATCATTTGCGCATTAGTTCGACAGTTAAAATATCCAGTCAAGATAGTTGTGAAGTTAAATTTCCGTACAATGGCTAACAATGTATTCCCATTTGCAGATCGAAAGTTTCGCGTGATACGCTCTACGAGGGCGTCAATGGACTCCTGGACGCTTCGGCCAAGAAGAAGCGCGGCTTCCTCGAGACGGTGGAACTGCAGATCGGCCTGAAGAACTACGATCCCCAGAAGGACAAGCGTTTCTCCGGCACCGTCAAGTACGTTGGCTAAATCACCTGCGCATGTGTTTTTGGAGACCAACTCCCCCGGGAGTGGAGTCGTCCAGCACGGCATCAGGTAGTCGAGCATCTGTGGCTGACCACATCTCGGCGGACCTGCACTCAGGGTCTTTAAAATTTGAGTAGGTCTCCAGCAATGGACACCGTCCCCCTTTTTAAACCAAATTGAAAACGTGCTCCCCCGTGGGCTTTGTAAGTTTTCCCCCCTCTCTCCACCCATATTTGACTTCCATTTGATCTATTGAAATCCAGGCTAACTAAAGATTACTTTCTTGCAATCCGCAGGTTGAAGCACATCCCCCGTCCCAAGATGAAGGTGTGCATCCTTGGCGATCAGCAGCATTGCGACGAGGCCAAGGCCAACAATGTCGACTTCATGGATGCCGAGGCACTGAAGAAGCTGAACAAGAACAAGAAACTGGTGAAGAAGCTGGCCAAGTCCTATGATGCCTTCCTGGCCTCCGAGTCCCTGATCAAGCAGATTCCCCGTCTGCTCGGCCCTGGTCTGAACAAGGCCGGCAAGTTCCCTGCCCTGCTGTCGCATCAGGAGTCCATGATCGGCAAGATCGAGGAGGTCAAGTCGACCATCAAGTTCCAGATGAAGAAGGTGCTCTGCCTGTCCGTCGCCGTTGGCCACGTTGGCATGAAGTCCGACGAGTTGGCCCAGAACGTTAACCTGTCCATCAACTTCTTGGTGTCCCTGCTGAAGAAGAACTGGCAGAACGTGCGTTCCCTGCACGTCAAGTCCTCCATGGGCCCACCCCAGCGCCTCTACTAAACATGAGCGGCTGCTTATCTTTTTTTAAACATCTTGAAATAAATGAGATCTTACATTTTCATAGTGTAACTTATTTGTCTGTTATTTTAATTGTGATTGCTATTCGGTATGAGCGTTTAATCTGCTACAAGCTAGTTGCGATTATATTTCAGTGGAGCTGATAGTTCTGGCTAGAAAATCGCGCACCTCAAGTGCAGAATGGGACGGTGTCTCATCATTGGGCATATCTTCCAGCGGTTCTGCTCTGAACTTGGCAACATCCACCGAGTTGCCCCATTCTAGCATGTGTGGTTCGCTCAGTTCCTCGAGCAGATTGTGCAGCACGGCGGCAGCTGTGATGATGCACGATGCTGTCTGGAAGCTAATGTCCAACGGCTGGCTGAGGAAACTCCAGCGGGACATGAGGCGATGCAGGGCGCAGTCACTCAACTCCTGCAGGTGCTCGGCCACCTCGTTGAAGTCGTGCTCGTGCGGGGCAATTGGATCGGCGTAACGCTGCAGCAGCCAAGGACGCAGTGGATAGTTCTGGTACACCGGAGCCAAGACGAAAGCCGGAACTGGGCGGGAATTGATACGGAATTTGGGCAGCGAGGTGAGGGTATTGGGTGTGTGCGAAAACATGGGCATCAGCGTGGCCCGCTGGCCACAACCCAATTGTAGCTCTCGAAAGAGCATCCGGTCGTCTAGGAGATACTCCATGCGTAGCACCGAGTGCTTGGCATCGCCATTGGCCCGGATGGGAATGGAGCAGACTCCCAGGACGCCGACAAGGGCGGCGGGCATGTTACTCTCGCGCTGAAAGCCTTCCGCCACACTATTGCAGTCCACCGGATGCTGGGGCAACTGGCGCAGGGCTCGTCCCAAAGTGGACATCACGGCGTTGCAGAATACCTTCGAAACGAATTATAGTTGTTGTGTAAAGTTGCCTTCTCTAGCAGTTTTTGGGGGATCCACTTACTTTCAGGCATTTGATGGTCCTTGGACGGGGCAGGGAAAACCGCTCAGCGATCAAGGATAGCCGCTCGCCGCTGGCCAAGAAGTAAAGGGCCAAGGCCACACACTTCTCGGGCGAGATGGCCGGCAATCGTCGAGCCAGTTCATCCGCTGTCCGCAGAGTGGGGGCCAACTGCTTGCACAGTGTATCGAAGGTGCCCCGGGTCACGTGGAGCGTGTTGAGAAACTCCTCCTCGCTCAGCTCTGGGATCACATGCTCGAAAAAGTGCGAATCGAAGTTGATGAAGTCCGTCGGCATGGCCACCTCCTCCTGCGGCTCTGCCTCCACATCCACATCACTGGGCTCGGAGTCCGTGTCCTCGGCGCGGGCATGCTTCCGGCGCAGCATGGCGTACATCTGCAGGTAGTTCGAGTGCATCTCCATCATTTGCTGCATGAAAAAGGAGCGCATCTTCCGGAATTGTCTCCTAATCCTTTGCTGCGCCCTCCGCCTGTGGGTGACCACCGTGCTCTGTACGTGTTTCAGGTGCAAGCGAATCAGCTGGGCCATCTTCTCCTTGCGGCTTTGTGAACCTTCACCATTGCTGTTTTTCAACTTGGCCAGGGCATTGTTTAGGTTGCTGGTAATTAATTCCAATTCCTCGTTCATTTTGTTTCTATTTTTAATAGAGATGGACCGTACAGTTTCTAGCGCCTGAACATTTCATAGTTCCGAATAAATGTTCACACTTGGCAAACTTGATATATCGATTACAATACGAAAAAAAAAAATGTGTTGTGAATTAAAAGAAATTGTGAAGAACATCTTAAATATGAATGAAAATATATTTTTATTTCATTTTTATTTATTTATTCCATGATCAGCAAAATAGGAGCGTAAAAACAGCTACTTATCTTGCAAGCCAATATCGATGGTGTAAATATCGATAAGAATAAACAGAAAAATCAGAATGTAATCAATTCACAAATAAAATAACATCGCAGTTATAAAACTTTGGGATTTTTACACGTATGGTATATTTGCGGTATATTTTAGTATATTTTTCACACCCCAATCCCGGTCACACTGCATCCTTCTTTTTCTTTCGTTTCCGGCGAGGTATGTGCACAAATTTCGTTTATCCACGTTTTTCTAGAAAATAATTGATAATTTCTCATTTTAGCGGTGATTAAAATAACCATCAAGCAACATAATGGTAGGTTTCGACAAGACATCGGGAAAAAATATTTTGGAGTACCGGGAACTAACCAAAAACATCAACTGCGGCAGCAGCAGCCCACGTGCATTAAATAAAAATTACTACCCTAAAAACAATAATTTGTGTGCGGTGACTGTCTGTGACTTCTGTTTTCCCATCGGAACGCAGCAATAATTAAGAAAAATCGTTTGCAAGCAACTAACAAGTTGTCAAGTGAAAGATGCCGGAGAAAAGTGAAGAGCGAACGCTTTATTTCTGGCATCAAATAAGGGATAAACCAAATATGATTTCAAGGATTAACCCTTATTGTTTACCTCCGCAAACAGGGTCGCGTACGAACCAAAACGGTGAAGAAGGCCGCTAAGGTCATCATCGAGAAGTACTACACTCGCCTGACGTTGGACTTCCACACCAACAAGCGAATCTGCGAGGAGGTGGCCATCATCCCCACCAAGCCCCTCCGCAACAAGATTGCCGGGTGAGTTTCGCAGCCCAAATCTACGCTCAGTGATGTGAATGCTTATCAAAATAATGCTAATGTTGCCGATTGTACACTATAGAACTTAAAAATTATGGTTTTATCAAGTACTAAACAAATTTTCTAAAATATTTATTTAAAATTTTAGATTGTTTAATTGGTTCAAGTGCCTAAGTGGCTAGTGGCTTGTCTTGAATTGAGAGCTAGAAATATGTTTAAATTCACTTTTTTGCCTATCCACATTCTTTTAATGGTTTGCATAAAAGAATTTATCTTTTGTCTTTCGCTAGTTTTTTTTTTTTTACATCACATCACTGGCTAGAAGAGGAATAGTTTATGAGTAGCTAATGATCCTTTGCTTCCTTTTCAGCTATGTCACCCATTTGATGGGCCGTCTGCGTCACTCCCAGGTGCGTGGCATCTCCATCAAGCTGCAGGAGGAGGAGCGTGAGCGTCGCGACAACTACGTCCCGGCCGTCTCCGCTCTGGAGCAGGACATCATCGAGGTCGACGCCGACACCAAGGAGATGTTGAAGCTGCTGGACTTCCACAACATCCGTGGCCTGCAGCTCACCCAGCCCAACACCAACAACTTTGGACGTCGCAACTAAGATTTTTTATAGCGCGTAGACGATGATGTTCTTATTTGCATGGAATCACAATAAACCAGCTTGTGTGAAGTGCATTTGAAGTGTGCATATGTGTGTTATACCTTAATATCGGTTCCAATTGAATGAAAAAAGTAGAGCTCCCCCCAACTTAAACTTAATATTGGGTGGCATTTTTAGAAGAATGTACAAAATCACTCGCAGTTTTTATTTCAATGTAGTGTCGTAATCTGCAGTTATATAGATATATTTACTAAAAAAGGAAATTTGCAAACTTATCAGTGTAGGATATGAATAGAATTATAAATTAATCCCTGCGCACAAAAAGATGAGCTTTTAATAGTGTTTTACCATTGTTAAGGCTTCGTTTTTATACTCTTGCAGTGGCTATTATAATTTCAGTCTGAAGTTTGCAACGCAGTGCAGAAGTCATTTTCCACGCTGTAAAGTATATATGCTTTCGATCAGGAAAGCCGATCAAGTTATGTCCGTTTGTCTCTTAGTTTTAAAGCTATTTTATAAAAAACTTATCCACAGTTGCCTTTCTGTCGCGGTTATTATTATAGCGAGCTGGATCGGACGACTATATCATAAAGCTCCCATCTTGAGGTTTTTGCGAACAATCAGGCGACAAAATCCGAGTTGAGACCTATGTATATTAGGGGCCCACACCGTGAGGACCGTAAGGTCATCTAGCCCGGTGAGCTCCAAAAGCCAAGTCAGCTCGTCAAACCTGGTCAGAAGTGACCAGGCTTGTTTTAATGACGAGGCTGGGTTGCTTAAGCCATTGAGCTACAGCGAAGTGGAAGATTTAAAGATTTAAGTCAGGCCTTCGATTTTTTAAAGGAAAAAATTACCTCATTGAAAAATAAACAAAATTAAAAAGTTATCTGTTTTTTTTTGTGGTTTTGAGTTTATGTGTGATCTTAAAACTTTAACAGCCTAACTGCAGAGTGGGTTTTATTAAAGTCCTTGCTGAGATTGATTAAAGTCAAACACGTAATCTAGAAACTTTGAAGTCTTGGTTGTATATCATCAATAAAATCAGAAGTGACACTAAAATCCAAAAAATGTTGAGGCTGATTTTCTAAATCAATGAGTCCAACTGCACGGGAAATCAGGGTTTAATGGAGCATTTGGTCGACTTAAATTTGTAAACCTAATTTGTAAAAGGCCTAAAAAGCGAGAAATATTGATAATCAGCATGTGGGAAAACAGACCATATTAAACCTAAAAGTATTACATTAAATTGGGCGTTTTCTTTGCCAAAAACATTTCCAAGTGGGGAAAAGGTAATCTTAGTCGTATTTTAAGAACCCCAAGCTTCGATTTCCGTTTCTCTTCTTTATTCACATTCGAATGGAAAATACTGTAGACATGCACATATTTGTAAATATGTAAGATTCGATTCATAAGTATATGGGTTCGTTGCTATACAGACGATATATAAAAGATATTCTCTACGAGTGCACAATATTTAAATCTAAGTGTGTATGCAGATGCCAGTATATATATATATATATATATATATATATATATATATCTATATGTTATGTATATGAATTGTGGTAAGTATACGTATGATTGTTCAGGAAGATGCTGTTGTCATGGGGCCCACAACTGGATCTTGCTGAGGTCTTCGCACCGGGTTACGCAAGACCAGCTCGGAATCCTCAGATATAATGGGCAGTGCATGCGCCCAGTGGTAGTTAATCAGGTGACTAATGCTGTCGAAGATGCGATCTTTGGTACGGACTACGCCCTCGGGATCGATGAGCAGCAGATGCTTGGGCGTCTTGCCCTCCAGTCCAGTTAGCACGTACTGACCCCGCTTTCCCTGTGACTCGCGCACCAGGAAGTCACCATCCTGCTGCAGCAAGCGCTCCGAAATTGGTCTGGATATGCCCGCATGGAACCACACCTCCGCCGTTAGTGGACACTGTGGTCCATCGAACACATCGCGTACTGTGGCCAAAACGGAGCTGGCAGCCGGAGTCGCTTGAAGGGGATCAAAGTGGCCCAGCTTATTGGTCGTCTGATCGGGAGGCGGGGAATTGAGGTCGATGAGGTTGCTGCTCAAGCGATCGCGTGGCTTCTTAAGGTTTAGCTGTGCAACACGATGCTGATGCACCTGCTGTTGTTCCGGCAGTTCTGGCGGCAACTTGTTGGGCAAATCGTTGTAGTACTCCTTCACATTCTCCTTGCAACTCTGGTTGGTGTTGCAATCCCCTGAAGCATCGTTCAGCCGACTGAGCGCATTGAAGCGCAAGGCAAAGGCCTTGCCAATGGTCACGATTAGATCCTCGCTCTGGCCACCAGCACATTCCAGAACATAACAGGCCCGCCACTCATCCTCGTTCTTGGCTATGTAGGCCAGAAAGTCGAGGGTATCATTATCACCGCCTGAGGCAAATGATATACGCGGCATATTGTGATTGGCTATAATCTCGCCCGATTCCACATTGCTGAGGGTCAAAGCTCGACTGGAAACATTGATGATGATGTTGGTGCCGGCGTGCTGCATGCTGGGGCGGTCCGATATGAAGCTGGTTAATTTCCGCTTGCCAGCAGACTTTAAGCCAGCCGCCTCGCAAACCCGATTGATGCACTCCCTGTTTGTTCGTGGAAAACACATGATTATGCCGATGGTGATTCATGGATAGGCTTACTTACCGGGCCAGCTGCGTACGGGTTTCAAAATCCAGCGATTTCATAGAGGTCTTGACCTCCACGCAGCCCGTGTATCGGACGTTGAAAGCAACACCCACGCCCATAATGACGTCGTCCTGGTAGATGCAGCCGTCGCTGGTTGTCCCGGAACCGCTCCGGTTGCCGGCGTCACCATTCTTCGGCATTTGTGCGGAGGCTCTCGGCGTGTGGCAGCGAACGGGCGTCCTCGATGGTCCTTTTTTCGCGGCAGCAGCCTTTGTTATTAGTAATTCGTATATTACTCAAGGTGGGACCGTATTGGCGAAGTGTGACCGCTGATGCATGCATATCGATAGTTGATCAGAGGTGGCGTTGGAAAATGTTTTTGTGGGGGTTCTAACAGCAGGGTTTTATGAAGAGCTGTTTCCAGTAATCTGAAAAATCATACACTGAAGTTTTGGTCGTGAACGAAAACAAAACAAAACAATTAACTTTACTCGAATTAAAAATAATATATATTATTTCAGTGCCTTTTTCAACCAGGTACACTGATCGAAGAAAAAAATAGCAGAAAATTGCAAAGCGTTGCCAGATTTCTTTGGGTGAACGAACGGCAGGCTCCAGCGTAAAGAATAATATATTTAATCTTTGGAGGTTGGAGTTTGCTGAGCATAATATATGTCGGATTAAAAAATGGACGGAATATTTCACAGCTAATTTGGTTGCTTTATATACAAAAATACAGATGTTGAAAAATAGGGTTCTCGAAAAACCGACTCTCAATACATTTTATAGCCATACTGTAAATGAATGCCATGTTAATGCCTTTTGTTTTTATTTTTTATTCAAATTTCCCAATGAGAAAATATGAAAACAAATTCCAAAACTGCCATCGCCAAACTATCGATTGGTCGATCAACAGCTTGCCATCTCTGTGTGGCAAGCCAAAGCTTCGCATCTGGCTCCAAAGTACTTCACCCCCAAAAATCTGTGCTCGCCGCAAACGCTGCTCAGTTTTTAACCGACTTTCGTGCAATTTCCACGCTACGGCCATCCGGCTCTTTACTCCGATTTGCCGAGTTACCACGCCGCGTATACATACACAAACAAACAAAAGCAACAAACCAACGGCGAATCACCAGGTGTGGAATTATGTGTTAGAGCAAAACAAATACGAAAATACCAGAGACACAGCCCTTGTGTACATTTTTTGGCCGGATTGAAACAAATTGGAAACCAAAAATTCAAAATCAATATAAGACCCCTTCTCCAACGCAAGTGTGTGGGTAACAGAGAGATACACAGATACGCCCGCATCTCAACGCGCAGCATCCGTAAGCGAAAAGTGCACCAGAAAAGCCGGAGGAGTGCATCCGTAGCCCCACTGGAAACTGGAACGAGCATTCGTATAGCCGTGAGACCGATTTTCAAGCCCAATCCCTCCGAGGTTACTGTTTTACTGTTTTACTGTTTCACCGTTGCGGTAAGTCTGCCTTCGTCAAGCTTTCTGTTTACGTTTATGCCATTTTCAAATCCATTTCCATTCCGCTGCGCACCGTATTCGCGTTCGTGCCGCTGCCTTGTGGCTCAGTGGGCACATAAATAAAACATCTTTACGTCATGCGACGGAGCTCTGAAGTCATTACCAAAAGACAGCAGCGGCCACTCCGATATGAGCATAAAGTGCTTCATTTGCATAGTATCTACAGTGGAGCTTAGATAAATCAATCAATCCACTAAGATACTTCTAAAATGTCGGGTTGTTTTTGTGACGTCATAACTAAAAGACACATTATCGGTCACTGAAGTTTGGGTAAAAAGTGCGTCACAGTGGAAATTCTGCAAGTGAAACCACTATTTGGTGGGAATATCGAATATGTATTGTGCTCTGTTTGTCAATACCAAAATGCAACCAAATTTTTATGAAAAAGTTTATAGATGATGAAACAGAACTAAAGCCTATTTCAAAGCAAATCGGCACAAACAAATGTTTAGATTTTGACCTGACATCAAGAATTTAATAATTACAAGTTTTGCCTTTTTAAAACCATGATACTTTCGAAAAAATTTCAAGCATAAAAAAGTTGTAACTTCTTAAAGTCTTCTTTACAGATATTTTACTGTAGTTTCCAAAAAAGTTGATTCATTAGGGCTGCAGGGCATAACAGATCCCATTTAAGCCGCATTCATTAGGTAGGTGATCTCATCGGCGGCTGCTTTCTTCCCGTTCTGCGTCCGACTGCAGCCTGGCCTAAACTCACGCCCATATGCCGTTCAAACGGCAGTCCAATCACGCCTAATATGGTCCACATTTAAGCTGGCTCAAAGCGTTTCCCGCCGCCAATTAAACACGATGACGTTGACCGCCAAACCACCAGTTCCATTCATGGTTTACTGCTCGCCGCCGACACCCACGTTTCGGCCTTGCCTTTTTTTTTTAGCTAACCAACTGTTTCAACTCCGCGGGAGTCGATTACAGCAATTGATAATTGCTGCAGAAGGTGTAGTTTTCTGGTTTTAACGACCTTTGAGCCGCCAATTGCTAACACCTTCGTGCTAAAGTCGAAAGGAAATTAAGCTTGGCCAATTAAGGGATTGGTCTTTAATCGTAAATGAAGAAATAAGCTGTTTATGCAATGGTACAATATTATAAGTTTCATTTTGTGTGTGAATCTTTCAACTGAAAATCCACATTATCCGCTTATTTATCCACAAAATTCATTAGTTCGACTTTAAAAACTCAGTTTAAAGTAATTAAAAATAAAGTGCTAGCACCATTGTGGCATAGGCAAACCAAAAGACATTACAGTTTATGTTTAGCTGTAGAAATTTCTCTGGGTAGCAATGACCTTTATAATTTTTCTTTATGAAGACTTTCCCTCGCTTTTGTGTTCCTATGCTATTGTGATTGAAGGGCGTATAATTAAAGACTAGGATTAAAATGGCCTCCCCTTTTTAATGGACTTGAGTGATCTATGCTTAATCGATTTTATGGTTTAATTTTTTTTTACAAGAAAAAACTGCTTTCTAAAACCATTGAGCCATAAAACAACAAAATTTTGGTTTTATTTTTTTAACCTACTGAATGATCATAACAAGCATTAACGGCTTTACAAGCCTAACAGTTTTTAGCATTTAGTCCATATTTGGTATGCGTATGTAATTAGTCAAACCCCTTTCTAGTCATAAATAACAGAAAGGACAATAAACTAAATTCCAACAAAAAACTTCAATAAAATATTTTTTTCTACATGTAACCTTTTTTATTTTGTTCTATTTTATAACTTATTGGTTGTGTTGCCAGAACATTAACATTTTTAAATGAAACATTTAAAATCGAAATACAACTTTTTGGATAGTTCTTTGAAAACTTTCTTAATTTTTTTTTAATTCATTTAAAATAAAAATCAATACTTCATTCACCAAAAAACAATAAAACTACTTTATATATTTTATTTGCTTGAAATCTTTTCATTCTAAATGTTTGCTAATTCATAAAAACTTAAATTTTGTTTTTACAAAGAAAATTTAATTTAAGCAAATTATGGCACACCCTGTATTTTTACAACTTGTGCTGTGTCATTAACAGCGGACGGCTAACATTTTCTGTAACAAATTCACCTCGTGCGATTTTACTCATTCGTTTTCCATAATTTTTACTATCGCTTTTTATTGTTATTTAATTACAAACTATAGTACATATATGTATTATACACATGCTCATACTTTGACTATAGCATGTGTATCACTAAGAGCTATAACACGTTGATTTCAAATACTAAATTCGCCACTCCACCGCTGTCGTTATATCTCATTGACCCATCAGCTGCTCAAAGTCCGTTACGTAATACTGGGCCCGGCGATAGACCTCCGGTCGAACGACATTGCCACCAAAACCGATAAAATAGTTGGCTGGCGGCACAGCCTCCAAATCGGTGGCTCCATCGCCGATCATTGTGATGATAGCACCTTCACTATTCTCCTTCTTTATCAGGGCGATGGCTTCTGCTTTTCCTCCGGAACGCGAAGTGGGCTGAGTGATGTCAAAGCTATCGTATTCGCCCAAATAATCGAACAGCATCTTGTTGGCATAGACATTGTTGAGGGGAATTCCCAGTTCGTTGGCCACGGGAGCTATGAGGCAATCGAATCCGCCGGAGATCAAGTACACCTGCTTGCCCTCCGCCTTTAAGTGGGCCACGAAACGCTTCACATTTTTGCTCAGTGTACTGGGTCGTTCATGGATAAAATCCCTTACTTGCTGTTGAGTGGGCCGTATGATGTTCAATCTTATTTTGAGGGCATCCTGAAAGGTCATGGCCCCTCCCATCGCCTCCTTTGTGACACGTGCCACCTCGCTTCCCTTGCCGCAATATTCGGCCAGCTCATCGATGCCTTCTTCACAAATCACCGTGGAATCCACATCGAAACAGACGATCTGCGACTGCTGAATGACCTTGGCCGCCAATTGGGGCTGTTTGGGCGGTGTTATGGCCGAGGCCACAGTGGTTTTGGCCGCTCCTCCCGAGGTGCCATTGCCATTGCAATTTATCTGTTTGGCCAGAAGATGGTGGCCATTTGTGGCTGCTGCAGGACGCGCCAAACTCAAAACGGAACCGCTCATCTTGACCGGCGAACACGTTGTGATTTTTGGGAATTTCTTGTATTTCTTGTATATACCGCTTGACGTAAAAGCTTCGGCTTTGTTTGGGCCCCAAAATTTTCCGCTGCTTCTTTTTTTGTGTATCTCAATATCTTGTGCTTTTTTTTGTGTATGTTTTCTCGTTCCTTTTTGCACACGCGCTTCGCGTTGCTGCCCAGCTGTTATTTGTTTTTGTTTGATAAGTGGTTTTGCTTTGCTTGCTAGCGGGTTTTTCTTAGTCGAACTGCTCACGATGACTGATTTTTCACAAGTGACTCAAAAACACTCGATCGCCCTTTTAAGAAAACCCGCTCAACGCACACAAAAGCGGTTTCTCTCTCTCTCTGTCGTTCTCTCTTTTCTCACTGACCACACAGAAAGAAAATTGACATGATAAGGCGGTCAGTTTCATGATGAAGTCCAGCTTAAATTTATACCCATGAAAATTTGATTCAAAATACTCGGTCTTCGTTTAACAAAGGCATCTAATCTGATTTCGGTTGATTATATTATCCTTTGCAAGGAAATTTGCATCTCAAAATGATATTCATTAGTATCAATTAATTTTGTAAAATCAACATGAAATTAATTTAAATTTTTTTTATTTTTTTGTGTGTAACGATCGAACGATAAGCTTACAAGTGTGCGAGCCACATGTTTGTATGTAACGAATTTACAACTTTTTATTTTCACCCCGACTTTTAGATTACCCTTTCTTTTCGTTTTTTATCCGCGAATTACGCTCAATTTTTATTTAATCAGTTTCAATTGAAAGAGAATTGCTTTGGGTAGACATGAACCTTTGAACCCAACATGTGCTGCACGAGTGCGACAATGTCTGCTTATCACAAAAAAAATGAAACTATAGAAACAATTATGATTTAGCTGTCATTAAACTCGCCACACTCGAGTGCTTAGGAGAGCCGCCTAGAACTGGATTTTCCAGCAGCAGACCATCATGCCTTATCTTTTCTGGCACCATTTAACACTTGGCGATTTCCAGGAGACGGGTATTTACACTACGCATCGGAAGACTACCTCAAAAATTGTCGGAAAACAAATAACAAGTGTGTTATTTATGACCCTGATTCTTGAAATTGGTCATGCAAAATTCTAATCACGGTTGGACTTCCCAATCCCAACTCCTTTGTCAGTCAAACTTCTCTGTACCATGTTGTTATCAAATTTTTGTATTCAAATTTTCATAACACATCCCTTCATTAACTTCCAATTTTGTATCAGGTAAAACCAATTACAATTTATTTATCCCTTAATACAAATTGTATTATCAGGCTTATCATAAAATAATAGTTATTCAATCCGTAGTTCTCGGAATTCGTCTGTATTTTAATTGGCGCTTATCAGTTTTAAGGGGCAGTGTACTTTTTGTGTCGGGTTGATCCCCCTGTTTCAATACTTTCTTTTTTGAATTTATGCTTAATCATTGATGTGGAAAATAACCGAAATCTCAGCAGATTATAGATGGTATAAACTCTCAGTATTTTTAAAGCGGCGGGAATTATATTTAAACTGTCTGACATTCTGATGCAATTTAAAGCTACTATTGCAACGTCATACATACATACATACATACATACATATATACATACATAAGTAAGTTGTAACGCAAGGTGGAGAATCTTCTCTAATTTGTTCTTTCATAATAACTCACGATTCTTGTTTTGGTCTCCAGTAATTAGATACAAATCAACAACAAAGCGAGAAGCCTGCAATGCAAGCGACAAAAACAACAAAAACTTCTCAAAATGCAATTTCCCCTGCGGTTTATTGTTGTTATTATCGTTGCTATGGTAATTTTTTTTTTTTTTCCAATTGTAGAATAACAAGTTCGTTTGTGGTAAACAGGGCAAAAACAACATAATATCAGACAGCGAGACCGCAAAAGTATTTCATTGCCAGCGATGAAACGTTATCGATAACGATAAACAATTTATTGCGTGCTGTGCGTGCATGTGCATGCCTGAGCATGTACTCATGCATATTTAAAGCTTACTTCGGCCAACGACTTACACTAAACCAAACCGTATACAGTTGACTGTTTTTAATTGCCGTTGCCTTGAGCGACCAAAGACCCTAAAAGGAAAAGGAAATGCGAGGCTAGAGCGGCAGAAACCACACCTGTACCTTTACCTGAGCCTGTCAGCGGCTGCGGCACCTGTCGTTTACCGTTATTTTGTTTTTATTTTAAGTCTAAGGTTTTCCTTGCCTTGGCAACTCATTTGGGTTTTGGGTGTTCCTTGGGTCTGCATTTATTGATTGACCTTGTTGCTGCATAAATTTTCAGCCAAGTCCGTTTCCATTTTGTATACTTTCCATGGGCATACAAAGTATAGAGGTAGGCTCGTCACCTGATCCGAAACGCATGGCAAAGTACCTGAGCTGGCTAATTTATTATGCCCATCGAATGCCTGACGCGATAATGGTTTCTAATTTACGAAAAATTCATTGAGGATTCCATTTATTCTTAAGTCAGGCCCTTTAATACCATTTTGAATAATTTGTTTCTTATAAAGAGTGGATTTTAGACAACAACAAAAAAGACTATTTAGAATTAACTTTCTTTTAAAAGTCATATACATACATATGTATCAAAGATGTTTTTAAAAATTATATTTCAAAGATATTCATAATAATTTTTAAGAAAGACGTTTTTTTAATTGGTAGATTTTTGGAGAATATGTCATTCAAATATATAAATATCTTTTCAATTATTTTCAAACCTTACACTAGATTACATTTTGTTTGGTACATACATATATTTTATAAAGATAATTGTTTTTAAGAAAACAAGCCAGTAAATTATCATGTCTAAAAAAAACTTCTTGTAGAAGTTACATTTATAGAATGTCTACTGCTCCTCCATTAACAGCAACATGGAATTTAGTGAGGCAGCTGTCAGCTGCCCCGTAATTGTGCCCCCTGGCCACACCCTCAACTATTGCCGCCCACTTTGAATCGGAATGCCGGAGGCTTGCATAATGACACGACATTTTGAGGGATTGTTTTCCAGCCGAAAGCTGATAGGCTAGGCTAATAGCTATAGCTCTAGACTGAAGGCTGCGTGAAATTGATCTATTAATTTTCATCACCAGGCAGATTAATAGGAAATTACTATTTTTATATTTGGTTGCCAATTGTCTACACCTCTCGATTGATTTGTTTTTTAGCTGTTGTTTCCATGCCGAGTTGTTTTTGTGCCGTCTACTGATTAACCGTAAGATTGTAGGTGACCATCCCCCTTTCCTTTCTAACACTCGACTTGTTTACGGCTGCACGCGATTTTAATTCCGCTGATTAACTCTCTCACGCTCTCACATTGACTATACCACCTTCATGTATGTAAGCCAGAGAGAGATGTGCTCACTTGACACATTTACAAGTGGAGCAAAAAGGGGAGCTCAAGAAGTGCTCTCGCTCTCGCTCTCACTCCTTATGCGGTGCGTGGTTTTCTTTGTTGTTCTCGTTTTTTGTCGTCTTGTATTTTTGTTTGCATCGCTTGCTGTTGGCTCATAAACAGTTACAAAGTGGGCTGATTTTGTGTATGGCAACGTCAACGGTTATGCACTGGAAAATAAACAGCCTTTGCAATAACAACAACAAGGTAGTCCTCTTTGCTGGGGGCCATATATGTATGTAGATGTGCAACTCACAGCCGAGGTCAAAAAATCAGTATTCCAAATTCTTCCTTTGTGAAAAACTGTGGTCAACGTTGAATGGTTATAACTTTAATCTATAACATTGTATTAAATTACTTTTAACTTGATGTTCTTATTAATACTTTCAAACTGCTTTCAAAACTGCTTCAGTTGAACAAAAAATTTGCAGGATTTTTTATTGTTTTGAAATCAAATTAGCTTAATGTTTATTAATCTTATATTAATATTTAATACATATATTCTAAAAACTAGGATTTTCTTTTTGTCGGTTTACGTATTAATGTTTATGATTTCAGTGACTTATCACAAACGATTTAAAAGTTCTCTAGTACTATTAGTATAAACACAGCTGTGGGTGTTGTTGATATATAGAAATGAAATGAAAACACGTCATTTGTCGACAACGGCTTTTCTGTTGCTATCGCTTTGGAAACTCGGGCAGCGCTGCTTGCTGCGAAGCTGGCAGAGAGTTGTTTAACTTTTCCCCTGACAAAACGCTAACAAAGGGAAAAAGTTTTGCTGCCCGCCCCATCAAAGGTAATTACAATTGAAAGCTCTTGCTCTGCGTTATCGTCATTCTCAGAGTTCTCAGAGTTCGTTGCACTCCGCAATTTAACAAAGGCGGTAGTGGCATGCAAGCGACTAACGTTTCGTCCTGACAGACACGCCCCCGAAACGGAAGCTAAATATATCCCTAGTCCTGTCGTAAAGGAATCCCCGTCGAACGCAACAGTTTCTATAGTAATCCGAGCCTAATGCGATGATTTGGGTCAACAGGCGGAGTTGGCAACCTAAGCAAAAAAAATTCTGATTCCAAGGCTTTGCCCCCAAAATTACACTCGCGAAAAATAGTCAGAGATATCTTCTTTTTTACATTTTTAAATGTAAATTTTTAATGAGTGACCCCTCGAAAATCTGCAATTTTTCCGCTTAAAATCCTGATTAAAATTTACGGAGCATCAAGGAGAAGATTAAAACCATCTTTTGTTCGATCTTAAGGCACTTTTACAAATTTGATTTTTAAGTTTTTCCTTAGTGTACACGTGTGGGCTTGTTTGCATCTGCTGAATCATTGATGAAGGCGGGACGCGGACAAAAGCAACAATGATTGGATTGATTGCATGTACAGCGTTTCCCACAGCGAAATAGACAAAGCTGTGAGACGGGTCGGGCTGATTCGTGCGGCATCAGATAATCAAATTGTTTGCGCACCGCTTTCGCAACGCTCCATTAAATTTGCAATTCTCATTTCTCAATTGCAGGGGCTGTGCACAGAGACACACACACACACACACACACACACACACACACACACACACACACATTAAGTACACCAACTAGAGACTAAAAGAGCAATCGAGGGGCAACATAATGGTGGAGTTCCGCTTCGATATCAAGCCGCTGTTTCCGCAGCCAATTATCAAGGTGACATCGAACCTCCTGCCGCACACATTTCGCGGTGATCGGCGTCAGTGTTTGTGAGTATTGAAATTGTACGCGGAGTGTGATCTAAATTTCCCGATCCGACTAACCGATACGCTTTCCACACTCACCCACGCACGCAGAGATGCCACCTCCAAGATGTCGGAGATCATCGACCGGCTGGGCCAGCTCTCGGCCACCTCGCAGGGTCTCAGCAAGCCGGTGACCACGGCTCAACGTCTGCGGATGTCCGATAACCAGACCATCTATCTGCTGGCGGATAGTGAAGCGGGTCACAAGTAAGTAGTCCTGAGCGAGTATCACTAATACCAAACATACCTCATACTAGAGTTTTTCTGCTTAGGTTTTTTTTTTTGGATGGATCCAATGTTATTTTTAAGAAAGCTTATATATTGTATCTTTTTGGATTCTTTTACTTGTGGTTAAAAACCCTTTTTTTATAAAATTGATAAGGGAGTTAAGCAATGTTCATCAAATCGCTTTTTATAAAGGCATTTAAAGACAAGAAATACGCGAAGTTATGGATTTATTTTTATATCAAAAAGCTTTTTATTCTCTAATGCATTTAATAAAACTAAGCTATTACCATTCTTACTGAAATATTATGATTTTAATTTTATATATTTATTGTATAAACACAACATAACTCAAGATATCCTTTAAAAAATTCCGATAAATTAAACAACAAAAAATATATAACCTTTTCCAGTGGTGCCGTGACGGGTCTGCTTAAAGTGGGCACCAAGGATCTCTATTTGTTTGACGAGTCCGGGCAGACGCGCAAGGTGGAGCAGGCTCCATCCATTCTAGACTTCTATATCCACGAGTCCCGCCAACGCGCCGGCTTGGGAAAGCGTCTTTTCCAGACAATGCTAAGCGAAGAGCAGTGGACGCCACTCAAGTGTTCCGTGGACAGGCCGTCGGAAAAGCTTCTGGGTTTCCTCAGCAAGCATTACGGATTGCAGCGCATCATTCCGCAGGCGAACAATTTTGTACTCTACGAGGGATTCTTTAACGATGCCGGCTCCGCAAATGGACATGGTAATGCCCACGGCCACGCCCAGTCGCCGCAGCGCACCCAGAATGGCCTGCACATCACAAACAGGTGAGGAGGCGTGGCTTTTTTCTGATTTCCCCACCTGGCGCAGTCCGCGGCAATTAAGGCGTTGCTTTCGCCGCTGCAGGAAACATTTCACTTTCGGCCTCTGTTGGCCATTTCTTTTAACCCCATTTGCATATCGTATGCAAATCGGACCCTAGATTTCTTTGTTTGTTTGTTTGCCGAAGGAAGCCCGCTGATCGATAAAACTTGGTCCGAGTTGATTAATAACTATAATGGTGGCCTGTTGCTTGCTTTGCTTATTAAATCCCTGTCAGAGACATGTTTGATTACTTAAGAAAACCAAAATATAATAACTCACTAACTGAAAATGCTTCCAAAGAAATCTTTAAACCCTTATGATGGCTTAATCTTTTAATCTTTTTCCACATGATGCGCTAATTGCTAACCAATGATAACTAACGATCACAACACATCGTCAACAGTCCTAACACACAGCTCTTTGGTGCTACTTACCTGGGCGAGGATTCTAACCGGCGGCGTGGTTCCCAGCAGCAGACAACACCAAACTCGCTGATTCAGCAGATAACACAGATCTCTCCGTCCGGACGATATGGAGCCCCTCGTCCCACATGCAGCATGGCCGAGGTACTGAAACACTTTTATTGACTGCCAAGTTTCAGGACCCATTTCCTTGAGCAATGGGGTTTTTAATTTGATATTAGTGACTTGTTCAATAGCATTTTGGATGAATGTACTTCGTAAAAGTTAGATCTCCAAAAATTGTTATAATATACAGGGACTAATTTTAAACCATTGAACACCTTAAGCAGGAGTACAACATATTGTGTTAAATCGGAATTGAAAAAATCACAGCCTTAGTTGGCTGGGTTCAAGTTCTCAAATGGTCGATTGTAAGGCCCCACATAGCTCCAGTATTACTTCAGTTCAAATTTCTACTCGATACTGGTCGGATACCTTTTTCGACTTGCTGTGTACAAAAATATATTTGTATTTTATACTTGTTTTTTTTTTTTTTAAACTGAAAGAAATCATCAACTAGTTTCGTCGCGATTTGTGCCAAGTTTTTCGTGCGGCTTACTAATTTCCAGTGATTTAATTTATGGATCCCAAACGTGGTAATGCCTCCGGGGCACGCCAAGGCGGTGGTGGCTATCATGCCTCCAAGACGAGCGTGGCTGTAAGTTGGTCAAATAATACTCTCCTTCAAATGATGACTGAATAGCTTGGTTTATAGTCACGCCATGGAGGCGGTGGTGGAGGCGCAGCCGTGGGTCACAAGCAGCCTAGTCAGGTCAGTCTGACGCCCAGCCAGGCCAGGAATCCGGAAAATGTAAGACACCTTGTTGATAAGGCGTGTAAAATCCGAATTGAAAACCCAATCACAGCCTCGCAAGAGTCCATTGGATGCTTTAAGTCGAAGCGGCATTGTACGCAACCAAAATCCCTTCCAGCGTCGTTCTGGCTTGCAGGATGTGGACGATGCATTCCTCGCTTCGAATGCCTTTGCCCGGCCGCCCAGGGTTCGTCACTCGGGCCTGGATAAAGAAAACATGGCGCAGGCAACTGCCGGAGGAGCATCTGCAGGGCAGCCAGGTTCGGCAGCGATAGCTCCCATTCTTAACCAGCAGCAGCAGTATCAGCAGATGCCTCCACCGGATGCTGTGCAACAGCAGCAAATGGCTTCGCCCGGGGTTGTACCATCGCAGCAATATATGCAACCGGCTGGACAGCCAACGCGTTTGGAGCCAGCACCCTCGGGACGAGCTCATGTCCATCAGCAGCAGATGCCACAACAGCAGATGCAACAGCAGCAGATGCAGCAACAGCAGATGCAGCATCAGCACCAAATGCCACAACAAGGGGGCTACGATCAGCAGCAGCAGCAAGTAGCCCAACCAGATGCTCAAATGCAGAACAAATATGCCACGCAGCAGCAGCATCAGTTGCAACCGCAACATCAAATGCCCCAGCATGGATATGTAAATATGACCAGGTTTTTGGAGAACCTTTTGAAGATATTTAACACCGACCTGACCCACAGCCCACGCAGCCACCAGCAACCGGTGCTCCGCAAGCAGCTCCACCAGCAGCCGGAGGAGTAGCAGCAGCTCCAGGTGGAGCAGCCGGTGGCAATGTGCCAAGAGAAAACGGTGGTGGAGCAGCACCACCGGATGCCGAGATGTGCACCACTTGCCCCAACTGCCAGACCACCATATATCTAGTGCGAACCGCAGAGCTTGGACACGGAGATGCCGGCATGCCTGTTCAGTAAAATATAAAATCAAGACCGAGTGAAATGCACCAAATTTCGAGTGCATTACTCTTCCATGTTTAGTTTTAACGTAGCGACGTCAATGTTCAAATGTTTTTAAGACCTGGTTAAAACCTACTAATCTCCACACAATCGTCTTGTGGCCAAATCTCTAAATTGTATCAAAATAATGAAAATCGAAAGTAATACTTTGGCTTTCACTTCCAGTGGGTCAACAGGGGTGAAATTCAACCCAAAATCGTGGTGTTTTGGCTGCGTGCCAGGTGGTTGTTTTTTTTTTGGGGCAGCATAAACTAGTTTGCGTTTTGTACCTAGGCTTATATTAAGTTGTGTAGCTGGCAATTAATAGAGAAATTCATTGAATTGTATGGCCCACGAAGTGTGGCTATTAATATAAGTTAATAGACTGATCTTATCTCTAATTATTTGCTCCCGGAATTTAACCTAATAATTTTCTCTATTTTCAGATAATTCATGCTGGCAGCTCGAAGGGCGGCAAGGGCAACGGCAGTGCAGAATCGAACAGGTATATAACACCAACCATTTTACACCTAATACCAACTGTCCAAGCATTATCATTTTATGTATGGTCTTCATTTGGGTATCATTTTGTTCTTTTCGTTTGTCTTTCAGAATCAAATAGAAAAAGCCAACCCACAAAAATTGCACACGGCTGCTTCACATACAAAAGAAATATAAATCAAAACTAGTAAAACTGAAAAATCAACATTTACAACCATTGTACAAAGCTTTGATTTTAGCAAATTATTTATATTTTCGCTTAGTTAATTTATACAATCGATGAATTTACTTAATATACGAGTACAAGCAGAAGAAGCTGCACTTGCCGCATGCCACCACCCACCACCAAAACCAACACCACCACCACCCACAACAACACAAGAAAACAAAAAACCTGAAAAGAGTATCAACCCTCTAAATCGGAAATGTTACACAAAACATACAAAAATACCTGACAAATTGTGATTACAACATATTAACTTATCATTTAACTACATAATTGTTGGTCGTAACTTATTTTCGTTTTTTTTCTCGAGCAATAAAATCAATGATATAATTGAGTGTTGTTGTTTTCGTAGTATCTATTTAATATAGTCTAGTTTTAATCGCTTTAAAAAACTCTCCCAACAGCGGAAATGGTAACCATGATCTTGCAGAGATTGCCGAGCAACTGCAGCGGCAGAGTTTGGACGATTCGGAGGCCAACAGCTTTGAGCCGGAGCCTGAAATTGAGCCGGAGATTGTGCCCGTGCCCGAACCCGAACCGGAGGTCATTACGCCCCCATCACCGCCGCCAAAGAGCCACACCCCGACACCTCCATCCGTGCGATCCCCTGAGGTGGCCGAGAGCATCGTGGGGGACAACCGAAGAGCTCCGGCTTTCCAGCTGAGCAAGCAGCACACGGGCATGAAGAATCGCTCGTTCGGCGTCGGAATGGCTGTAATGCCCAGCAGCAAAATGGAGTTCGACCAGATGGAGCGCGAAGATTTCGGTGTGGTAAAGATCAACCGTCCACCCGGTCATGACGTTACCTCGCCCGGCCAGGACAACACGGATGCCATGTCCACCGCTTCGTCCGGCGGCGGTGGTGGCGGGCTCACTGATCAGGGCTACTACGATCTCAAATTCTATCACAATAAGTTGTGGTAAAGACCACAAAGCGACAAGCACGCAATATTTGCTAGCATCTTTTGTACGTGTGGCATAAGCATAATTAACAAAATTAATCTAGACACTAAGAATGTATTACCTTATCAAAACAACACACCAAAACGGTTCCTGTAATTCAGTTCGATGGTTTTGTTGTGAGCTTCTTCTCAGACTTTTGTTAATTCGTTCATTTGTTACAAGCCACGCACTCCGAAGAGCAACTGTAAACGTAGAGCCTTACAAAATAATATTAACAATAGCAAATTAAAATGTACGTAGAGTAATTACCGTCGGTACTGAGCTAGTTAATTTTCAATGCTTTAAATTTGGGTTAAGCAAATCCTTTTTTTTTTACAATTTTGCTTTGTACCGTGGAATCTCAAAACACCTTATTGTAATCCAACCCGTGTGTATCTTCCAATTACAGAAAACGCGAATATTTCGAACAAATCTACGGCGAGTACATGCTATAGGGACAGAGCCAGTTGGCCAGAACCCAACTCCATAACCTATACTCAACATTTCTCAAACATTGTCTAACATTTAGTTTCTATAACACACTCCCCAAAAACAAATAGATTAAAGATTAAAGATATACAAATAAAGCACATTTTTTGTCGACTCTATTTGCCAAGTATAAGGGCCTGGCTTTCCATTTTATCTGCAATACAATTATGTACGTTTACACACACACACATGAAATGGAAATCTACGGGCTGATCTGGGGTGCTGAAATCTATAAGGTAGAGCTATCGTTGGTGACGCTGCTGCTGCTGTTGCTTAATTATTGCTGGACGTGGATCCCTCCGTCTGTTTGCCTTTACATGTAGATGAAGTTGAATCTATAGGGGAATAAATATATATTAGTGGGAGAACTGGGAACAGAGATCCGAGTGCGCTGGACTTACCTGCAGAGGGCCTGCGGCAGGGATGAGATGATCGGTCCATAGCCTTGCGAGTTGTCGTATAGCTCGAACAATGGCGCAGCAACAAGCTTATAATTTTTGGGTACAGCAAATAGTGCTAGATTACAGAAAACGATAGAGACAGAATTCATGTATGTAGATATAGCAACAAGCATTCAAGTTCGCAGAATATATTATCTAAGGGTATTACAATCGGTTGTACAATTTACATATTCAAAATCATTTCGCTGTCGTATGTTATAAAAAGAGACGTATGCGTTATGTTATACATTCATAGTTGGATTCGTTAGACTAATTACTAGAGTTCGCTGCGACTTGCAAAGAAGAATGTCACTTTGCTGGACCAGCGAAGTCTCCTAATTTCAGATATGAACATAATTTCAATTAAGAGCAACATTATACATGATATGTGCGGTTTGATTTGTGCGCTGAAATGCTTTAATTCAGTTCAACGCACAACAAAGTCGTAAGCATTAGGAAATATGGGCCAATGGAAAGTATAAACAGAGTATTTTGCTTGTGTTTACATAAACGAGTGCTTAATTTAAGGACCGACTGGCGACTTGGCTGTCCTTCATGCACGCAAATCTGCAAAACACGCGAGATTTGGGCGCATAACTGCGACAGCCAGCAACGTTACAATGCTCTCTGCTGCCTGCCCGGAGGATTGAATTGAGTAAATACACAACAACCTTAAGATGAACAACACATGACACTTGACAAAAGTAAGAGTAGAAGCTAGGAGATAAATAAATATGTAAATAGAAGGATAACATGTCTGCGCTCAGTCTCACAATAATGTCGACATATTTACAAAATTAAATACAAGAACAATCATTGAATTTCGAATGACAAGAGTCGGAAACAACAAAATATGCCAACACGCAGTCCTGAGCAAATATACAATTCGAATTTAAACTTGAGACATGTTGTACAATTGGACTAGAATCAAAACTATCTAAGATGGTCGCCTGCGCCCGCTTTGCGATCTGTTTGTTTCTTTTCTGTTTGATATGTTCTGTTTGCTCGATTGTTGTTCTATGGCATTGCACTCTTGAGAGTTGAGTTGGGTAGATACGACACACACGGCGCTAATGGAACAGCTCAGGGTACATCGTAACTGGCGTTCCCGTCCGTATCTAAACAGCATTGAAAAGATATGACATGAGGTTTGTTAGCGTATTCGTTTTTTGGCAAACAAAAAAATGCTATAGGTTATATAAAGTACATGAAGAGATGGATATTCTGGATACACGGTGTGCTCGATATACCTGCGCGTAGGGCATTGAAACCCCTTGCGGATATTTACCCTTTTCATGTAGCTGGACAAGGAAGAGACGCTTGTGCTCCTTGGGCTTGGTGATGTGCGGCGGAATGTACGGATATTGTGGTGGCTCAAAGTTCGGCCGCCACCAGTTCCCAATGGTGTCCTCGACAATCCACTCCTGCTTCACGCCGTCCTGACGACCCAGCGTCTATAAAAAACAATTGAGCAATGTAATTAGTTATATGCTTAAATCATTTTAGATTCTTAATAAACTTCTGAAACTAAAAGCTGTAATCGTAATGCGAAGTGTAACTAACATCAAAAAAGTCAGTACTCATAAAACCCTTTAAAATATAGCTTGATATTGCTAAGGGTACATTTCGAACTTAATAAACCGAATTTTGTTTAAGCCCTTTCGAATAACCCATTCTTAATACACATATGGTGCTCTATTAGGTAATTATATATTTCGCTCACCTCGGAGAGCAGTCGCTTCAGACCCTCGACCTCATCCTCTCCAGCGTTAAGCTCTCCACCGGGCAGTTTGAAGAATGTGGTGCCCAGCTGTAGGAGCAGGACATGTGGCAGTCCGTGCTCGTGGACAAGAAGCACTCCCTCGACGGATCGCCGCATTCCGATCCGATCAAACTCCTCTCGCATTCGCTGGAATCGCGATGGCACCGATGGGTCCTTCTCGAAGAGCGGCTCCTTGGTGCCGAATGTGTAGTTGGTCAAGGGGTATCTAAAAAGTGGTGGATCCACCAATAATCTATTGTATCTTCCGTGTATAAGGTAATACCCACAGGTTGATGGTGCGATTGATGGTCAGCGCCTGGTTGGTGTACTTTTGGGTGCCGTTGTTGTTGCTGCTGACTGCATCCGCTTGGCCTTGGCTTCCGCGGCGCGGCCATCCGGAGCCCGATTTGTTTGAGACTTGCGAGGACGCCATTTTGTTATACACACAGCCCGAGAGAAATCTGTTCGACTATCCTATCTCCCAAAACGGTTGTTTACACGTTGAAAGATGATTTTTCAACAATGGTTCTTAGTTTAACTGATTATTTACAATTGTGTTTGTTATTTAAACTTTGCTTTATGCCGTTTTCTTCCAGTTTTCTGTCCAGCGCTTCTGCAAAAAATTAACCGGCTGGACCAGGGCTGCAAATGTATTGATTAAGTTCCTATGGACGGAACTGGTTCATTAAATTTATCGATTTGTGATTTTTTCTGATAAAATTAAGTTTAAGATAATTGTTCTGTGTTGGATTTTTATAACATATTTTATTTAACATATGTTTTATCTGCTTTAAAAACTAAAAATACTTTGTAAGTAATTACTGCCCTGGTTTTTTTTGTTGTCATCTGGCAACGCTGACATTTTCTTTCAAAACCATCTGGCCACACCTGTCCATTAGTTTTTTGTTTATGTTGGGACGTCGTCGGAAAAATCGGCTGTTTTTCCGTGTGTCCGTCTGCCATGAAAAGCTGCTAAAAAGCTAAATATAAAAATCAGCGCAGCGCATACGTTGGCTGGCTGCATTGTTTTCCCATTTTAATGGAAAATTATGTGAGTGCGAGTCAGAAAAACGCATCTTGTGTGTGTATATATACATATATAAGTATGTAATTGTGCCCGTGTAAGTGTGTGTGTTTTTATGTGCATGGTGCAATGGAAAAGTGATTATTATAAATGAAAAGCAGTGAAATGTGTAAGTGTGGCACTGCAAACGCTTTGAACTTTTCCATTTTCATGTTTTCACCTCGTCTTTTCTTCTCCCCCTCCCTCTCTCCCGCAGACAAGCAACTCCCACTTGTACGTGTGTAACGGCAAAAGGGTGTTTTGCCTGGGTGTGCGTGCCAGATAAAAGACTTTGACTTTCTGGGGGATACTATAGTGTCAACCGAGTGGTATAAATACGGCAAAAGCCCCTAATATGCAGGCAAGTCCATTAGTTATGCCAAAGGTCAAAAGTTAGGCACGCAGCCAGGACCTAAGGAGCAATAATAATGTTGTAAGAAGGCGGCGAGCCTGTAAGAGAGAGAGAGAGAGAGAGAGAGAGAGATCTGGTGTTTTGGTGTGAGTGCGTGGTAGAACAAAGAGGACGAATAACACGGCTAAACGAATTCGCCGCAAGACGAATTCGCCGGCAGAAATTGAAAGAAAAACAAAAGGATATCCTTTTAAAACTGATTAAAAATAAAGACTGCTAAGCTATATATAATCCGAAACTATGTCTGCGGCGGAACTTGAGGCAGAGGCTGCCGCCCAGGAACAACAACCCCAACAACAACAACAATCGCAGGGCGAAGAAACAAATACAAACTCCACTGCCATCGATGAAAACACAACCACAACAAACAATTACAACAATAATCTGGATACGGAAACCCAGCTACAAATGCACCACGAACCGCAGCAACTGGAAATCGAGGGCAACAGCAACAATGGGCTATCAGGACTCGGGATCAGTCTGATGAACTCCTCACCGCCGCCGCACAGCTACCGACATTCGCGGGCCTATCGCCACTTCAAGAATCCTCCCCAGCCGCACATGTGCATCCGCACCACCACAGAATCCGGCGAGGAGCTCTTCATCAATGTCCTAAGCTGGACGCGCATTGTGATACCGCAGGAGCCCAGTGATCCCATCCCTCTTTACGGGGGTATGCGGGTAAGTTTTTATACATTTTTCCCAAAATAATAAGAAATATATTAGTTCGACTGATTAAAACTTTTGGAAATCTGATAAATGAGAAAAATATTAAGTAGGTTTTTTTACTAAAGTTAAGCGATATTTTTTGACAAATTATGGTTTAATTTTTCTGAAAATTTATAGTAACTTATAATTTTCATGAATTCTTATTAATTTGCGGTCTTTAAATTCGAAAGGTAAAAACGAAATGTAAGCGAAAATAGCATTGCTTTTCAAAAACGAATAATTAATCAATAATATCAAAACAAGGAATTTTTCGTTTCTAAAATAAATATATTTAATATTTTGTCTCAACTCTCTAAATTATATATTCTAAAAAAAAAACAACAACATTTTTTTTTTAAATTTAAATTGCTTGCACATTTTACGTAAAAAACTTATAAATTCTAAAATCTTATCTTAAGGGGTTATGAATAGTTTGAATTTAAAAACACACTGAAAACTTGGTATCGTTTTGGTGAATATTTTCGAAGTTAAACACAAATTTTAAAAGGCGTTTCAGAATGCTTGCAAGTACAAGTAAAAACTTTAAACGCGTTTTACTCCAAGTCGATGACCAACATAATTCGAAAACGGCTTAACCGATTAGTCTCAAATTTTAATACGAGCTTTTTTAATATATTTTTAAGTAATTAATCAAACATTTTTTTGCGATAACATTTTTTTTGATTTTTTTTTAAGCAATTTAAGACCGAAATTTTACTCAAAAATCAATTTTTTTGTTTGAGAAACCGTAATTATTTTGTTTTTTGCTTATTCCTTCCATTAATTACACAATACTTTAACGACTTTTTTTTGCATTTTTTTATTTCTGAGGATCAAGTCCAATTCAATTTTTTTATATAACCCCTTAATGGAAAACGAACTGAACACATTAAATTAACCGAATCTTTATTTCAGGTTCCGCCTGGCAGCCCCAGGAGTCCTCCCATCGTCTTTGCCGTCATGGCCAATCCGGAGGTGCTCAAGGACTCCGGTCGCCACAGCAAAGATCCCGAGGAGCGACGTGCCATGGTGGAGCTAATGTGCGACTTTGTGGAGGCTATGAATCCAGGCGTGAAACTAGTCAGGTATTATTTTAAAAATGACTTTTGAATTTTTGCAATTGCTGCAAAATAAAAAACATATTGCCACATGAACATAATTGTGCATATGTCTGTAATTTAAATTTATGCAGTTACTGAATATGTTTGAGCTAAACAATCTTTGGATGATTCAATAATCTGGCAACTAATACTTTACTTTCAATCCCCAGAAACGCCGTAATACTCAAGGATCGCGACATCTCAGGCGAGCTGAAGGACGTGTGGAACGCAGTGCAGGCGCAGCGCGATCGTGAGCGTGAGGAGCAGATGATGCAGCAGCGCCAGCAACAACACTACCAGAACATCACCACCCAACAGATGTTTCCCAAGTCGCCAGATGCAGTGCGGGCAGCTAGTGCTGGTGCTGCCATGAACGAGGCCAGCCCGCCACCGGCTCACCTGTCTGAGCCGCTGCTGGCAGAGCACGGGAACGCTAATGGGAACGGGAATGGCATCACTTTGGCCGTATTTGCTCAGCAACTGGACAACAAGGTGGCCAGCGAGCAAGCAGAACAGCAGGAGCAATCAGCATTACTGGAGGAAGCCTGTGTGGATCAAACGGATGCGGGCAACTCAGCGAATGGATCAGCATCGGTGCTGGACAATCAAACGGTGGTGGAGACCGAATCAGAGGCGAAGGTTGCTTCACCGGCAGCCACCAATGGAGCCAGCACGCCCACATCCAGCAACTCAACTCCCTCCGCAACAGCCACATCTACATCTACATCCACTTCCAGTCCAACAGCAGCTCCTGCTCCAGTTGCTACACCAACTCCTACACCAGCTGCTCCCGCCAAGAAGGAAAAACTGGGTGGTTTCTTGCCCAACGGCTGCATCTTCCCGCGCTTTAAGAACAACAAGAACAAGGACAAGGATAGCAGCCACAAAGAGGGCAAGAGCAAAGAGAAGACCCTTCTCAACGCACTGAAAAAGAGCAAGGAGAAGAAGGTGGCGCCCAGTGAGCAGCCCCCAGAGAAGGCAGCCGTCTCGGACAATGGAACCACGCAGTACGAGAAGAACTGCATCAACAATCTGGAGTGCGAGGTGCAAAAGTTGGATCTGAACAGCGGCAGCAATGGCGACAACAGCATGTTCATCAAGCTGAAAGTGTCGCCGGCCAATGCCACAGCAGCGGCAGCGGTGGCCAAGTAGAGATAATCCTGAATTTACACACACAAAAAATCTCGTAGGTAAGTGAGAGAGAGGTAGAACGAAAGATTAGGAGGCGACACTCGCCAGTGAACCAGTGAGTCAGTCACTGAGTCAGCACTTAGGGCTTAGAGTCGTGGATAGACTCGTGTAGCATATACAAGATTTATATATATACAGAATATATATACACTCACACACCCGTTTACACCGTTGGTCAATTTTTTGGATAGCCACTCAAAGTCAGGACTAGATGAACTAACAGTTGTGCCATGCTCCAGCTCATTGACATTTATACGACGACAGCGCTTCTCCCAGGATCTTCCCCGGCATTTAACTGACCCAATACCCAATGATAAACGTATTTACATAGTTCAATATAGAGTATGTATGATTCGCATACAGTTTGCCTTATATACAACAAGAAGCCCAAGCGACAAGAACCTAGCAAGAACCAGTTGATAAGCTCGAGAATTAATATATATTTAACACCCAATCGTCGAATGAAACTCATGCGCCAAACGAACATCCCAGCACTCACCCACATGGTAGACTAACTACTAGCTCCATTCCCGAAATTGTCCCATCACTTCATCGGCAATCACCCACCAGACATTTCCCAGTCCATATCCATGAAAAAGTATTACAAATCATCGCTGATCCAAGTACCCTGACCCTGGATCGATTGATCTCCACGCTTTGAAGTTGAGGGGCAGTACAAATGGGTGTGTTTTGAAGCCGGCTCTGTAGTGCCACAACTAACTTATGTACCTTAGTATACCCGAATGCGAAAACCGTATACAAATCCGCAATGTCGCTATTATACTCTATTTTATGTTTTTAAAGTTTAACTTTTAGTTCCTCTTATTGAATACCGAATGGGAAACCTACTTCTCCTTCTATTTATTTTCCGTGCGTGCTTGTTGTGTTGTAATTGATACTGTTGGAATGTTTAACCTTTTACTGTGTTTATTGTTTGTGCTAACCCAATTCCCTCAACTTCAAACGATATCACTCACGAATCATATATATTAAAGCGAGTAAACCACTAGAATTCGAATAAATATTCGGGAAACTCCATAGCAAAAAAAAAAAAAAAGGAAAACAAAAAGTTTCAACTGCAATATCGGACTGAACAATGCTGCCATATAAAAATGTATACATGTAATGACTTTGTATATAAAGTTAGCTACATATTTCCATAAAAGAACGAAATTTCAATTGTGATTCAATCGAAAATCTAATTTTGTTTCCACATCGAAGAGTTTTATTGAAGATCTGAAAACACATACACAACGTATACCGAATAAAATATAATTTTGTTTGCTAGGAAAAACCCCACGTACGTGGAAATCCCAACAAAAGGAACTTTCTTTTTGTGTTTTGTTTATTTTTTTTAAGGTGCCATACAGCAGGAGTGTATGAGTATTAATCAAAATTGATTGCATCCAATTGGTATTATATTTAAGCCCCGAGTTTCCTTAATTGAAAGTTGAAATGAGTATCGAAAACCCTAAAGAAAATACTAGTTTTTAACTGGTTGTAAATGATAAATGCTCGTGTAAAATTTGTATTAATTTAAAGCACGACGAAACCAACAACAGAAACGGCAACAACATAACACTACAATTACAAATTAAACTAGTTTAAGATTCAAGTCTTCTAAGCGAAGAACAAAAAGCAATAATTTTACTTGAAAAGAGAAAACTGGGCAAGAAAATTATAATGAAAATGCGTGTGGGCGAGTTGACAGCAAATAGGGGTGGTACTGAAACACTCTAGAATTTTGAGTTGTAAAGATGTGTCTTCAAATACTTTAGATATTTATTAAGTAATCTTTACTTACCAATTTGACCAATTTTGGTTATCCTAGCCTCTGAAATATCTAGTGTTTTTCGTATCACCCCGGAAAAACTTGTACAAGCAAACAAACAAAGAAACACGCATTTGCCGGTGAAAAGCCAACACACAAAAAACACACATTTTTATATGTATATGTATGTAATAATAAAAGATCGTATTTGACAAAAGTGTATTCGAAGCTGCGATTTATTTTGCGAAGTATTCAATAAATATACATATGTGGAATGTTTTTTTTTTAGCTACTTTCTACAGAACGACCTACTATACAAGGCGATCCATGGATGCGATGGATCTCCTAAAAATCCGCAAGGATCTGGATCATTCTACTCATCCTTGTTGTTGACGGCCCGCAGGCGTTCCAGCTCGGCGCGCTCCTCCTTGTTGCGTAACAATGGGACATTGTAGTCGAAGGCGTAGAAGAAGCCCTTGGGCTCACCGGTCTCCTCGGGTCCGGGAACATATGGCTGCTCCTCGTGGACGTAGGGCTGGTACTCTGGCTCGGCGGGCTGATAGCGACCCTCCTGCTGGTACTCGGCGGCATAGGGATCGGGATTGTGACCAGCGGCGGCGGCCAGTTCACCCCACAGCTTGAAATGCTCCTCCTCGGCCTTCAAAACAGCCGGAGTTTTGGTCGCCGGCAGTTTCAGGTGCGCTGGCCGGTTGTCCTCCACATGGAAACCGGTCTTATCCGCATAGTAGTTGGCCACAAAGTCACGGCCATGCGGCTGAACGTACTTGTACGATCCAGTCACCTTGCCCGTCTCATCGCGCCTCTCGTTCTTGCCCTGATTCCAGTCCTTGTAGCCATAGGCAAACTGACCCAGGCCGTCCTGGCCATGGTACTGATGGGCATCGTAGTGCTCCTCCACATAATCCTCGGGATGCTCGATCACCCGACCCATGTACACGAATTGTCCCTGCTCGTTGCGGGCCTCGGGCAGCGGATTCTCTCCGGTCTTGGGTGCATACTCGATGTCGCCAACGCCGCGCAATTGGGCGCTATTCAAAAACTGCTGAGCCTCCTCGGGGGTTATGTTGATCTTGAAGATGTTCTCGCCGCTGGCAAGGGTGGCCTAAAATTACAAGTCAAGCGATAAAATAATTAGCAAAAAAAAAAACGAAGACAAGCATACAATTAAAACGGACTTTATGGCCAATTTAACACGCTACACAATTCTGGAGGAGGAAATCACAAAAAAAAGTTAATGATGATGATGTCATATCATTGATTTAAGTTTAAGTCTCATCTGGCATGTAACTCAGAGTTTGCTTAATTTTTGCACATTGTATAACTTTTCGTATTTGCACTTTGCGATCCGCACACCATTCAAGTTGACATTTATAGAGTCACAAGCCGGATTTTAATTGAATGGATCGGATGGATCTATTCAGAGATGAGCGTAAATATCAGCTTAATTATGCAAATTCTCTGCATTTACCAGCAACAGGGCAGCCAAGATGAAGCACTTCATTATGGATTCCGATCGAATTTTGAGTTATATATATCCAGGTATCACTACGTTTTCGCTGTTCTGCAGTTGGCGGGCTACTAATAACTGAATATCGAAAGCCACTGCTTATATACTAACTTTTAACTTGGCAACGCGGTATTGTTGTTTTTTGCGTTTTGCATAAATCTGAATGAAGATGTGCTGGTGTATTTTACTGACCAGCAGACTGAGCTTCACCTGTCCGGTTTCTTACTCAGCTTACTTAGAATCTCGCATCCCACAGCCAGTGGCGGCAATTTGAAGTTCATTATCAACGTCGCTCAAATTCGCACTTCTCACACTCAAACTACGGATATATTCAGAGAGAGGCTGAAACAACAACTATGAAAACATCATTAATTGTTAGTACGCCGCTTGGTCAATTAGTTATCTAATAGCTATGTGGCTTACCCATCTTTTGTTGGCATTTCCAGAACCCTTTTAGCCGCGATTCAAGTGGCATTTCCAGAGCTCATTGGCTGTCGGTGTCGAGTATCGCAAAGATACTCTTGTTTTTGCCTCTAGAAATTGATCTGGCAGGCATATAAGGTGGTTGAATGTTTCAAATTTGGTTTGGCCTATCTTATCTTGATGGTTTAGCTCATGTTTGTTTTTAAATTCGCAAGAAATCTACATTTTATGGGTGCCAACTTTGAATTAAGCATTTTTGATGAGCTTGTAAATATTTTATGATATCAATTATTATTTTTATATATGTATATAAGATTCTGGCTGCTTTTTTGAATGTTTGTAAGAACCAAAGCAACTTAATTATTATCTATTTTGTAATATACAAGGTACCCAGTCGTCGAATCCGTACATTTTAACCTTTTTACTCCAACCGCTTGGCTATGATTTATTTACAATTAAGCATCTTTGAGCGCCCCAATCACTTTTTACTTTTAATTAATGCAAATTTTAGCGCTTTAGGTTTAACTTTGGCTCCGGGTTTCCTGTAGATCGGCGGAAGTTTTTTATTTAGACATGCGCCAAGCACTTGAAGTCCGATTGACTGCTGCATAATTAGATGCGATGTGAGTTCAATAGAGGATGCGATGGGTATTCACGTCACTCGGCCAGGCGATCAAATGTCAGTTCAATAAGTCAAATGTCAGTTCAAGTGTAATTAAAGACCATGGATCTTGGGTTTCGGGAAGGGTTTTCGCAGCAGCAATCGTGCCAAACTCTTGAAAGCCGCTTATTAGGCGCTTACAAGGGCAACTGCGCAGTTGTTCGTTTACAAAATGACTTAACTATTTAAATAATAAGCCCGATTCACGTTCCAGGCTGAATCCGTAAACATCTTGAATCTTCGGATGGCGACTACTGCAACAGTCTATTTTGAAAGTCAAGCGTATCCAAAGCGCCACATCATCTAGGTAGTATCATCGCCATCATCATCCTCATAAGTAGTATCATCATCATCATCATCATCTGTTGCCGAGTGTTTCCCATTGTTTTGGGGTCTTTTGGCTATTTTTAAAGCAGACAAAGGCGAGCCAAACTCGAGAAAGAATTTAGGTGGTTCCAAATACTAAACAACTTTAGAAACAACTAAGGTTCTAGCTTATTTATGATTCACTAACAGGTTAGTATACGTTATGTGGCAAAATCATAAACTCTGACGTAAAAGTTCTAGCTAAAGTAATTTGGTTACTTTGTCACTTCATAAATTTACTATATTATTCTGGCAATATCTGGAATCCGCTTTAAAAACAAATAAACAAACTAGCGTCTTATTATATGGAAAACTCATTGATTCATACTTAAGTTTGTTATTTTGTTATTGAATTCCAAATGATGATGCCAAGTCTAAATAAAAACGAAGACCTAATTTCCAACCAAGAATCAGGTTTTTGGGCCTCTCCGCCTTAAAATTGGTTGATAATTATTTATAATACATTGTTATTTTTTGCTGCCTTTGAAATATCAAATAATTGCGTTTGATAAATGACGCTGACGCTGTTGTTGATGGCGATCGTGATGTTGGAAACAGATGAAATGTCAATTAAATTTGCATTTATATTTTCGAGACAAACTCCAAGATAAACTTTATCAGACTATCTAACTTCCTTATGGTTTTTAAATTAATAATTCAAAGTGTCTCTATGGAAGCAATTTATTTAGTATTTGAAAGTTATGTGTGAACAATAAGAAGTAAGAAGTTCTTTCAAACCGCTTCATTAAAATAGATAATTGACTAAGAAATAATTTAACCCTGCTAGTAATTTAAACGACTTAGCTAAAAGATTTTTCAAAGGCACAACAAGAAGCAATCAAATTTAACGTTTACTAAAACTACAATTTAATATCCCTTTGGGTTTTACATGACCAATAAAAGTTCAAAATTGAAATTTTACTGTTTCTTTTTAATATTTTCTATTTAAATTATACGCTTTTATTTTTACTTTAATACCAAACTGTCTTAAAGTTTTATCAATTTTTTAAATTATCTTTGTGTTTTTCTAAAAAATCTTTTCAGGATTATATTTATAATGAATGCTTTATACCCCTAGAACTTAAAGTTTTTTGCCTTAACTTCTTGTATAATATTGTAAAAGTAAAGTGAACTAATTTTGTTTATAATTTTCCTTTAATTGGCAAGATTAATTTATTAGTTTATTAGTAAAAAATAACAATAGCCATGAGAAGAAAATTATGTTAACTGGACTAGGTTCCTCTATCACACAATCTATTAATAAGCACATTTTAATATAATTTTTTTCAAGTCATTTCTGAACAGAAAATATCTGTCTTATTTATTTGAGTTTCACATTAAAAATTAATTCCATTTAAGAGGATTTGTTAAAACTCTTACATATTTTTAAATCAACGACAACTATTTTAAATTAACGGTCATCGAAGTTTCAGAGCAAGCAGCCTGCGACAGCCCAGCTCTGAGCTGTTTTATCGATTGGTTGATAGCTGCTCTGTGCCTGTCGGTACTAGATTTCGGTTTAATTTGGTAAATTAAACCCTTCTGGCTCTGGTCACACCGTGTCTGGCCACCGAAAGCACAAACTTAATTAAAGAATTAAATAATTCTTATAATAATTAAGCCGAATAACCTACGCAGTACGAGTGCGTAACAGAGAAAAGGATTCCACACAGCGACAGCGAAATCATGGTAGTGTTGGAGACGGAGAAGGTAAGGCGAAAAGGAGAAAAATCGAGCCGCATGGTTTCGATTTCGATTTCGACTGAGCCGTGGCAGGAACAACAAAAACAGGGTTGTTGCACAAGACAGTCGAGCAGAAAAAAGTGTGCAGTTGGCGTGGCTTCATCTCATTATTGTTCACCCGTTTATCCCCAAAATCAGCAGCCGTAATTTCTCGCACAATTATTGCTAAATATTATACTTGCACGCTGTTGTCTACGTCATAGCTATCGCTCTCTCTGTCTCTGTCAATCTATCTCGCTTCCGCGGTCACTCGCTCTCTATCCTTCTCTCCCATTTGCATACCACACGTTTTCGCTGCTCTCTCTCGCTCGCTCTTTCTCTCTGTGGCTGGAATTTGTCAAGAAATCGCTCGCGTGTGTGTGTGGGTTTCTGTTTCTTTTTGCTACATAAATAGGCGAAGCAGAGAGACGAAAAATTAAAAAAGAGTGAATTACTGCAATTAAGCAGTCGCGAACAACAGTTAAATCATAATTTTGTCGGCCATTGCAGCCCGAGAACCGTTGGTTAATCTCTCCTACTCCACTTTCCACCTCCTTTCTTTCAATTTTTTCAGTTAAACGCGCCGCTGCTTTGAACTCGCACTCGCAGACTCGAATTTTAGCCGCAACAATACAAGAAAAAACTCTTTAATTCAAATATAAATCAACAATTCCAATTCTTTCAACAGGCAATCTGTGTTTTTATGTCAAATACGTGCGCGTGTGTGTGTGTGCTGTAATTCCATCGTCACTTTCGATTCGGAGTTCGCTAGGGACAGTTGTTCTTTTTTTACTTACCAGTAGTCCCCAAAGTGAAACAGGATACTTCACATACTCACAATACTAAACACCCCACTCAACATACAAGTTTAACGAGATTTTTGTATTATCATTACTTAGTTTTTTGGTTAATAATACACAAGGAAAAAGCGAACTGCAGGGAAGATATCAAGAAACAATCCAAAATCCACACACACTCGAACAGAAATCAAAAGCTTCGCTCTCTCGCACACACACACGCACCACCACCACCACCACAACTATCACAAACACCACGACAGAGAGAGCGGCAAGTGAATCACGGCGAATCCGAATCCTCTCCGGAACTGATCCTACCATCAAACGCATCCAAAAACACGGCCGCCAACATGCAGAGCGACTTTCACAGAATGAAGAACTTTGCCAATCCCAAGTCCATGTTCAAAGTAATACTCTCAGTGCGCCTGTCGCCAAGCCAAGCTAATCTAATCGTGAACATCCCCCCGATCTCTTCCGCTATCTTCCCCCGCAGACCAGCGCCCCAAGCACCGAGCAGGGTCGTCCGGAACCACCCACTCCGGCTGCTGCCCCCGCAAAGATCGCCGAGGTTAAGGATGTCAAGCCCAAGGAGGATCCGCAGGAGGCTGGTGAGCCGACCGTCGGAGGCACTACATCGACCACCGCCTCCGCTGGCGACGATGCCGTGCGCACCGAGCATTTGTTCAAACACCCGCTCATGAACGTGTGGACCCTGTGGTACCTCGAAAACGATCGATCCAAGTCCTGGGAGGACATGCAGAACGAGATCACCAGCTTCGACACCGTCGAGGACTTCTGGAGTCTGTACAACCACATCAAGCCGCCATCAGAGATTAAAGTGGGCAGTGACTACTCGCTTTTTAAGAAGAATATTCGGTGGGTTTGGGCTTGTCTCTTTAGTGTCGTCATTGTCATTGTCTAATTATTTACTCTTATTATATGCAGTCCCATGTGGGAGGATGCTGCCAACAAGCAGGGCGGTCGGTGGGTGATTACCCTCAACAAAAGCTCCAAGAGCGACCTGGATAACCTATGGCTTGATGTGGTAAATATACAAAATAATATGGCTTGAGATAATAGACATATTTTAATAATATAACATTAGCTTACAAAAATACTATTTTCATCAAGAAGGTCACTATTGTGTTCTGCATGACTAACTACCTGAATTTCTTTTGCAGCTGCTTTGCTTGATTGGCGAGGCCTTCGATCACTCCGATCAGATTTGTGGTGCTGTCGTAAACATTCGCGCCAAGAGCAACAAGATATGTACGTTTCCACACCTAAAATTGTTTTTAAATTTCTTTCTTCAACGTCTCCTGCTTTTCAGCCATCTGGACTGCAAACGGCAACAACGAGGAAGCTGCCCTGGAGATTGGCCACAAACTGCGCGATGCCCTGCGCCTGGGACGCAACAACTCGCTGCAATACCAGTTGCACAAGGACACGATGGTCAAGCAAGGCTCCAACGTCAAATCGATCTACACCTTGTAGGTCGCCGCACCTCGCCCGCCATCCGATCCCTCAGAGTTTAGTTTGTGTCGCCTTTATTTATGGTTATAAACATCAGCGAATGATCGTAACTCTTGTCCAAGACTTGCGTAACGAATCCGGAATAGACCCCTTGTTATCAAAAATCGGCAAGCATAATATCTGCTTTTTGTAGTCATTGTCAATATTGGATTTAACGGAAAAGTATAATAAAAAAAACCTATAATAAAACCGGATATTACGGTCTTTAAATTGAAATCGTTATCTAATGGCTGCCAAGCAATAAATTATTCATTAATAATTATCAAGTATTTCATATATTTAATTTAATTCTGACACTACTGGGTGACCTATACTAAATTTAATAACGATGTGTCGTGCTTTAACTATCTGGTGTTCTATATAATTTGGAAAATCTAAGATTATCAGTTAATAACATATGTTAAAACTTTCAATTGCTTTCATATTAAAAATAGGTATTTTTTGTTTTCGACAATGTTTATTTAGTGTAAAAGTAGTGTTATTAGTTTTGAAAAAATTCCGTTTGGGGCGTTGGTCAGCCTATAATAGGCTCATTTTGCAATGCTGCCTAATTTGGAATTACTTTTCCTGCAAAAAATACGTTACTAACGTGACCACAAGTTTTACGTTATCGATGTATCGATAAGTTTAATTCCCACAGAGCACTTCCACCATTCCATAACAGGTGATCTCAGCAGCTGTGACTCATCAAAACATACAAAAAATGTTGCCTTTGTATAGGTTTTAATACGCCACAGCTGTTCAGGTCAGCTGTTTTCGGTAGTAGTTTCACATTTTCACATAATCCCAACGGTTTTTTAGGTAGGGAGTGGGTGGGAAAAAACATCGGCTAACTATCGAATAGCTAAGTTCTCAACCACCGAAGTTCTCAACCACCCGACCAATCGATGTTGGCATCGATGTTTTCCCATCCCTATACACTGCTTGTCATCCCTACACACTGCTTGTCGCGTCGGAAAATGAAAGTCGGGAAGGAATATGTCTCCGTGTTTAATTTGTTAAAATACATAAAATATATGTGTAATTCTTAAAAATATATATATAAGGCGTAGAGTAGTTACGGGACGCGGTGCTGGGTAAAAAACATAAGTCTACAACGTTCACGTCGCCGTTCGTCGCTCATATGCAAAAATATATAATAATAGACCTACCAACACAAACAAACGCACGGCCAGAAGTTCGTTGGCGTTGAAAGGAAAAATAAAGGAAAGGAAAATAAAAGTGCAATAGATTCGGTTTACATTGTGCAAAAAATCGAAGTAGCCCCTGCCAACAGGGTCGCTAAAAATAAAGACGGGCGACAGCCTCTGCTTATCGTTGGAAATAAACAAATAACCAGCGGAGAATCATAACAAAAGCGCAAGACTACAAGCATAAAAGACAAAGGCCCCCCTTTTTGGGGTTGAAAACCCCTCTTCGAATAGAGGAGCCGGATCGCAACGACTATGCAATACCCTGAAATTTAGTTCACAGAGAGAGAGAGCTACGAACAAAATGCCTTGCGACAACGCCAAAACCTCGTCGGATATCGAGCATGTGGACTGGAACTCGGGCCAGCACTATGCAAATGTCAGGTGAGTTTTAATTTTTGTTTTTTTATTGAGGTCTTAAATGCCCTTGACATGGCCGAAAGAAAAAAAAAAAAAAAAGAGAACCCTATAAATTATTCAAGTACACCACACAAAAGAAAAACAAAACAAGTGCAAGCACGCAATTGAAAAATCGTGGGATGGTTGCCATTCTTCTTGGCAATGGACAACATTGTTTATTTATAGCCAGGAAACGGACATGATTTAAATCTTTGATAGTCTGTCGCTTGGGAAAATAATAATAAAATAATTTTAATTCGCAACGCAGACTACGCACTGATAATTGCTAAAAAGTAGAGTCTGTTATTGGCTCACAATACCCAAATCCAGCTGTCCATACTTTGATCATAACACCACCCCCAAGAAAAAGCCAAAAGCAGATAAGATAAGCCATTGAGCAAAACCGAAAATGTACTTCTCTAAAGCTGAAAATGATTCATCCCAAGACGATAGCACTTTTGTCTGTTCCAATTGAAATACATATTTCATTTTAATTTTATGCGCACTACAAGCAGTTTCGATCTTAATCTTTATAATCCATACTCAACGCCAGTTAATTACAACCATTAAGCATCACTTAACAACATTGACTTGCACTTACCATACTTGTTCTAAGCCTATTAAAATGCAAATATGGGATGAACGATGCTGGGCAAGTGTCAGGTCTTGACACAAAGCACCGGCGCCTGTTGTTATCTGTTTGACAATTTATAAATTACTCGCGATTTATTTATAATTCAATCCGACAAGATTGCGGGGCAATGACTTCGAATTTAAATATTTTACTAAGGCAAATTAAATCTTTATTAAAAATCGGGCATGCTAACTTTCGCAAATATTAAAATTTTGTTTTTTCATTTGAAAAATAATATAAATATGTTTTGTTAAATAGTTTCCTTGTTTATTTGATTGTGACATTCTCTTCAATAAACAAATGTCTAAAAATAATTTCTAAATGTATTTATATGCAGATCAAAATAAACAAATGACCAATACATATTTAAAATATGTTTTTTTTTATATCCCATTTAAAATGTTTATTTATAACAAGCAATTTATTTTAATTTTGCCAGTTGATAACCAGTTATCAATTGCTTTCGTGTGCACCAATATGAAATGTGTATTTTTAATGTACACAAATATATGTTTTACGTTTGCCATGCTTTAAAAATATTTGTGAATGTACTTATATATAATTTATACGGACCAGTCAACACCCTAGATAACACCCTGATGAGGCTTATCATCCGTCGACCATTGCAAATCTAATCTGTCATCGGAGTGTGTAAATGTGTCTGTGGATGGTGTTTTTGTTATTTCAGGTGTCGTTGTTAAATAAACATTGGCTTTGTTGCTGTTTATGTGTGGCGGCTTGGGCAATTACGATCAAATATTTGCCAAGTATAATGAAAATGTAAAATGGAGCGAGGCGGAAAATGTACCACTGATAAGAAGCGGCTTTTCCCAAGTGTTGGCAACCCGCAGTTCGCATAGGTTTTTGCAAACAAAGGCGAATCGTGCATATTTGGAGCCCCCATCGGGTATAACTTTAGCATTTATTGCCTCGAACTTAAACCAGTTGCGACTTAAAAATAAGTTTTACACAGCACACAAAAAAATAATGCGCAAAATATCGAAAAAAGCTTTGGAACAAAGCGGAGCAGCGAAAACAAAGCGCAAAACAGTTGAATTGGACCCCGGCTGACTCCGATTTCTCCATCCGTACCCCTCCAAATCCGCCGGACTCACCCGGTTTTTTGCGCCATGTGAAGATTACTTGCTTCATCTGGTCTGGTCCCAGGGAGAAAGAGAGGGCGTGCCCTGTTTCGTTGTGTTTTTGTGGAATTTATTAAAATGCGCTAATTTAGTTGTAATTAAAAGAGGGCACGGCGGGGAATCAAGTGCTCAAAACACTTAAATCTTTCGCAAAAAACATAAAGAGCCCTGGATATAAAACGACTCAAAGCTGAATCCCCAACCGACCGACCCTTGAATTATTATGCTATAATGCTCTCTTTTTGGGTCAAACCTTATGTTGGACAGAATAGAATAATAAACTTAGTTTTTTTGAATCATTCAGAAGTACTTAAGTCAATACCTATCAACATGATTTTCTGAATTATATAATTTCTAAATTTTTTAAATGCCCAAAAAAAGATTTTTCACCCTTTTTTGACTTTAACGTATATTTGATTTAATTTATTTTAGCCCAAAGATTTTAAAAGTCCATTTCACGGAAAGAAGTAATCCTCTTTTTATTGTTCGGGTTTTTAAGTAGCTCTAATGCGTAGATTAAAAGAGGGAACTAGTCATCATTAAAATAAATTTTTCATTCACGGAGAGAAGTAATCCCCTCTTTATTGTTCGGTTTTTTTAGTAGCTCTAATACGTAGTTTATAAGAGGGAACTAGTCATCATTTAAATACATTTTTCATTGATAAGAAATTTGGAAATTCTCATCAGATTAACGACCAAAAATATTTGGATTCCGAAAAGTTGAATTTCGCGGAACTTACTGATTTCCAACGGAAGCACTTTATCAGGGGCAACAAATGCCATTAAAAAAAATGGTATAATGAGCACTGAATGCTTAACTGCAGCTTGCACTTGAAACCCTAAACTCGAGAGCGAAAACGTTTTTTTATTTGTAGTTTCGCTGAAATAAAGCACCTGTCTCGCGTTCTCTCTTTCACCTGGTAATGCGATAGCGTTTGGTATGTGTGTATGTATACAATATATACCCTTTGATATCGCTTAATCAAATTGTGGAGGGCAAAAACAAACAAAACAAACAAAAAGGCCGATCAATAATGTGAGAAATCTTTGCGAGAGGTTCTGTTTTTGTGATCGACTGGAATTTACATATGTACAGCGTGTATTTATGGATTGGAATCGACATTTCCGTTCTAATTGAGTTGAAATTTGTTGTGTTCAATGTCGAGCAGGCAACTTGTCTTCCCCAAAGACCCATAAATGCCAAGTCATAAGGCTGTTTCGGTTGAGTGGCTCCAAGAGGTGTGGAAATGGCCAACCGGCGACTGTCTGCCGTCTAATGAAGTCGTAAAACTTGCGACTTACGCATGTCCTTAACTTCTTAGAAGCGCCCAGAAAGGATAACGCTAGCCATCCCGGGAATAGACAAGCATGTGTACTTGCGGTTGTGTACTTTATGAACCTCTTTCTGCGGTGTAGGCCACAAACGCGCTCCATCGATCCAAGGCCAGTCGATTGGCCCAAAAAAACATGGTAGGAGTGAAGAGGACGTGTCCAGTTCCATGTCCATGTCCATGACCATGTCGACAGCCACAACAAATGTGCTGGCAGACCCTTTGAGTGGCCTGTCCTTCGCCTCAATCACGCACTGACTGCCTGAACTCTGAAAAGGATACAGAGACAGACAGGCACACACACAAGTACAGAGGTACCCGAGATAGTGCAGACTTGCGGGGGTACATAGTACACTGAAGCTAAAATTAGGGATATAAGTCATCAATCAGATACTTCTCCTAACAACAATTTACTTTTTGTCCCTAGAAAAAGAGCTTAGTATTTCAAATCTTTATCATCAATTTGGCAACTAAAACTCTCTATTTACGACACATAAT